ATTAATAAAGTTTTTTTTATTTAAATTAAATGCTGGTATCTTTAAACTTATTATTTAATTTTATTTATCCATAACTTAATAATTTGTACCCCTAATTTTTTTTTTTTTTTTTTTTGTCTTTTGCTTTTTTTTTTTTTTTTTTTTTTTTTTTTTTTTTTTTTTCTTGCTTACTCGACTTTTCTTACATATATTATTCCATAGTCCTAAATCCAACCACTCTATTTTTGTAGTTGACAACCCGATTCAAGGTTGATGATGACTATACATATCATGTGCATCGGCTTAAAGCGGATTGAAGAATTAGGTACCTAGACCCAGCCGTATGGTTTGAGTGGTTTAAACTTCAGGAAAGAGCATATCCAATTGTTCAATATTGAACCAATGAAGACGCTTAGACCGTTTGAGCTTTCCAATACCCCTTGCCTTAGTGTACCCAGGTATTGGAAGTGCATGCTTTATCCAGGCTCCCAGGCTCCATAGTAGATACAGATACGTACCTAGGTACCTAGATAGGCAAATTTAGCTACCAAGCTACATACTTACATACCTGACGGCTCTTCCACCTTCAACAACTTTTTCCGACTGGGCTAATAACTTCCGAGTTATAGGGGTTCAAATTGATTGCGACGCCGTTTCTCTCAGATCACATCTCACATTGGGTCTCCAATATCTTTTCCAATATCGAATGATAAATCTTCTTCCACTCTATTTTTTGATCCGATTCGGTACGCCCCGCTGATTGTAACCTCTTCAGCAAAAAAGGGACAGCCAGCCTGCCAGCCTCTTATTATTGTACGTAGTCAATATTTCTTTCCTTTGTTCCTTTTGGACGCCCCAAGAACCAAGAAACCCCCAACCGCCGCCATTATCGTCTCATTCTGCCCCATCCCCATCCATTAACTGTGACATTACCACATTACCACATTATCCTTCATCCCCCATCCGCCGTCCGCCATCCACCATCCGCCAGTCTTACACCGTCTAGCTGTCCTCATTGATTCCTTATTTGTTTCCCACCTTCCAAAGCTTTAGGTAGCACGCGCTTTCGAATTTATCCAAGAGAAGGAGCTACAAAGAGTAAGAGGGAGATTCATTCCTATCCCGTCGCCGCCACACCTATTCTATCTTATCCAATTCCATCCTCGGGACGTTCACGCCACCACCACCACCATCACCACCACCACTGACCTAGATCATCAAGCAAGTGCCTTCAAATCAAGGTCACCGTTGTGTGTCTATGAAAAAGGTCCCACACCCCCCCCCCCCCCCCCTAGCACATACCTAGTACATTTCAAGCTCCAGTATCCCTATCGGGGCACCCTATCCCAGCTTACCTACCCTATCAGGATTGCTTAACCAGCTATCGTTCCAGCCTGCGAACCGTGCTTAACAAAGTACAGTACGGTCCAGTCCTACGATACTGGGAACACTGGGAACGTAGTGCCGTTGCCCCATACCTACTGCCCATACCGGTACTGCCCATATTGCCAGCTTGCCTACCACCTCCTGCGATCTGCGGCACCATACCCTTCCGACCTTGTGTCAAAACATTTCTAACCCTTATGCAACGCAGCTCCCTTCTACACTTTTCTACTTCTACATAGTTGCGTCGCCGGCAGGTCCTTCCAGAATAATTTCGGTACTATAATCAAATATATCTTCATCAAATACTAACACCGCTGGTTTCTTTAGCCATCGACTTCTAAACCCCGGCCCCTTGCTGGTTAATCAAATTGAACATATCGAAATCGCCAATCATGGCTGCCCCTGGTGTTCAATCGTTGAAGGTACGTCCGCGACGTCGCTCCAAGTGAATACCGCATCATAAAGCAAACATACTAATGCGAGATTACCCTGCAGTGCGTCGTTACGGGTGACGGTGCTGTCGGAAAGGTCCGTCTATTCTAACCTTAGCCAATGTCGACCGAGTCCTAGCCGTGTTCCAAATCTAACATCGATGTCAGACATGTCTTCTCATTTCATACACAACGAATGCCTTCCCCGGTGAATATATACCCACGGTGTTAGTAGAACTTGGCCTTTGTCCCATTTTAAATTGTATACTGATGTCACATGCAGTTTCGACAACTACTCGGCAAGCGTGATGGTTGATGGCAAGCCTATCAGCCTAGGACTATGGGATACTGCTGGTCAGGAAGATTACGATAGATTGCGACCGCTCTCCTATCCTCAAACCGATGTTTTCTTAATCTGCTTCTCCATCGTGAGCCCGCCTTCGTTTGATAACGTAAAGGCTAAGGTACGTGAGCAGTGGGAAAAAAACACCTAATCGGTCTAGTCAATTGCTCTGGATTAAGTAACTAACTCATCTCAGTGGTATCCCGAAATTGATCACCACGCGCCAAACATTCCCATCATCCTAGTTGGGACCAAGTTGGATCTTCGAGAGGACCCCGCCACCCTAGAAAGCCTTCGATCCAAGAGGATGGAGCCCGTGTCATACGACCAAGCCTTGGTTTGCGCAAAAGAGATCCGTGCCCACAAGTATCTTGAATGTTCGGCCCTCACTCAGCGAAACTTGAAGAGCGTATTTGACGAGGCTATTCGGTATGATAGATCCACGATAAGCTTCCCAATGCTTGACCACATATTAATCTTATCTACAGTGCCGTCCTAAACCCTCGGCCCGCCCCTACAAAAGGTGGAGCAAAGAAGAGCAAGTGCACGATTCTATAAACGGCACGTAGCAGCATACATCATTGCTTATGACATTTTGAGATTTGGTCGAGCGAGCCAGAAGGTTTTTCGAAACGATGATGGCGTTTTTGGTGGACATATAGGAAAGACTACCATCCTCCATGAGGAACCGACGTATTCAGGCATCTTCGAGTTGGCCGACTACCCATATTTCGCGTCCCCTCATTTTGAAATCTACATACCCAGACGTTTTTGGTGGCCGTTTTGTTGCGGGCCACGTATCCGACCAGAAGAGAATTAGGGGGAAAGGATCAAGTTGCAAAGTGGAAAGCCGTCGAGGAGGAATGGGAAGCATACGTGAGCCCGCGAGTACCGTTATTTTTTAAAGAGTTCTGGCACGCTGCCATCCTGTTTGCTCCTTGCCATCTTGGCTTCCGTCGGGATTGGACATACAGGGTAAACTGGGTTTAAATATTTCTACATGGAAATCACCCCTAAGAACAACTAGACGGCAGCAAGAGTCACAGTTCCCCACATATAGCATACTCAACTCGCCTTTTCACAATTCTGTAGATAGCATATTTGCGAGAAGAATCTAAATTTCACGGCATGTTCCCCCACCAAACTTGACGTCGTTTTTCGTTTCCTATAACTTCGTGAACGCCCAAGTTGCTTTATGAAGCACGTGATTAAGGTAAAATACAAAATACATAGGTTAATGGAAAAGCTATCTCTATAAGGGTATCATGACCCGGCTCCAGGGACCCTCCCACGTCGGCTAGGGTGGATAGCATCCTCGAAGCCGGCACCAGTCTTCTCGCCCCCATTCTGTCCCTTCACCTTCTCCTTCTCAGCCTTAGCCTTAGCCTCCTCCTGGGCCCTCCGCGCGCGCTCCTCATTCAGCTTCTCGTTCTTGGCGCGTATCTTCTCCTTGCGATGGGAGGTGTTCCCGCCGCCGCCGGCGGTCAGCTCGACGTTGATGCGGCGCTCCTCGGTCCTACCGTCGCCTCCTTTACCACCAGAGGGGCAGACGAAGGTGGTGTGGTGCATGGTCTTGAGGCACGTCTTCATGTGGTCGTAGCGCGCAAACTCGACGAAGGCGATGCCCCGGGACTTGCGGGTGCGGGGGTCGTGTAAGAGGCGCACCGAGGTGGGGTGGACGGCGGAGAAGTGGGCTGTTATTTGAGAGGGGGTCGCGGTGTAGGGGAGGTTGCCGACGAAGACTATGAAGCGGACTTTTTTGGATGGGGGGGGTTCGGAGGGGGTGGTTTTTTCTTCTGATGCTTCTGCTTCTTCGTTGGCGGCAGCGGTGGTGGTGGTGGTGGTGGTGTCTACAGGGTCGGTGTCGGTGGGTTCTTGTGGAGCGTTGGCTTTGGACTCGGACTCGGACTTGCTTTTGCTTTTGCTCTTGGACTTGGATTTCTTGTCCTTCTTGTCCTTCTTGCTGCTCTTCTTGGAACTTTCCTTAGTCTCCTCTTTGCCCTCGTCGTCGCCTTGAGGCTCTACGGCGGGGAGAGGAGCTTCGTCCATGGGGGTGTCCTCGGGCGAGTCAGCGGCTTCGAGAGCTGCGTTGTCTGCGGTGGCGGCATCTTCGTCTTCGGCAGAGGGAGTGTGCTTGTGGTGCTTGTCTTTCTTGGATGATGACTTCTTGCTCTTCTTCTCCTTTTTACTCTTCTTGGACTTCTTGTCTGCGACGGGGTCCGCGTCGCTTAGGCGTCTTCGCTTCTTGCCCGCGTTGTCGTTGTCGCTGTGAGCAGCGATGCTGGTGGTCGTGGTCGTGGGGTCGTCTTCTGACTTGCGCTTCTTGGAGGGCATGTTGTCTTTGGATTCCGTCTAAGGGATGGGGTTCAGTAAACAAAAGTGTTGCAAGAATGTACCAAATCTCTCAGGTGATCTGGGTTGTTGAGGGTAGTGGGTGGTAGCTCTTTGATATATTCCGTAGTTAGCAGAGATTCACAAGCGCGATACAGTCCGGACAGAAAATTTTAGCGGGGCCTGCAACTAGCTACATGTAGCCGTGTGGAGCTAGCGTCGAGTACAAAGATAAGGTACCTTAGTATACTTTAGATATCTATATCTCATAAATACATTAATGCTCAATCGAATGCCCCTTCATAGACACATATCACATTAAGCAAGGTTGCCTTCACTCCTCCATGAACAGCATCGTTTGACTTCTAGCCTCCATGCCTCAGATCCATCTCAACTCATGGCGTCTCAATCAATTAGCATAGGTATTCAATCAAAGCTATATTAATACTCAAGGAGCCTTATATAGCAATCCAGCCCTAGCACCACGTACGAAGCTACCGACAGTCCCGGCAGCTTGTTCTCGAAGTACTTGTTCAATCAATGAGTTAAGCGACTATTATTCGTAGTCTTGTAGCTTATATCAAAGTGAAACAAACCTCTTATAGAGGCTTGGATTTCATAACGTCAGTATGTACGTTTCTATTCTTACTTACGTATCGTATTGTATCAGGTAGTCTAATCTTTCAGCTATCATAGTGGACTCCGGCGTTCTTAACAAGATCCAGCTATTATAGTAAAGATGAAATCCTCAGTGTAGCTTACTTAGGTAGTCTATGTTGACTGAAGGGTTTCGCAACAAGACTATGGAACCAGGCGCAATAGACCAAAGCTTGATTATATCCAAAAAGACAAGGCGCTATACAAAACATGAAGACTTTTTAGAGAGTTATTCAGGCTAGCGTTCTGATTGGTAGTATGCTCGTGCATGGTTGGTTAGGTGTCAACGCATTAGTTCGACAAAAAAAGCGACCACCGTGGGACTCGAACCCACAATCTTCACCATATTCCAAAATACCGGAAAGTGACGCGATACCATTTCGCCAGACGGCCTGTTCCTTATACAAGGATTATCAATGCAGAATTTTTCGCCTAAATTAACTAAAGAAGTCTACTGGGGAGAGATGTCAAAAAGCTACACAGATGCTATTTGTTCGATATACTCAGACTGTTTGGGGAATATTTACACTATTAACTTAGGAACTAGGTAGTTAAATCAAATACGTATTAGATTTACTTAATTATGTTAATGTTAAAGCTTGGCCAATTTGTTCCAAGTTTTAATCTACCAGTTTAGTTGTTTTGTAAACCAATAGCCATATACCCAAGTCAGCCATCCTTTTCAGATTGAGCTATAAACCAAGTCCGTGAGGATATTAAATAATGTCATGTTCAAGGCTACTACATGATTCGGTTTAAGATCATTTCTCTGTATCATCAAATTCCTCGGGAGCTTAGATATAACGTATAAGTATACATATGGATGTCAAAATGAGTGGGTGGATGTTGGATATGGCCGAAGAAAAGGGGGAAGGTGTTGTCCTCGGCTACAAAAATAGGAGAGCGACATTTTTGAAATAATTCTTTACTTGATACGGAAAACCCACAGGTTCTCTTACTGAAAAGTAAACTGTGCAAATAAATGAAAAGGTATGAAGTTTGATTCATTTGCAGGTGTTAATACCCGGGTACTTCGAGTATGTATATGTATTTTGGCAAGAGACGATACTTGCTTGCCAACTCAAGCAGTCACGATTCGGTATGAATTTATTGCTTTACTTTCCCAGTTTTTTACGCATTAGAGCTAAACTTCCTTATTTGGGTACTCGGAAGTTCCTACTCCTACATGCGTAGGTTAGTTTGATAAAGGCAAGACGTACTTGCCCCAGTCATCGAACAGAGGACCTGTTACTCAGGTGACAAAGTTGCGCACCTCTCCCGTCTCCCTTTTTCACCCTTTTTCACATTACAACACAGAATCAGATTCCTCAACACGTCTTTCTTTTTTTTGGATTGCCAAATATTAACATTCGTTTCTTCGGATCGATCTTCTTGGTGATCATCCTTACTGTCTTCAGTCATTCGCTTTAATACGATTTATGGAATCTAGAAAAGCAGAAAACCGGTAGAAAGAAAAAGACACACATAACGCGACATAAATCACTCTCTTCGACTCCTTTCTATTCCGATTACCAAGTCAAGTAATAAGACCCGATGATGTTTGCAAAGTTACTTTTTGCGCGGGTTTTCCTTGCAAGCCTATTGCATCTTGCTGTCGCAGTTAGCAATGGCACGATTTTGAGCTCATCAGCTGGACCGCCAAGTAAGTCTTCTTTTGGCGCCCCTATCAGATTACCCTAGTATCTTAAGCTAATACAACCTTAGGCTGCGCCTCCCGTTGCATGGTAGACAGCATGTTTGTGACGCAGTGCCTGGATACAAGGTGTCTCTGCAACGAGAAAGACTACCAGAAGGTTTGTCGTCCCTCCTTTGCAACAGCTCCTTATCATGTAGCTAACTCTGTTTATATAGTCCCTATTCCAGTGCCTCTATTCCCAATGCGACTCGAACAATTACGGCCCGGCTCTTAGCCATTCCATCTCACTTTGTATGAGCTTTGGCGCTGAGATTTATATGGCTGCTCCGGGTAGGGTTGATGACGAACTCCTGCGGTCCCGCGAAGAGGATTATCTTGCCGGAAGAGAAGTCAAAGACCTTCCACATCTCCAACTAAGGCAGGAAAGCGTTGCCGGCATAGGAACGACCATAACTGTTACTACCACCGTTACAGACTTCATTACCGTGTCTTATTCCGCTATCACTTTCACCTCGCACCAACTAACTCCTAGTCCATTCCTAGAGACGTCGCAAGCAGCGGAAGTAACAACTACCTCATCCAGCCGACCTTGGGTGATACCCGTATCCGAAGCAACTGAGGCTCGGTCGAGACCGTCATTTTTCGGGCTGGTCTTGTGGATTGCCTCTGCTATCATGCTCGATTACTGGATGGTCATGAGCAGCCACTAGAGCTAGATGAAAATATCGCCATTGTTGATTTTATTTACGTCGTGGGTATGGAAATTTGCTATTAGACGAGGGGCACGAATGTTGTTAGGGTGCGGATGATCACCCATGTAACCTTAGCCATGCTGATAATTGTCTATAATTAAATATCACGATCCCATTGATCCGGTTTTTAATTGCCTCTGTCCAGTGAGTTAATCTAGGTGTACCTGAATTATTAACTAACGAAAGACGAAAGACTCATCGATCTGCGGGGTATCATATGTTGATTGCCTTCCTCCACTCTCATGTGATTATATAGAATAAGTTTGAATACCTTTGGCAACCTAGGTTAACAAACTAACTGACGCCATACCCGCCTGCTTAGTAGAAAAGCAGCTGCAGGGGCTTCTCAGGATCAGCATATCTCTCCTTGAACTCTTGGCGGGCCAGCCAACGGGCTAGTGGTAACATAGTCTCCTTCATATCCATGACGCCGCGTTTCTTCTGATCAATGTGCGAGGCATCTACGACCAGACGTTCGAGTTTGCTTAGGTTCAAGGCGGCTATATGACTGTTAGACTTGCGAAAAAGGTTTATCTAGGAGAAGACGGGGAGCGAGACTCACAGTTATCGACTAGATCGGATAATCGAACGGGAGTGCCCACTGCGACGCCCGTGCGGTGCTTCTGGAGGAATTGCACGCTTTCTTCGATCTTGATGTGCTTTGCGAACTGAGGAGGGGAGTTAGCCGAGATAGCCCCTTAATTGGCTTGGATGTGCTCTACGTACCAGTTTTGCGACTGTGTTTTTTTTCGATTGGTATTTCCGGACGGACCTATGCTTTGTGAGTTAGGTACTTATAATACTGAGATAAGGGGAATAGGGATATGAGGGAAAGAAAGGGGGAGGTACCTGACGAGATCTGCGGCTCTCAGACCGGCGCCGGTGACGATGATGGTGTGTGGTGCGCCGTTCTCCTTGGGTGCTTCCCCTAGTTTCTTTGGGTCTGCGAATTGCTCTAGGAACTGTGGTAGATTCTCTAGATTCCTCGTCTCTTGGAAAGACGTGGTGTCTGTGATGTAGTTTGCTATGGTTGGCTTATTAGTGTCTCTGTTTTCGATGAGATATGGGATGAATCAAGCGAGCATACGTGATATGTCTAATTGGCTGAGCTCGACTGGTTTTAAATCCGTTCCAAATCTCCTGATTTTCTTGGAATAGTGGTCTGCCAGGAGTAGATTGTCGATCATGGACATCTTCTTGTTCACGCCGGCTTCCAGGTCGAGGTATTCCTCATCTTCCTCGTAAGCTTGCTTTCTTCGTTTGCGCGAAGCAGTTTCGTCATTGCGAGGGCGTTTCTTGGACTTGGCTTTTGAGGCTGCGGGCTGCTGCTGCTGCTGCCTTTGAACTTGAGTCTCGGCCATAATTGACGTTTATTTGTGTATTTTGGATTATAGATTTACGTGTGAAGTGTAGATGGGATGTTATGTCGAATATTATGATGGTTGCTGTAATATGAGAATGAGAATGAGAATTGTCGATGAGAAGAAAAATTCAGTTAACCGTTGAGGTCTTAGCTCCTAAATTAAATATTCGTATATGCGAGATGCATACACATACAGTGACTTACCGTACTGTATTGAGGTACCTATGTAATTGTACAATACTTTGTAACTGGTACCTAGCTTGAATTATCTAATCTAAGCCCCGCCATGCCGATACCGACATCCCACCAAGAATAGAAAATTGCCCCGCGTCACACGTTCGAAGTTCGCCGGAAGAGTCAAAACTGGCACATATCAGTAATTTATCACCCCATCGTACGTTGTTGTTGTTGCTCACGCCGGCCACGTATTTATACGAGGGAATTCTACGGGTCTGTTCTAGTATTCCCACTTCAATTGAATTTATACCGCTTCCACAAATCCCACTAGAACATGTCTGAAGCTCCCGTTGACCCGGCGGCCCAAGCTGAGGGTTCTGCCCCTCCAGCCGAGGGTGAAGCTCCCGCTCAGTCTAAGAAGGGCGCAAAGAAGGCCGAAGCAAAGGCTAAGAAGGAAGCTGAAAAGGCGCGTAAGGCTGCTGAGAGAGAAGCTGCTGCCGCTGCTCAAAAAGCTGCTTCTGGCGGCAACGAGGATCTCGCCAAGGACAACTATGGCGATATTACTCCCATCACCAGAGTTGCCGCAGACAAGGTGCGACTCAAACACCTAGGAGACGAACATATTGGGAAATCTGTTAAACTACGAGCATGGATTCAAAACTCCCGTATGCAAGGCGCAAAGATGGCTTTCGTCGAGCTACGAGAAGAGCGCAACTGGTCTATACAAGGTGTCATATCTGCCAGTGCCGAGGGCAAGCCGGTTAGCAAGCAGATGGCTAAATGGGTTGGTGGCATACGATTGGAGAGTTTCGTGTTAGTCGAGGCTACCGTCCAGAAGCCTCTGGAGCCCGTCAAGAGCTGCCGTGTTAGCGACTACGAGTTACACTTAACAAAGGTCTATCTGATCGCCTCTGGCCCCGAGGTGCTTCCCTTGGGTCTCAATGCCGCGAATAGGGCCATTTCTAGTTTCGAGGATGAGGACCCTTCAGCACCTGCCCCGGCACCCACCGAGGGCGTTGAGAACCTGAGCATTACCGAATCTGCTGCTGCGCCGTCTGCGAGCTTGTCTACGCACTTGAACAACCCTGCCCTGCACAAGCGAGCACCCGTGCAGCAAGCTATTGCTGATGTTCGAATGACCGTGCGAAAGCTATTTAGCGAATATCTCGACTCCAAAGATTTCGTCCAGTTTGAGCCCCCTTGCCTAATTGGTGCCGCTTCTGAAGGTGGCGCAAACGTGTTTTCGCTACCGTACTTCGAGAAGCAGGCCTTCCTTGCGCAGTCGCCTCAGTTCTACAAGCAAATCGAAATTGCTGGTGGCCGAAAGCGTGTCTACTGTATTGGACCGGTGTTCAGGGCAGAGAACAGTAACACTCCCCGACATATGACCGAGGTAGGATTTAATTTAATTGGTTATTATTGTATGAAGTAGGTCAACTAACGATTTCCAGTTCACTGGTCTCGATCTGGAAATGGAAATTGAAGACCACTACCACGAGGTCCGCGACATGATCGAAGGTGTCATGCTCTACATTTTCCGAGGCCTCCAGGAGCGATGTAAGGAGCAAATCGAGCTCGTCCGAGCTATTTACCCGTCAGATGAATTTTTACTGCCGGAACATGGTAAGGAAGTACGACTCACTTTCGCCGAGGGCCAGAAGCTACTACGTGAGGAAGGGCCTGAGGAATTCCGCAACGTCTCGGATGACGAGGATATGAGCACCCCGCAAGAAAAGGCGCTAGGTGCTCTAATACGCAAGAAGTTCGGCACCGACTTCTACGTGCTCGACAAGTTCCCCGAGGGCGCACGTCCTTTCTACGCTATCGAGGATCCCGAGAACCCCAAGGTCACCAACGCGTACGATTTCTTTATGCGCGGCCAGGAGATTCTATCCGGCGGCCAGCGTATCCACACCCCCGAGCTGCTCGAGGCTCGTCTACGCAAGAAGGGCATCGACCCCACGAGTCCCGGTATCAAGGACTACGTCGACGTGTTCAGGTCGGCCGGCGTGCCGCCTCACGGTGGTGGAGGTATCGGTCTCGACCGTGTGGTCGCGTGGTACTTGAACTTACCCAGTGTGCATCTGGCAAGCTATTACCCCCGCACACCGAAGAGGCTCACCCCGTAAGGGATGGGCGGCTGTGTGATTTATGTACCTACCTTGCCGAGGATTATTGCGGCAGGAAGCGAAAATTGGGAGGAAAGTACCTAAAGAACTATTCTCGTGATTCAGGAGCCATGTTTTGGTCATACCTACCTAGGTACCTAACCTGTTGTGCCGAGCTGAAAAGAAGTAGATTTCGTGGCAAATAGAATAAATAAACCGAAATAAAGATTTTCAAATTAATGAACCGTACTTGCGCGTCTAACGTTGCGTTGCGTATGCAACTAGATACCTAGGTAGGCATCATCTCAGATTAAGATAATCTGTCTCTCTCTCTAAAAGTCCTCTGTCAACCCAGGAAGATAGATAGGTGGACGATTAATGAATATTCTATGAACCCCAGAGAACGGGTTTCAAAAATGAATTTTACTGATATATATTTGAATAGGTACTTTTCGTATACACAATGCCAATTTTATATTCTATTAGTGCCTACCTACCTCCTAGACCTAATGGTTCTTGATATGCCGGAGTATATCGGTTGTTCGATGATATATCTCAACTACGACTAGTATGGTAGGCTATGTACCTGGTAGTGCAATCATAAGAGAGACGGAGGGGGGTGGGGTGAGGAAGTAGGCTTATAGACGATTTTAGAAAAGACGAAGAGCGCTGAAAATAACCTCATCGCTTGCTAGGTACTCTTGCTACATTCTTAAGCGCCTAATTTATAGAGGCCTCTGCTGTTGCGATATATAACCTTTGTTCTGGAATGTCAGGATTATAGGTATGTAGATACCAATCTACCCAGCCTTCAATACTTAAAAAAGAAAATAAAAAAAAGAGAGACGAGAAGCAATTCAGATAGTAGATATACGAGATATATTTATTTATTTTGTTTATTCGTATTACCTAGACACTTCCTTCCGCGTAGCATCTGATCACCTACCTATTCATGGTATCATGACACCACCGGTTCGTTCCCCTTTACAATACTAATGTACAATGCATATCGTATTCCCCCCCTATCCGCACGTCACGTTTTCATCACTTCGTGCTTACCATCCCGTTCTCTTATATTAAAACTTGTAATATTCCCTCGTATCCCCTAATCCAATTCATTTAAGATTTCCACCGAGCGTCGATCTGCTTCTTTCGGACCTGCGTTGGGTTGTTAGCATTTATATTTCGCCCCCTCGAAAATGACATATATATGGAGTGCAAAGCTTACCATAGGTCTCAAAGCACCTACACCTAGAACAAGTGCCGCAACCGTGCCTACGAGCGCCAACTTATTGAACCCCTTACCCAAGACATCGAACGCCAGGCTAGGCGTGACCCTCGTGCCAAACACGTCGATACCATACGCTAGAACCAAGCTTGTGCTCTCGAGCACCGCCGGCGCCGTAATTATCTCCTTAACACCTAGCACGTCGCGTTGGTGCGTGATAAACATACGCGGGTCTAACTCGATGGCAGGGAAGTACTTGCTCAGCCCCTCTTCTAGCTCCGCAGGAGTCGGATCCCGACCTACGGGGCGGCGAGGCTCCAGGGCCATGCGTGGAATGCCGACAATAGAGTGGGATTCCGGTAAGTATGCCAGTAGCTGGCGAGATGTGATGCCCTGGCGCGTCCTTGTCACAGCGAGTGATTTAATAGGGGCCGAGAGGATAAATGTTTTGGACACAACGGAAGGGAGATATGGGCCAGTGGGCAAATCGATCGGATCTAAGGCTGAGTAGTTAACCAAGTCGTCGAGCGGACCGCGATCGTTTGCATTATCTGATTCGTATAGGTCGGATACGACAATTTGGTACCCCTTTAGTCTTTGGGATTGAGACTCTCGCAGTTTGTATTGACCGAAGAAAGAGCATACAAACCAGTTCTCGGCTATTGCGCAGGTGATGTCCTTAGTCGGGTCGACACCTTCGTAGGTAGATGAAGTTAATACTTGTCCGGAAACTGTATCTAGGAGGTAGACTGAGAGAGAGGCCGCTTGCTCGTTGATCGCGGCGACCACCAGTGTATTAGGGTTCAAGTATTTATACTTGACGGTCCGGTCTCCAAGTACTCGGCCTATAGATGCAATCGGGTCGTGTGTAGAGCGGCTTGCAACCTCGACGATCCTCTGTCCTGCGGGAGGGTTGAAGATCCAAGTTGAAACTTCGATAGCTTGTTCGCCCTGAGTCACAAATTTCACCCCCCTAATTCCGCCATCACTCGTCCGTGTGACAACAGTTTGCTTGGGAGCCCATGTGCTATTGATCTCGGCAATCTTCCCGCCTTCGCCAATGGGTAACAACCAGGGCCCGGCGTCGCTGTCCACCACAACAGCACTTTCAACTGCCGGAAACAAACCGGTCGGCATCGATTCAACAGTCTTGCCAGTATCGGATTTAACGATAATAAATTCACCATCAGCTCCACGGACGGTAACAAATCCGTTTACATCGTCAGCATGGATAGCCTTCACATCCCATGGCTTCTTTCCAGGAGTCTCGCTTGCTGGCTTAGACCAGACAATCCTTCCGTGGTTGCCGGTATCAAGACCGTACAGCTTACCGCGCTTCGTCGCCAGAACGACGAGCTTATTGAATCCAAAGCTATCTCGTGAGAGGGTTTCGCTGGACCTGGCTGTCTCTGAGCCAAAAAGACTAGCTGAAATACGCTCGGGAATAGTTTGTAAATACGCGGGCAAGTATTGAAGCTCATCGATATGACGAGTCACGCGATGGACGAAAGCGGACCAGGGATCGGTATGTGCCTCGGCCTCTAAAGTCTTCGCTAGATCTTCTGACTCGGGAATTTCCGCCCACGTAGCAGCAACTACACCACTTAATCCTTCAGGTCGAGTCCAAGACACATCGCCATTGACAATTAGCGTCCAGTCATCGGCATCAGTGACGACAGCTGACCTGACGGCGTAGTTATCCTCTGACTTCTTGATGACCTCGGAGACGCCGTGCACAGCATGTAATTTTTCCGCTTCTGTGTTCAAGGACCAGCGACCCAAAATGCCATGAGAGACCGATGAAGTAATAATGACCTCATCAGCAGTAACTCGAGTGAAGTAGACATTGGCAGCAGACGAGCTAGTAGAGAATGCACTTCCACCCTCGAGCAACGGTAAGTCGTATGCTTTGCTGATGGCATTGCTCTTGAGGTCGACGTGGAATATGTCCGCCCTACTTCCCTTCTTGGTTCGAGTGTGTACGAGGAAATGAGGCGAAGAGCGGACAGTGTGCGGAGCATGGACCTCCACACTAACGGTATCAGCCACGAGGGGGAACTCCTGTCTGTTCTTAGAGCCGAGGACGTTGACCTTGAGCTTCGTTAAAGTGTTATCTGTCCAAGCAACGACGGGGGCCGCGGAGTTAGCACCGACGAACTGGACATCCTCCGGCTTTTGTACTTCGCCCTTAGTTCCGAGGACGATCTCGTCTAGCTTCCTCCCGGTGAGGGTATCCAGCACGATAACCTTGAGGTTGTAGGATAACAGCGATCCGTGTAGAGTGACAACAAACACCTTCTCGACGTTGGTGCTGACTTGTAGAGGAATGTCCTTAGTAAGCTCCCTGAATTCCCAGACCACGCGTCCCTCAATACCGTGTATTCTCCGTGCAACCGTGGAACCGTCTTCGTGATATAACGCTAGGACGTCCTTGTGGTCTGTCTCGGTCATCTCCATAACTTCTAAGTCCTTGACAGCCCCATCGAAATCAAGTGTCCAAACATTACGGCCGCTAATAGCATCCCACGCATGCACGGAGCTGCCCAAAGCACTCGCTAACCACGTCTCATCCTCTCCAGCTCGTAGGTGGCCACCACCACCATCCGTAACATTCTTATTTAATAACTGTCTCCACACGACGGCGCCGTTGCCAGGATTTACAGCACCTAGAACGCCTAAGTCGCTAAGAGTGTATAGCAGGCTAGCCTTTTCCTGAGGCCTCGGACGGTGTAAGAATGTGGTTTCGCGTTGGGGAACACCGAGGAGCTCGTGGTGGAAGTCGATGTGGCCAACTTCGTCTTTAAAGACGGCGCGCACGGCAGCAGGTAGAGCTAACAGCAAAGCGATTGATAGCGTCTGCGCCGGTAGATGCATCTTGGTCGGATGCGTAGAGGCTAATCTACGCGACAAAGATGCTATTTGGAACCGGGATCGTGAGAATTAATAATATCTGGCATTTAGAGTCGATGATTTAAAGAAGGTCCACCGTTGTTCAACGTTGGGGACGAATCCGTGTGCATATGCAGAATCCATGTCGAATCGAATCCACATATGATCCAATGCTTACATAGGTGCCTTAGGTACCTAGGTACTATTACGTAACTCGTATGCACACAACGAAGCTATTCATCTATACAGATACTATACCCGTTAGCTATCTCGATAATGATATCAAGGAAATTTGATTCATCTCATTAAGTCAATTATATGTACCTGCTATGCTAGGTGTACCTAGCTCAAAAATCAATACGCCAATGTAATAGCAACAATCTCAAGCATCAATTGGTATCTCCCGAAGCATAACTGCCATGTATGCCTTCCTTCTGCTGGTATTACATGCATCATTATCAAGACCTCCGTCTTGACTGTCCTGCTTAAGGAACTGGCTAAATGTGAAAGGAAACGCATGGATTATCTGCTTGAACAGCCCTTAATAACATTGCAATGGACTAGGAGAGAAATGGCGTTTTGGAATTGCGGTCAACTATATCTCCGGCCCGAAGGAACTTGGAGCTTTTACTCATTGTCATCTCTGATCATCTTGTTAGCTTAGATTGTCAAACCCGAGTTAACTCAAGTTGTAAACTTACGTCTTCTTGGGACGACCTCGACCTCGTCCACGCTTAGGAGCAACTTCTTCCTCGTCGACTTCAGCGGCCTTGGTCTTGCGGCCACCCTTTGCTTTGGGTGCTGCCTTCTTGGGTGCTACCTTCGGGGCAGGTTTCGGGGCAGGTTCCTCTTCATCTTCTTCATCCTCCTCAGGTTCAACAGCCTTAGCCTTACGACCGCCCTTCGCCTTGGGCTTGGGCTTAGCCTTCGGGGCGGGCTCTGGTTCCTCATCTTGCTCGTCGTTGTCAGATTCAGGGGCTGGGGCTGGGGCTGGAGCTGGAGCAGCAGCTTTCTTGCCTCGAGCTTTTTTAGCAGGGGCCTTGGCAGGAGCCTTCACAGGCGCAGCTTCTTCTGGCTCTTCCTCTTCCTCGTCCTCGTCGGCTACCTTCTTAGACTTGCGGCTAGCTTTGGTAGCCTTCTTCTTGGCGGGCGGGGCATCATCCTCTTCGTCTTCCTCATCCGCCTTCTTGCGGCCACGCTTTGCAGATTTTTTGGGGGCAGCCTTTTTGGGGGCATCCTCGTCCTCGTCCTTAATAGATGTGAGTAGGAGTAGAAACGGAACGCAATGGATAGACTGACCTCATCATCATCATTCGCCTTTTTCTTGGAGGGAGCACGACCACGAATAGCCGGATGGCCAGGCTTGTTGAATTCTGGATCCTACCAAGTTATTAGTTACGACTTGATGGACTATGCAAATTGTAAGCTTACTCCTTTGAAGTCCTCGGGATCAATATGACCCTGAGTCACGACACGCCGAATCTTTTCTTGGATCTCAGGATGCTCACTAGGGACGAGATGTTAGCAAAACGGAAGAACGACATACTATATATTGGTAAGACTTACTCCAACTCGTCGTAGCCGTCGATCATGTCCCACTCGTAACCACCATCACCATCGGAGATCTTCTCCTGAAGATTGGCTACGGTCTTACCAGAGACACAACCCCTTTAAAAGGATTAGTTGGTGATTTATAAAAGCAAGAGACTGTCATACCAGTGTCGCCATCTGTAGGATCCATTTTCGGATCCGGGCAAATCAACCCAGACACCGAAACGCAGCTCACCCTTTTGGATTTTGTCGATGTTCTTCTTGCACAGCGTATCCTGACAGCCAGCACGGCCAGTCTTGGCAATCTCTATAGAATAGGTTAGCTATACTAAGGGGGAAGACAATTGGCGTAATAATGTAATGCGAAGACAATGATTGATGATGATGGGGTAGAATGTAAGGGGTGATTATTCACAACGATAGGGATAAACGAATAAGTAAAGCTCAAGGCGTACCAATGCGGTAAGACATGATTGTGCTGTATTGATTTGAGAAATACTAAATGTATAGTCTCTTAGGATGTCGCAAGTCAGTATGGCATCAAAAGTAGGTGAAGAATTGTATAATATGAGAAGGGGGCGATTCGGTGTAGTGGTGGTAGTAGTGGCGACCCTCGGGAAGGAATTAATTAATGCAGGTCTTGGAATATGTAATTTTTTGAAGATATTTGTGGAAGAAACTGCAATTTGACAGATGAATTAATTCAGGGTTCAAAGTGTGTCAAATGCAGGACATCCGAAATAAAGAGAAGAAATGGAGAGACAAAATGGCCTCAGGTTTTGTCAAAGGGAGATAATAAGGAAGGTGGTTGAAATCGAAAGAATTGGAGACGAGTTCGAGGGGTTTGAAACGCGTTGGCAGCGCGTCGAACACGGAGGCAGCTCCAGACACCCCGAACTGTTTGCTTAGCAGTGGGCTGTGCCCTTACAGTTGGCTCTATGTAACACAATTTAGGCGGCAAGGCGATTGATTAGGGCATTAATTATAGGTGTTATAGGTGTCTTTAGGTGCCTAATTCTTTACATAGGCAGATACATACCCTACGTGCACTAGGAGGTACAATACTCACACTAAACTGTACCGCACCTACCAAACCGTGGTTGAGTCACGGTAGATACCTCCTATATTTATATTTAATTTGCACATCTCTTCGTTTAAGGGGAAACGATAATCTACTTAAAAATTCTATCATTTCCCAATTTATTGGCATTCGTAAAATCAAATAACCTATTTCATTTCATTTCATTTCATTTTCTCATATTTTATTACATCGTACATCCTTTTCTTCCAATGTAAACACGCAAGAAACACAGCCTAAATATACAGAACCTGCGTGTAGAGAATGACTATTAAAAATATCATGTCCAAACCCCACGGTAACAATGAGCTTCTCGCTTCTCGCTTCTCGAATCCCAAATCCCATAGTGAGGAAACGAGCAGCCATAAAAATGAAATAGTACTGTTCTTCTACAAGAACGGACACCAACCAATATACATGGCCGATAGGTTCTTCGGGTTGACAGCCTGCTTGATCAGTTCTTCCACCTGCCCCTCAACCCCAAGCGGTATGCTCTCGTCGGGTAATAAACCCCTAACTTTCCTCTTAATACTGTCTACCACGCTCTGCGGGTTAAGCCTGACAACCTCGTTTTTTCTACGCTTATCCCGCTGCAGATCTAACGTCGGGTCGTAGATAAAAGCTTCTAAAATAGTCATCAACGTTTCCTCTTGCTGTCGGAGAATGCTCAGTGTCAGCTCTGAGCACTGTCTAAACGGTCCCTCGTATCCGTAAATTCCCATCGCCGCCACCATATTGTGCGTTAAGCGGAACGGTACCCGTTCGGGCTGCGCAAAGGTAAGTCCTTTATCGAAAAGACAGTTGAAGTCGACATGAAATACGCCGCCGTTGCCTTCTTCTAGGAGCACGTTCTCTCCATGTCGATCACCGAGTCCTAGAATGGTACCAACCATCGACATGACAGCGCACGACCTTGTATACCTGAGTCGAGCTGCGAACCAGGCTGAGGGGTTCGGGAATTGCGCAATGAACCAATTAGGAAGTACAGGTGGGAACATTCCTATGATGGTTTCTGAAAAGATTTTGGTATTCTTGTCTCCCGAGGCGGCATCTTTCATCATCTGCGCTAGGTGTTGATAATTGGGCACAATGCCACGCGATCGGTAAATGGCGAGGAGAATATCCCGAAGTGTTTTAAGCCCGTCAACCCACTCGATGATACCGCACTCCTCATTGAGTGGCGTAACGGCGTACGTTTTAATGTACAGTTGTCTCCTACTAGATTCCGCATCTCGCTTCAGCGATCGATTGATCATCCCATTGAATTCCATCAGCCGCTGGTCAGTTCGGAGATCGTCCTTCGGCTTGATGAGCAGACCATAGTTTACCCCGTTTGACCCGCGAGCCGTAAGTTTTCGAGGTTTTGCTAAAGAACCCAGCACCAAAACCTCGTCGAGGAATGACTGGATGGCAATGACGTCTCGCGAAAATGCTTTATGTTTTTTGACATTATCCGTGAGGGTAGGTAGCGTAGCCGTGAGACAGGCCTCGATCGGGACGACGAGGGGACACGGAGTGCATTTATGATTGAAGTTCAAATCCCGGGTGATGCTGGCTACTGTCGTCCTATTGCTCTGGAAATCCCCATTATTGCAAGCCATGAGTAGCTGCTCTGCCAACTTTTCGCCCATTCGTAGCAGAGCTTTCAGATCGTAGGTACCGTTCTCTACCTTCTTATTTTTACCTCTGAGCTTTTGTAGCATCTGCTGACCGCGCGTCCTCCGTTCCGAAGTCGCTTGCCGAGATGTCATAACAGCAAACAGACTCCATAGCGCTTGTCTTGGATGAGCTTCAACAACTCTCAGTATAATCTCCTCGAGTATCATGAATACTTCGGTATTAGGATGAGCGATACGAGCTACCAGTTGAGGTAAAGTCGTATAAAAGATGTACGCAGGCAGCCGCTGAATTGATTTGAAAAGATACTTATGGAGCGACTCGAGCTGTGTTTTACGACGATAGTGAAGCTCTTTGGAAAGCGAGATCTTGCCTTCCGGCGCTTTATCGACCTGGGCACCCATCTCAAGCCATAACGTTAGTACCCGAGGAAGAGTTTGGTAGAGGTACTTGACCCCATAGTTTAACGATCTGATGTAGTTCTCGATTACGAGCTTCGCTGTCTCCCCTGTCAGATATTCGTCACTTTGATCATCTGGTTTTAGAACCTTTTCAGATTCAAGGACTTTTTTATAATGTCGGCCGAGGTAATAGTGACCCTTTTCCCATGTACCGTAGATTTTAGGGACGTTCCGATAATGTTCCCGCAGTGCGGATGCATGAGTCTGGCCTGCGCTATCGAGCCACTTTGCAAGAAGCAATTGAGCACGCGCAGTCAACATGCTCTGTTGCGACTCAACATTTTTCTCGGAGGATTCATGTTCAGTGAAACTATGGCTGGTAAATGCCTGGCTATCAATGGCTCCCTGAAGCGTCTGTATTGCCTTTCTATTGTGACCTTCTTTCCATAAGAGCCGGGCATTTTCGATGGTCGCGGAATTATCACCCAGCTGCGAAGCATGGAGTACCGCGTTGAAGGACTGGTGCATGGAACCGGCCTTTCTTGCAAGCCGAGCACTTGACAGCCAGAGAGCTGAGATATCCAGATCACTAAATCGCGACCTATTAAAATTAGCTTTCATAGTCAAGCCAACTTGTTATGTAGTTCACGAAAACCTACCCTAGTAATTTCATGGCTGCCCGCCGAATACTGAGCACGTATTGTTTATCGCTTACATAAGATCCGAGAACCTCAAGACGTCGGCTCAGAGTTTTGAGCACCTCCTGGGGGTGTTGGTTGCCATCGTTGTTAATGCCAGCAATGAGCTCTAGATCGGTTAAAACATGGCACTTCAGCATGGGCTCGTGACACGCCTGTAGTGATGATGTGACCGAGTAATTCATGGATGCGTTAACTCTGTCTCTGAGTATTCTCATCTGATCGACGAAGTCCTTGGTTGATCCCCTTTTTAGGCAAAGAAGGGCTTGAGCGATCGATACGTTGAAATTTTCCGTGAGATCTCCTTGATACTTCCTAATGAACTTTTCCATAGTCTGCCATCTTCCCGTTGCCCAGGACGCTTCTACGGCGTACGGCACTATCCGATTGATCGTCGTTACTGCGGTGTGCTTTTCGATACCTTCTACGTAATTCAGAAGGACATCTATGATCTTGATTAGTTATCAGCGTAAACGAACATCCAAGGAAAGCAGCTCACCATGCTGTCCTGACTCCTTAAGGCAAGTTAAGAGATCGATCTGAACGTCCACGTTATCAGGGTCTTCAGCCAGCTTGATTTCATACCAAGTCTGTGCCGCTGCCCATCTCCCAGCCTTCCGATGACTTCGCACCTGTTGGTTAATATCAAGTACGTGCAGATGTGCTGATATTCCCTCTAAGCCATCCGGTTCATCTATTTGCGTATATATGTCTTGCAGCCTTTGAAGGTATCGCTCTCTCTCGTCGGTGCCTCTCTTGTCCTCGTCCACCTGACGAATATGCTGTTCCAGATGAAACAAGGCTCGAGAGTAAGCCTTGCAATCTCCTGCCCGCTTCGATATCAATTCAGCAGGAATAGATTCAAGTATCTTCTGCACTTTATCCATTGCAGCGAGGTCGCGCGGATTAAGACTACTTGAACTCCTCTTCAACTGCAACCATCGCATACCGTAGTCAATAAAACGAAACACAGCCTATTATAGTTAGTCTTAGAGTTATGAATAATGCACACATAAAACTCACCTCGCAGTACAGTTTTTGATTCTCCCTCTCTTCATAAGTAGCATTATTCGGAACTTCATGTTGAAGTACGTTGAGAAGTTCATTAAGAACATTTGAACGCTCTTCGTCCGTCGTATCTTCGCCGACAACAATGTGAAGAACTACATAAGGGAACAGAAATTCTGCTGTCGACAGGTCTTTAATTCGAATCACCCGGCATAGGGGTTCGAATATGAGCTGAGCAAATGGAGCTTGCGGTTTACGCATAAGATCAAGGGTGAGATTCCGCATCCAGTTGGCATACCTTGTTTTACCGGGGCGAAAGATGGGGTATTCTGTCTTCTGCGGGGCCATTGGCTGAACAACGTATCTCGAAGTCATGAAAGGGATCAAGACCTCCCGGGCATTTTCAGACATCGCCAACCATTTGCGGTAAATAGGTGCCGCCTCTCGAGAGCCTTGCATCTCCACGGCAGCTCTGATGTCAGACCTGTCGAGAAGCTCTTGCATAGCATATGAGAGGAACCCCTGAAGATTGGTATCAGTCGCGGAGAGGAATGATTTAACTAGAACCTCTTCTAGTACGTATATAACAAAATCTGTTGTCTCGCCGGCATGCTCAAAGTTACTTTTAACAACGATCTGCCTCTCCGCACGAACTGTCTCCACGCGGTTTGGGTCTAAACAGCCTATCAACCCTATGCACTGGGTGCAGAGATCGCTAATTTCACCGTGGACGCCGTTATATCGTGACGAGCAATCGAGAAGCGAGCGAGCAAGAATAGGCACAACAGAGTCAGGTTGCTCGCTAACGGCGGATGCCTGCAAATAGTCTTGCTGCCTCTGCAGATAGGATACGAGCTCCCTCAGTGCTAGCAAGACGACCCCATCATTCTCATGGCGAATTCTCTCTGCGAGCAAGGAGAAAGCCGTCCTGCTGTCGACAGGTTGACGGAGCTTGCTCAGTTGAGCTTCGATATCTAATAGATTGTTGATGTGGCTAAACGATGGCAGTTTGCTAATCATCGCTTCTAATACCGCACTATCTTTCTCTAATAAAGATTCGATTAAATTTCGGGTCAGTTTCTGGGTTGCTTCGTCGAATGAGGACCAGTAATGACTTATGAGGAAGAATGTAGTTTCAATCAGAGCTTCAACGTCCTCTTCTTCCAAGTGAATAAGCATCGCAGCCCAGCATGAAAACGCAGCGGAGCGAAGTTCGTCATACAGCATTACCGCCTGAAGACAAGCGGAGATCTATTCCGTGGTCAGCACGTATCAAGTGCAAGCTAAGACATCGACATTACCTGCGGACGAGCAATACGGATATACTGTTTACCAGTCCGAATCATCTCCTCCATCGCTTTTATATATCGCTTCCGCTCCTGTATTGGCGTTCGGATTGACGCATCGTTGATGACTTGAGTTAGCCCAGCCATGAGTGCCAGTGCATACCTCTGCAGAAAAGGGCCTGATGCGTGTACTTTTTTCTGTTTCAACTCTCCACCCCCCGCTAACATCATGCTTGCCACTTTATTCAAGACGCCGCGGATCTAAAGTCTAATTAGCGTGGTTTATAACCAACTATATGAGCATAGGGTTCTCACGTGAGGTTTTCGATCTTCGTCAGAATCGCCTGCGGCCTTGAGTAGTTCTAAGGTAGTCCCGATAGGTTCTATTCGAAGTAACTCCAGAAGACCACCCGATTTGTTGAGATGGGGCGATATATGTCCCAACAGCCCCATACAAGATTGCTCAATATCAGGGGCCTCCTGGGTCAGTAAAAGAGCCAATATTGGACCTAGGTTGGCCTCGTCCAGACACGGCTGCCAGACTTCTTTTTCGTTTCGAGCTTCGGCGATCTTTTGAATGACATCCCGCTTCTTGGTAAGCACAAGCCAGGGAAGAGCGTATTTTTGTATGTACAGTAGAAGCTCCACCACACTCATATCTAATAGCTCTGCTAATAGCTTCGTCAGTTTCGGGCGGGTCGTGAGATCCTTGGTTGCGGAGAAGGCAAGATATCTCCAAAACGGTTCAAAGAATTGCCGAATGGCCATACCCCGAGAGCGAGCGAGCTTTACTATCTGCTTAAAGTAAGATGTCTGGCGCAACAAAGATCACAACCAAAAACTCGTACCTCGGCAAATGCGGCTGCAGATATGATCATGCTCTCGTGCCCAAGATAATCAACTAGCTTCACGAGCACAAGGTTTAGTTGATCATCGTCTATAACGCTAATATGAACATTTAGTAATTGTTTAGAAATGGTGTTGAAATTCTGCGCTTACCATCCGACTTGAGACCAAGCTAAAATACAGGTTTCTGTAAGCTGAGGCATGTCTTGGTCCGAAAGAGACCGAAGTATGTTGAGGACATTTGCGCAGTTCCTTTGTTTAACTTTTGATGTGATGTTTGGATGAGTCGATGTAGATAAAAACACGGTAATCGTTCGTCTAAACCTGTTAGATAAAATCGAATAAATGCTTAACGCTTACTCACCCGGCAGCAATACGAAGCTCTCTAACAGAGCTCTGGAGCGACTTCAAGCACCATTGTGCAGTTGTAGAAATTTCTATGTCCAGAAAGTTCAAATCTGTACAGTGCTTTGCGATGCGTCTCACGGCAGTCATCGCAGTTACACGTGGTTTCTGAGATTCGAGGAAACTTGGAAGCTGAACCAACGAAGCAAAAATGCCTTGAACTGCTTGCTTTGTAGTGAGGTCAAGATAAAACGAATTTTCGGGTGACGATTGTGAAGCCTGACAATGACGACAGTCGAGTCGCAGGAACTTATCGCCTTTCTTCTCATGTATCAAAAGCGTATCATCTGCGGCACAACAGACGTAGCCGAGCAAGTCGATAATTCGGCATAGTTCGGGTTCCGATAGTTCTTGGAATTTTGTCCTATTATTATACGTAAGTAAAATATAACCGGCGGTACAGGTAACTAAATAAACGTACTCTAGGATAGGCTTTAAGTCTGCGAGACTCGTCAGGGGCTCAACCCCAAGCAGATGCCATAGGCGAGCGGTCACTTTGGATAACGACAGCGAATCAGCCGAGACTTTTCTTCGCTTTGACTGCCGCTCAGATTCCGTAGCATCTGCGACTTCTATGTTCAATTCATTAACCTGCTGGCGGAGTGCCTCGTCGGAAAATTGGTCGGTCTGTGCCACGACACCCAGCGAAGTAGATATAGGAGTAGTAGCCACTTTCCGGAGCAGTTCTAAACACCTCTATAGTAAAATTAGCACGTACTTGTCTATTATTAGGTTTATACTCACCCATAGATCAGTACCGGAGACAGCAACCTCATTCCCCATTATCGGCTTCTCGAGGGCAGGTATCAGCTGCGAGGTAACGAGTCGTGATATTGGTTCAGATTGTAGGCAAGTCTTAGCCACCTTGCCAAGTGACCTGCAAAGCAATTGGTAGTCAGAACTTCCCTGCTGGTCAGCTATAAGATGTCCCAAAAAATGACTTGACATTTCCATGCAGAGAAGAACCAGTAGCGTAGATGCTTTCTGCTGAATACAAGTATCAAAGCCATCGGACTTTTCGACGGCCTCAAAGAATTCCAAGGCATTTTTTAAGAGTAGAGGGAGGACACTAGGAAATATGTATTGCCATCGAACCTGCGTGCCATGGAGATTAAGATAAGCGTCAAACAGCCAAGGAATATACTCCTGGAAAGCAGACATGATGTCGAATTCAGCGTAGTGTTGCGTTAGAGGTGTGGATATGATAGAGAGAAGGCATGTAGCATGTTGTAGAGCTTGCGATGCCAAAGGTATAACGTATGTACATTGTTGTTGGAGTAACTTTAAGTCTCCACTCGCAATAGACATCAGAAATGGTTCTGGGGGTAGTTGTAAGTGAATAGGGATATCTCGGTTCATCGAATTGACTTTGAGCCCCTTGAAGTGTTCCATTATAGCTGTATAAGTTATCAGCTGAGACCATATCTACGGAACGAAAGCAACTACACGCCTACCGTTGAAGCATAGCTTAATATATGTAAGGAGCTGTGGTAAGACAGGCCACAAAACCCCAGTATGAGAGGCAGTCAAGAGGACTTCATGGAAGAATAGCTCAATTTCGCCTCTTAGATCAGCAGAATGGCCGTTCCCAAGCATTTTCAAGACTTTCGGGAAGATCCACAACCACAATGGTTCACCTCCCCTGAAGAGGAACGAAGCTGGGTCGGATTTTGCAGTCAGGACTTCTGGTGTTTCTCTGATGGTGATCTTCAAAAAATTCACAGCCTTTAATGCATCTGCGCGTAGCTGAACTCTGTCGGCAAAGGGGTCATCCCATCTAAGGCCTTCTAAAACAACTCGGGTATAGACATAGATCAACATGTGATTATGTTCCATTCGCTCTTTCGCGGTTTTTAATAGTTCAGGCTGATTCTTAACTTCTTCTATGATGCCAAAGAACTTCTTTAATTCTGCTGTCTCATCCGGTCGAGAAGAGCGCGTCGAAGCAGAGATATTTTCCACCAGCTGCGCGGCCAGAGTCGACGGTGGTGGGCCATTATTGTTCACGGAGCCATTCGCAAGACTCTCGCGGCCGTTTGGACCAACTCTTCCGTGAGATGTGGGAGCCATACCGTTGGTGTTATTACCTTAGATCATCAGCCTGGTCCAAGGCGAGAAAGGGTTGAGTTTGCGTATTAGAAGTTGGAGACGCGTTCTACGCGAGTTTAATCGTCGCGAGATCACATGATTGAAATTTAAATCTTATCAATCAAAGGCGGGGTCACTCTACATACGATGGATACTGCATAGTACGTACCTTAAGTACCTTTGTATCATGCAGCTCTCGTTGCAACGGGCGTATTTTCCAATTGATGTCATGCCATTCATTTCTAAATTGCTTCTCAACGCCCAACATCAGTCTCTACACCTATTAGTCGAGACGCCATCCTCTTAAACTCTCGAAATTAACTAGTTCTAATCTCACTCGACACCTGTTCTACGATTTCATTTACCTCACCCGTTCGCAATGACGGTATTTCAATCCAAGAAATATCGGAGTGCCGCCGATGCTGGCACGTTTGCTGCGAAATACCGTGCTATGATGGCGAAACATCCGTTCTTGCTATTTGGGCTACCATTCATGTCCGTTATTGTAGCTGGATCCTTTGTACTAACACCTGCCACGGCCGTACGATACGAAAAACATGACCGACGAGTTAGACAAATGACGCGGGAAGAAGAATTAGGTGTCGGCAAAACAGGGCGGAGAGTCAATATGAAGGACGAATACTATGTTGGTTCCCCTTTCTAAGGCTTCAGCTTTCTTCAACAGGTATTTCCGAAGAACTTTTCTAACTTATATTTATACAGAGGCTCGCTGCGAAAGACATAGACAACTGGGAACAGAAACGTGTCAAGAGACTTCCTGGAGAGCACGACGGCGTGTTATAAAAAAGTTCAGCCCTCGGTTCAGAAGAACTTCCCAGACAATTATTAGCAACCTCGTATTAAAACTCAGCATCAATATGCTTCTTTTAAAGCATCTGAGTTGGTCACGATATGAACAATTCGTATATCAGGGGGTCACTTCGAGCCCAAATAAATCCTCAGGCTCAATTACCTAATCATCGATTCTAATGAATTACTCGTAGTAGTTGTAGTAAGACTACACGGTTACTAAGGGGAACCACCTACTTCTCTTGGCCACCCTATTACTAATAATAGCTCAGAGTGGTTTCTTTGAAGCTTCAAGTGTTGCATCGATCTAGGCCGATGTGCCAGAGGCGATGGCGCAGGATTCCGCGATTCATCCGAATACTACAGTTCGGGGGAAGAGCTTAACATAACATAGTCGACCGAATCCAATAGTATGATTGCTAGTTAAGGAGCCAATCAAGTCAATCCTATATGGTTATGGTTGGACCACTTTCCAGCCATCTACATAATGGACAATGCCAGCTATGCTTTGTGGTACATATGGGAGATGTACCCAATGTATTCAGCTGGGAGCGTCTAGACAACAGACTTTAACTCTAAACTATAATTCAAAAGAGATATAAATAACTAAGCGCCACAACCATCCCACAGCTTGTTCGTTTCCGTTCGAAAGCCTTCGTCCTTATCAAAGCAGGCATCTACTCTGCTGCTTTAGCTTTCATTAAGGTTTATGCTTAGGAAGATGTACCATCAAGATTTAGTTACATAGATAAGCCATCGAGCTATGTATTAGGCAGTGTTAGGTTACCCCAGAATTATGTTAGGGAAAACTTTAATGGCATCGCCTCCGTCGCCATGGAAAGCAAAGGAAAAAGGGGAAAGTCTAAATGAAAGATCCTTGGCTAGTGTAGAGGAATTCTGATTTGTAATCTCTCGCGATTGGACATGATCGAATCTACTTATCGTACGCTATCGAAACGTCCCCAGTAGAAACAGGCTGAGAACGGTAATTAACGGTTAAGTAGGTGACATTAGCGTGAGTTCGCTCGCATTCAGCCGCACACATAAACTTTTCATCTAAGCATTAAACATCTCCACATGGCTCAGCCGAAGTTGGCTACTTGGCTACCAAGCTACTATGTAAAGTTGCAATCGGTGATGCGCCAACAAGGATCTACAAGATCATCCAGACTGATGGGATCTGATGGGATCATAAGTACGACATGGGTAGGGAGATAGGTTAGGTAGCCTTGCATAACCCCTCGTCTGCCACGGTAATACGATGATATAAACTAATACGAAAAAAAACTAGAACGAGGAACGGATAATAACTTCACTTATATAACTCGATCTTAAGAATTAAACAACTTCTCAGCCCAATTCAGTCCACTACACGAGGAGGAAGACAATTCGTGTTCATAGCATTCCTTTTTTTTCTTCTCCATTTAATCCATCCCTTCCCTCTACGTCAATCTGCCAAGGTTCGTCCAGATTCTGAGACATGCGATCCGATGATTGGCGGACCTATGACGGATGCAATAGAATGGCGGCCACATGCCGCTATTGATCAATGACGCATCCGGTCCACACACACACCAAGGAAGAATTGTAGTAGTCTTGTATACCGGGTCTTGTGGACAATAAGCTTTTTTACTATATTGGCCTTTAAGACTCATCCCAAAAGTACATTGGTAGCAAGAATACATAGTAAGACTTGCTGGCTGCCTGGCTGACCTGGGATCCACCATCCCACATTCTTTCGCAAGCGTAGAAGGAATCGAGCTAGCTGCAAGGTACTAGGTCTCCTCTTTTCTCTTCACTAGATCTTCAGGGACGATCTTATGGATCACGGGAATGGCTATTAAAATACTACACCCTCCTGCGCCCCGGATCTCATCTTCGAGCTGAAAAAAGCCGAAGCTTAACTTTCCAACATACCTACAACACAGCTCGACTCCTCGGGACACTCACTCCAACTATCAGCTTTAGCAGCTGGTATATACCGTGCAACCTAACATAAGCCTCACCGCTTACCCGTGACATCCGACTACGAGACGCAGTAGTATCTCTTCTTTTCTTTCTTACACTCATTCGTACTCCTTCACATCGAAGAGGGCATATACTACACCTCCCATAGTTATCTATCAAGATAACTCCCACAACGGTCACGATGCGAGGCCTAAACAAATCAACACTCTTTCACAAGAAATCCAAGAGCAGCCTTCAAGGCAGGAAAGACAGCCTCGAAGAGCACCCTTCCTCTCACGCGCGGAAATGGAGCACATCGAGCACCGTCTCGACGGCGAGCAGCTCTCCTGATGCTAAGCTGTTCGACCCGCTATCGCTACACCCACCCCTAAATCTCAACACATCACCAAACATTATCCCGGAGCACGAAGAGAAACGACACCTGGAGGAAGAGGAGCGAGAACGCCGGTTTTTAGAACGGAGGCCGCAGCACCCTGCGGAGCATCTGGAAAACGCGGCCGAGTACTCACCACTCAAAGCCCGTAACTGCTTCTTCACGCGGCCTAACGGTGGCCGCCCTTATGTCTATGACCAGAGCGTCCAGTGGCCACTTAAGGACTGGCAGGCGATCCCGCCAGGCCTCGCTGAGCTCGACTCTTCCTCACCCGCTTCATCACCAGCTTCATCGCCTACCCAACAAAATAACCACCGTCGACGGCCGACGGAATGGATGAACGAAAGAGACGCCCTATTCAAGCGCGGAGACTGGAAGCGCAGGGGTATAGTGTTCCAACTCGACTCGAACGATGAGGAAGAACAAGAGCAGCACTTTGAACTACCTGAATGCTAAAGCATTCGTATTATCACATCACATCACACTACCAAAAGTCTAACTCATTCGACACCATGTTTTACTATATCTACTACTACTCTATTATTACAACTACTACCAGACATCTATGGGGGAGGAGGGGGATTATCTTGGGGTACCTGTGCCTAACTTTCTTGTACATCTTATATTCTAGGGCAGCATTATTCGGGGTGTAAAATGGTGCAGGGACAAAGATACCACTTGACATTAAAAAACTATTTCCTCCTAACTATATTCTACACTACATACATAGCTTAATCTACTACTAGCATAGCTATATTCAATCCGAAGTTGACCTTCATCTTCATCTTCATCTCATCATAGTCGTTTTCATCATGGCCAGCCCGGTCTATCCCCACTCCTCTCGGCATCTTCGGCGGGGTTTGTGTTGATAGTAAAATAATATACCTCGTCTAGGAAAACATACATACATACAGCTGAACCTACATAGCTCGTCGCTTACCCGTCTGCTCTCCAGGTCCTAGCATCGGCGAGAGCTATGTAGCCCAGCTGGAAGTTAGCCGTAAACCGCAATCGGCTAACCTAGACACGTTAGCTGACGGGGGGTGGTCTGCACTGCACGACTGTGGCGGCTGACGTTTGCGTCACACGATCGTTCGTATGCGTGTCTTACCGCCCTATCTATCTGTCTACCTGCTTGTGTCTCAGCTCATGGCCCTATGTAAGCTTAAGTGCGTACATTAGGTAGGTACATACATAATCGCCTAAAGACAAGACAAGACGAGACAATTCGAGACAAGACATATATACATATTCGGGCGTAACTTCGTCCGGCCCCTGCGCAAGTCCCCGGCGGTTGCACATGAGCACATGACCATGACAGCCTGTCGCCCTAGGGCTAAGACACGATTGGCGTTTTTCGCGTGCCGCGGAGACTTACCTAGGTCAGGTACGAGATATGTAGTCCTAGCGATTCCAGGTACGATCGGGACGTGAGTACCTATATAGCGTAGGCAAGTGATGGAGATAAGTGTACCTAACCTACGGTTACATACAAAGGCAGATACCGAGGAAGAAGCGCGATTCGAATCGAGAATCGAACGCCACCGTTCTCATAAAGGGCGCCGCTTTGTTCGCATCTGCCTTATCAATGTCTCGACCCCCCCTTTCTCCCAATATAACTTTCTACGATCGAGATGAAAAAGCAAGGGCAGCTAGATTAGAGAGATTGATCTACCCCCTCCCATTGTTCGCCGCCGACGTTCGTTTTGGGAGGCCGTGATCGAAATATTCCCCGTCCGATCTGAGATGTTGGAACAACTCTCCCACCCATAAATATGACTCATAGCCTTGGGCGACTTAGGGACTTAGCTGTTTAGCTTTTATTATGGTTACTTGCCTGTTTACCTGGGTACCTGGCTAGTCAGGGACTTGTCTCGGTTCTCGCTACAGAATGGTAGACCGTGGGATCTCACGGCTAGCGGGCTGTACGCACTCCAAAACTATTACTCCGGGGCGCTACGGTCAGACAGATCTAAGTCTCGATGACATGTGAATAGAGTCGTACGAGTGAATTAAATCCGTGGACTGCGGTTACGTAGTAGTTGAGTACATTTTTCAACTGCGAATTTACTCGTGGGCTAAGCTTTTGAGCTCTAATATTATTGCGATTCGGCCCAGTTTCCCATTTCAGGATACTATTAATAAATAGGTGCTCAATATTATACTCGAGTAGAAGTCGACCCAACGATTTGCCGTTCAATTCGGCACATAGGGATAATTCCCCTTGGCTAGAAAACGAAAACTGCTAAAGACCAATAACGTGTAATAATTGCGAATATAGGCAACACAACAAATCCCTTAATTGGGCAGGTCAAGTCAACGCGTGAGGTATCAATTAAATGCGAGAAGTAACTAATCCGTACTTAAATCATATACTGTAAAAGCACCAGTGGACTTCAAACCTTCAAAGCCAACTTCGACACATCAGCGCTCAACACCCTCCCCTGAATCATCTCAGCCATAACCAAGCCCGTCCCCAAACTCATACTTATCCCCCACGGCCCATGCCCAGCCGCAACATACACACCTCCCTCAGGACCCGGCCTCGTGCCAATAGACGGTCCAAGATACTCATCCGGCACACGACTCAGAATCGGCGTGCCGCGCTCCGTCACGGGGCGGAAACACAACCCCTCTCTCACGACGCGTACGTCGTCCTCGCCTAACACTTCCTTCGCCGTCTGCCTCAGCGTACCGATACTCGATCTCGAGATCCTACCCCTCGAGTCCGTCGCCAAGTCCGGCAGCGGCTCGGCCGCAGAGTTCAAGCCCGCGATGTATATCTGTCCGCCGATGCGCGACATGATCTCGGGCGAGTACCCCGGACTGCCAGTCAGGAATAAGGCATGACAGCCGCCGCTCTCGTGCTCGCTTTTCCACTTCGGCGAAGTCACTACTAAAGAATGGCCGGCAAGGCTTGAAATCGGCAGCTTGAAGCTAGAAGTTGGGAACAGCGTCTTGAAGACCTGGCACGACCAAGCACCGGCCGCGATAACGATATTGGTGCAGGGGATATCCGTCTCAGTGCTAGACTCTGTGTCCGCGACGCAGACGCTCGAAAGCTCATCGCGCACGTCGGTTTGTATGGATATCGCCTTAGCGGGGTGGTGTAAGTGCACACCGGCATCGATGCATTTCTGCAACAGAAACTGAGATAATTGCAGCGGATCTCTGGATCTCACGATCAGAAATCTGCATTTGAATTATACATACCTACCTCTTGATTGGATTGTAGGAAATCCCAAGCTATAAACTCACACTTGCGCAACAGTTCCCTCCTCACTTATAACCTCCACAGCATCGCCCTCCCCCCTTCTCAACCACGGCGGCGCCACACCAGCCGATGGACTCGCACTCGCAGCTTCTGCACGACTAGCGCCGTCGCGAACCCAAAGGTCGATTCTTTTCTTAGACCTAGTAGCTAGCGACAAGCTGATAGACGTGCTCCGCGCGTAACCCCATTTCTGCGCGCCTCCTTCTTTCTCCGCTAGCTTGCGATGTTCCTCGAAGCTCAATGCGCCTAGATCCGCCAAGGCGGGAGAAAACCAATCCTTCGCTAGAAATCCGCCTGCGTAACCGGAGGCCGAAGCGAACAGCTCAGGCGAGGGCTCGACGAGATGGATGCTTGATGCTGGTTGGTGCTTGGATAGGTAATAAGCGGTTGAAGTACCGATGATACCTGCACCTAGTATTACTGTAGTAGCCATAACGTCGACATATCCTTTAATTATTTCGTGAACCAAATTTAATTTTTATGAAGTCTGCAAAAGTAAATTCCAAACAGTAGGTACCTATATCAAAGCGATGCCAGATGGGTAATATATTTAATATGCCAATATGTAAATACCTGTTAAATGGAAATGTACTTGTATACGGAATAACGACATCAACATATAATCGGCTAGTGACGTCTGCCCCTCTTAACCCCGCCAGTAGCCGCAGTTCCGAGAAAGGAGAAGAAAAAAAAGAAGACTAATAAAATAGAAAATTGAGTAATATACTTCGTAGTTCAACAAGTACCTATGAACTAGTGGCATTTACTTGGAAATATAAGTCGACAGTAGAGCAGCTCGTTTACCTTTCCATATTTCCTTCCAAAGACAGTATAGCCACCATGCCAAAAGTATTTATCGTTACCGGTGCGAGCCGAGGTCTCGGCTTAGCCGTAGCACAAGCCTTGATCCAGGCTTCGCACAAGGTGTTTCTGGTTGCCAGGACTGAGAAGGGCATGCAGACGTTGAAAGCCCAAAATTCATCATCTGTCGATTTCATAACAGCAGATCTAGCAGACCTTAAGGTGTGTCCGAAGTTACCAGCTTCTAAAAATGGAAGTAAATAGCTCACTTTCGCTATAGGTTGCACCCACAATCATCGAATCGGCGCTTAAAGCGTTTGGCAAGATTGATGGTATCGTCGTCAATCATGGCGTCATATCTCCTATCACAAAAATATCCGAATCAAGTGCTGAGGAATGGAGAAAAGCATATGATATCAACGTATTTAGTGCTGTAGCATTGGTACGTCTACCAGACCAGGTCGTGGTAATGCTAGTATTGACTCTAATTACAGATTAAAGAAGCCATCCCAGAACTTCGAAAGTCAAAGGGTCGGGTTGTCTTTGTCTCTTCTGGAGCTGCGTTTGGCGCATATGCGGGATGGGGCTCTTATGGTACCTCTAAGGCGGCCCTGACTCACTTTTGCGGACACCTAGCTGTTGAGGAACCTTCTATTACTAGTATTGCAATTTCACCCGGGAAGCTCGATACTGATATGCAGAAAGAAATAAGAGAAACAGGTAAGGCTGGAATGGCATCGGAAGCTTATCAGAGCTTCGTCGACGAACACGAGAGCGGACGGCTGGTGGATCCCAAAAAGCCAGGCACTGTCATAGCCAAGCTGATCAACAGTGCACCCGGAGATTTAAGCGGCAAGCATTTCAGGTACGTAACAGAAAAGGTCCCGTCTGAGATACTAGTATACTAATTTGTATACAGATGGAACGCGACCGAGCTCGCCGAGTTCCAAGAGAGCTAATGCAAGGACAACCGGCGGGACAGGCACCAAAACTATACAATAAGTCAGCTAGGATAAACTTTTTTGTTGTACTAGAGCAAGAACAAGAAGATAGCTTCAGTCGAAAGATGAAAAGATTTGGTTGTTTCAACATTATGATTCAGGAGCACGTTAAATCATCATAAGCAGTTATGTATAGAATTTAGATATTTGCCATACCTTACAAGAATCATATTTCGGGTTCCATAGCCGGTTCAACAAGATGAAAACCGTGTTCACCTTGGTACCTAGGTAGTTATAACAAGCAAATTAGCCTCTTATAGCTTTCAGCTAACACAGTTATTGCATTGTATAGCGGGAGCGCGGTCGATCAGATAGTAATGGGATCCGTCATGTAAAGTCGGTATTTGATAGTACTTTATTATTTGGCATCATATTCGAAGCTATAAGAATAGTTGGTATGTGTCCATGTATATACCTTTTTTATAAAATCAATGCAACCTGCAAGTCCACTGTTAGTAGATGAAAGCAGAAAAATATCTTATGCGTAAATTTTGAATAGAATAAACTCAGATATGTCGTTTGGCTAGACGTGTCAATCACCATATTGCCATTAGGCTATAGTAAGACTGGGGCGACAACGTGTTCATCATAGAAAGGGTGATGTATGATATTCCAGAAAAACGTACCTTAAAAGGATGGGATGCATAGATTGTCGCCGAGAGAGCATAAGAGGAAGGAAACCTCGTAGCGACTTGCGTATCTAGCAAAATACTTTAGGAGGCATGGCACGTAAGTATACCACGAAAGATCCAGATGAAGATGGTAAAATGTTGATACTCTTGGGAATAGATTGAGAGAAAAATTTGCTGAAGAAAAGAAGAAGAAGAGATTTTATCGAGACCCACCAAGTTAGATAAAAATTAAAGTGGATCATAGCGCCACAGTGTTGTTTCTTCCACCAGCCACAGTACCCACCGGTGTGCAGGTTGTCTAAGGTTGCAGTTTCGATACAAAACATCGCCGCATCCTCTTAACGAAGGTGTGAGGTAGTTGCCTTGCGTTTCTTACTCTTATTTATTTTGTCCACCAAAACTTTTCAGATTGTTCCTTACACTTTTATTAATTAAACTGTGATCCAAATCAAGGAATACGCCGTCGAAATCATCGCGTACCAGATATCGTCAATCATCTCTCATATCCCCCCACTTTCCCTTCAACCCATCTTCACCATGTCGGATCATGAGTACGGCGGTAAGTTGTGTTATATCTATTTTCGTCTTATGATTCCAACTCTTCCATGGATGTACACGAACCATACTGGCCATTGAAACTTCCGAATGAGACGGTGAATGAAGCAAACTTCATTCATTGTGATTCAGGACAATGACGAGGCCTGTATCACTGTCCCAATATGCGTCCTGACTGCTCGAGGCTTGGACCATTTCTTAGTCTACCAAGCGGATGGCTACTATTACAAAAATAGGAAATAAATTCAGTAATCAATACAATGACTCCTATCACGGTCACGCGTATTACAGTATCAAACAGAACCTTGCTATCCCGGTTGATGTCTTTTCGTTACATATATTGCTTCCTATCTATCCCTCCCACAAGAAAGTAGGACCCATCCCACAGGCATACTATCAACCTCTACTATAAACCCGACATCTATCGCCTTATACAATTTTCTTTCAATCTATAGGATGGGACGTCCCAAGAAAGATACTTCCTGGGATGTTCCAAGCCATTTTGGTATTGACCCGAAGCCACCCTTATCTTCCTTTATCCCCTTCTTATTCTTCTTTCACTTTTCAAAGCTTCTAACTGATAACTAACAACTCTTTAGGTAGCGATGATCTTTCCCTCCCTAAAGGTACGTGTTAAACTTCTTGTTTTCGCCACCAGTTGGTTTGTATACTAATGGAATCCAGCGACTGTCCAAAAGATAGTCACCGAAATTTTACCTGCGTCGAGCGGCCTCTCCTTTGCCAAGGAAGCTCGGGATCTGCTTATCGAATGTTGCGTGGAGTTCATCACTCTGGTGTCTTCGGAAGCTAATGAGATCTCTGAGAAGGAGGCGAAGAAGACCATCGCATGCGACCATATCACCAAGGCACTACAGACCCTAGGATTTGAGGACTACATCCCCGCTGTCCTCGAGGCTGCAGCACAACACAAAGAGACACAGAAGGTTTGATAACCCCTTTACTCTTAGTACTATGGCCCACACCCTAACCATCACAGGTCCGAGAGAAGCGTGGAAATAAACTGGAAGACAGTGGCATGACTCTAGCGCAACTGGAGGAGATCCAAAAGAAGGCATTCGAAGAAGCCGCCAAGCGCTACAATTAAACCTTTTGGTAGGGCTCTAGCGCATTCGTCCGTAAATTTCCGTGTCTATTAGGGTAGGACTTGCCTCTTCGTCCGCTCGGACAGAAACCCGGTTATCATATCCCCGACATAGTGACGATAGGAGACGAAGCATCTGATGGCGTTGGTTTGAGGAAATACGGGATACTTACTTATGATATTGGCGTCAAACATGGTTGCACCTTAGTGGCGGGAATAAATATGAAATATTAATTTTTACCCTGCCTTTGACTAATTCTATTCGTGTCGTGGGTAGGCTTTATTGGACGTCGCGACTTATACCCCCTTCTTTGGCACGATCAGATTTTTTTTTCCGTGCTAATTTGACGGCCAGGCTGAATCGCATTATAACTCCGAATATCTCTTCGTCTTGACTTATGCCTACGAGGTATGGGCACCCGAGGCGTTTAGGATGCCTTGTCTAAGTAGGCGTAAAGCTCATCGTACTCATCGACGTCACACAGAGTAAGGTTTGAATCTATTTATATGTACGCAACGGTTTTACTCCCCTTTCGTCTTGAGCTTATAATTCAAAGGTTTAGACGATCATTCCAGTACTCCGGTGATTTCCTCCATCTACATAAGGATGCGAGTATAGAGATGCCTAACGTGAAGGCCCCCAATGGGCAATGACAACGTTGTTTCAGATATAGGCGTCTAAACCAGGCAAGCAGGCTCTGATATTGTTACGCCATAACGATTTCTCTGCCCCCCGTGCCTTCGTTATCTGGATTAACCTGCATACCTCGCCGTGGTTAGTTGGGCAAGAGCAATCGGCGTAATAAACTCCAAGTCCACCCACCTCCCCGAGTCATCCATTTTCTTCTAACTTCCTCATTCTGTATCAGCTGAGTAGGTAGGAATACGAACATTCTCCATAGCAACATGGAAGCAATCTCAGCGGTCGCAAGCTTCATTGCGATCGGAAAAGCACTTGCGGCTACGCCAAAGATCATTGATATATTGAAATCCCCATTTGGGGCTAAGCATGAGATGATCCAGCTAACGAATGAGGTCAGTCCTACCGTCATTTGAGAATCATCCGTAGTAACTCTAGCTAAAAACTTCAGCTGGTGTTATTGAATGAGTTCGGCATCCGCATAAGAGAGAGGATCCAAGATTTACCAGATGATCCGAGATTCCAAATACCCCAATGTATCTCGCTATCGATGATTGAGGCTAACATGGCATCGATTATATCGCAACTCGAAGAGCTTTGCCGCAAATGCCAGCAAGAGGCGAGAGGAAATGGCCCTATTAAAGTCTCCAGGGTGAGGTGGTTCTTGTATAGACCAAAGATTACTTCACTGAGCAAAAGGGCAACAATGAACCGGGAATACCTACACGCGATTCTCGATAGCGCATCTTTCTTTGCGTCGACGTATGTCTAATATCATAACCAGTTCCACGCCTTAGTCTTATGCTGATGATGCTCAAGGTCAAATGGAAGGATGCTCCTGGATATACATACAATAATAACTACCCATACGCAGCAACCAAGCCGAACCCTGGCTCCTTTACAGTTCATGAACCAGGAAAATCATGGCAATAAGAGTCCAGCTCGCATTATTAGCGACGGCGATAGCTCCGAGGCAATAGCTAGTACTACTGATACTACTATCATAACACAGGAAACCTCTTCGCAGCTAACTTCATCAAACGTGTCTAGAGAGGGCTCGCTGTGTGTGAACTACGACGAGGAAGCGGTCGAGAACCATGAGCCATTAGTACAAATCACGGCTGCGTTGCGAAGAGTTTGTGCTAAAGATTGTGGATGCCAATGCCACTCGTCTACTTCCCGAACCCGACCGCACCCTGCTACCTCAGTCATTTATGGATGGCTTAACTCTGTTTATAATGGTGCTCCACGATCCGGTGCGCAGAGTTGCGATGTGCCTACCTGTCAACGAGCTCGCTCACCTCGTCACTTCAACTTTCGCGTCCCTCTCCTCTTCTGTTCTCGGGTGCTTGAGGCGACTTTGTCCTTTAGCAGTATTGTCGGCGCCGGCGCTTCCCTTCACCTACGTGTCCCACGCATTATTTCTGATTGCGAAAATATTGGATTTTATATAATGAAAGGTAATACCGAAGGGATTTGTTGGGAGATGTCTTACCGCAGGTTATCTCCTTTTGACCAAATTGGTGGCACGAATATTTTATATGTAAGCTGGCCCTTCCTCGTAAGAACGATGCGGAATAATGATGTGTACTAGTACCTTCTGCGTTGGCGAGTGTACGATTCAATACCGTTCATCTTAAACGGCGCGATGTCAATTCTTCGGGGTACTGATACCGGGAAGTAAGTGTTTTTAGCTTTCATTTGACAGGTCCATTTATTCGTGTATTCTTACCAAATCGTAGACAAGCAGCAGTACTGGCTAGATATTACATGAGCTATTGCCGTCCGGACAGCAGGGAGCAGACCATTCTACGAGAAGTCATTGCACTTGATGATGAAAGCGAGGATGATTCCTGGCCGGTTCATGAGGCAGTACGAAGAGGGGGTGATTTAATCAAAGCTCTAAAGGAGTCACCAGACGATATCGACGTACTTGATAACACCGGAAACACCCCTCTACATCTGGCCCTGTTGAGATGCGACAATGCTGCGATGCAAATCTTAATATCCCAAGGTGCAAACTTAAATTGCTTTGATATACGTGGCCATACACCCTTAAGGCTAGCATTGTTGCTCCTAGGATACGATCAAGCCCAACTTTTAATTGACGGCGGATGCGATATAAACGTTGTCGACTATCTTCGTATATCGGCTCTCCGCGGGGTGGCGACATCCGCATCAAAAGGGTCAGCAAAGGCCGTTAGTCTACTCTTAAATCACGGTGTTAACACTTTTGATTGTTTCGGAAATGCATTACACTGGCTTGCGGCGGCTGGTTCCGCGGCTGATATAGAGGAGAAGTTTCATTTGTTTGTCGATGCTGGGGTAAACATTGAAGGGGAGAATAGATTTAACCGTACAGTTCTGATGGAGGCGCTCTACAGTAGAAACGGACACATGCTTCGCTTGCTAGTTGGTGCTGGCTATAGGTTCGATGGACTCCCGAGTAACAAGAACGCCTTGATACAAGCTGCGTGGTATGGTTATACAGAAAGTATTGACACCATAGAACAAACTAAGTTCACAGCGGACGTTCGTATGCGGAACGAATACGGACGGACACCATTAGAAACGTTTGAATGGAGGATGGATGCCGATCCGGTGAAAGATGCAATCTACCCTCTTCTAGACGATGATATCGAGGCATTTTGGAAGTTGCTCCAGGGTGTCAGGGACCGCTATCTAACCGCCGAGATCCAGGCTTTGGAAAAGGTCATCGCGCATATCGAGGCTGAGGAAACCGGAATTGCGCGCGAGACTCTCCAATCCGTTATACAAGAAAAGCTAGATTGGAATATTCCAGCCGAGTACAGAACCTTCCGGGCCATCGATGTCCAGATAAAGGAGGGGATGGCGGAGGCTGCCATTGAATCTCTCGAGGAATTTATTGAGGTGTCTGAGGACAGGATTGGCTCGCACCCTCAAGACGGTGACTACTTTTATCAATGTGGTGATTGGAACCAAGGGCTGGTGATCCAAGACGCGCAATAGCTTATAAGAAGCCTTGCGTGCGAGACCATGGATCTGGTGGTATACGCTCATCGCCGAAGGATGTTGGTGAACGGAGAAAGGGGTATCTGCAGGGGCTAGTTCGATTCTTATTTACGAATAATGATCCTTTTCTCGCGGTTTCATGTTTTATACTCAAGCAATATACAAATCTACCTTATTCAAATAACACCCACGGTATTATCAGGGTTTCCAAGGTACTTGTGCGATATTGTTACTTCGCCTCCGTACTCCCAACGCCCCCTGTTTATATTTAAGTCTGCTAGGATGTTATTAAGCTCGTAAATAGAGCGATATATAAGTCTACCTATGTATACTGGCGTGCATTTGAAGTAAGTTCACGTCTTACTTACCTCACGGATAGAGTAAGTATTCGCAACTACGAATACCGACCCTACACTACCAGACTACAATACACAACATAAGCTCATACACTCAGTAATCATCACAACTAAGCCAAACAATAATAGCAGCACTCATAGTCATAAATCGTAATAAATTTCCGTACCTCACTCACTCAGCAGTCTAGATACAGCATATAGACATAAAAAAAAACCAACTAATACCATACCATACCATTCAATCATCATCACCCTCATCTCGAACCCCCCCAACACACACAAAGAAAACAACAGACCAAATTACCTCCGCCATCTGCCTGCCTGCCTGCCCTCCTTATACATATCTCTCAATCGTCCTCATAACCCCGTGACGTCATCTTCATGATAGGTACGAAAAAAAACAACAACAATAACAACAACAACAACCAAAAAGTATGGAATATAAAAAAAAGGGCTGGGGGGGATAACGTGTGCTACGATTAACTTCGCCTTTGGAACTGGTGCCACTGTCGTGAGGTATATATATATATAAACTCGTATATAATACGCTATCGGCGAAGATAATGTTTTTAAATTGTCGCCGTGGTATCTGCCTCGTTTCGTGTCTGGAGAGTGGTGTTCTCGACGGCGTTGGGTGTTATCGTTTATCCCCGCCACTGTTCTCGCGTAAAAGCCGAAAGGCGAGAGCACCCGACTAGGTATAGCATGTAGAACAATCTATCCGTGCGGTGAGTAGCGACTTAGCGGGCGTACCCACGGTGCGACGGGCGATCGTACACAACCTCGCGCTCGACGATGCGCTCGTCGTCGACAGTATCCCAGTTCAAGGAATGCCGATGGCGGTGTCGTCGATCCCAGTCGCGGCTCCACTGGGCCTCCTCGGCTCTGCGCCGCTTAGCGCGGCGGATGTCGTCCGACATGTTCACGAGCTCAAGGACGTCCTCCTGTTGGAATATTGTGTTAGCATGCTGATCTTAGAAAAAAGAATGTGCGACGTGTGACGCGGTGCCACAGAAGCAAAGATGAGACTTACATAGCGCAGGTACTGCATCACGTAGAAGAACCACTCCGTCTCCTCGTACTCGTACCCCATCCGCTCGATAGCTTCGCGAAGCACGAGATCCTTAGTAATCTCGGTCCACATCTCGCTGCGCTTGCGAGGCGGCGCTCTGTCGCCGTCGCGGATGGAAATCCGTCGGTCCTGGATCTCTTCGACTTCGACGTCCCGGTCGCGCGATCTCTCTCGTTTGTCGTATACTTGTATGCTGAGCCGGTCCCGTTCACGTGATGGCTCGCGTTCCCGGAGAGATTCGCGGTATGATTCCCGAATCGGCTCACTTACGGCGCTGATGGGCGTTCCCTCCCGATCGGGGATGAACTTGGACCGCCTCACGCCGCTGTAGCGCTGCCAGGTAACTTCGGCGGCGGCGCCTCCTACACCGTCCATTTTAACGCGCTCCGTGCCGGGCGGCACGTCGACGATTGTCCAGTCTTTAGTAGCGCCGTTGAATGCCTCTCCCATGCGACCCCGTGAATCGATCTTATCGGTGATATACTCAGCTTCGTCCTCATAATCTGGTCTTGGGGGTGGTGCAGCAGAGTGAGCTCTTCGTCGGGAGTCTACACGAAGGATGTCATGGTCCCTCTCAATTACCAAGTCATCCTCATCATAGTAAGTTGGCTGCCTGCGCGGACGAGGGCGTTCAACGCGCGGGCGAGACCGCGACCGAGTTCGTTCGCGGATATCAACATCTGTCTCATTACGGCGGATATCAATATCGATATCTATGTCCCGCTCTCTAGTTTGAGGCGGTGCAGTACGCGGGGGTGGTGGTGGAGTTGGAGGCTTAGCCCGTATGAGACCTATTTATATATTAGAATCGGGCTGTCTTGAGTTATATGTGTCCTAAGTTGGTAGGACTTACCGTGGTCGATGTCACGATAGTGCGTGATAACCTCACGCTCGATCGTAGGACCTCGGATGACTGGTGGTGGGGGAGGTGGAGGCGGGGGTGAAGGACTAGGTGACGGAGCTCGTTCCTTTTCACGTTCACGTTCAATCCGTAGGTGGATCATATCCCGATCCCGTTCCCTCTCCGGGGTTGGTGACCTCTCACGTCGCCTTTCGATTGTGCGGGATTCTACTCGCACGGCGGCGGGAGGTGGGGATGGCGATCGTTCGATAAATCTAGGCCGACGCTCCGGAGGCATCGAAGGAGCCCGCTCACGGTCCCTCTCAACGATACGCTCCCGGTACCGAATAGGACTGGGGCTGCGAGGACGTCGCCGGTCGACTGTCTCAACTTCACGCTGACGCAGGACTAGCGGTCCGGCTTCCGTCCTTTTAACATCTTCTCTAAGAAATGCGGGAGTGCGGTCAACTCGCTCCCGTTCCCGTTCCCGTTCTTGGACTTGGATGTTTACGTCTTCATACTCTCTTACCGGTGCTCTGCGTGGTGGGCTGCGACGTCGCGGTAAAGACTCGAAGTCATCATCCCGAGCCGGTGCCCTCCGCGGTGGACCGGAATCATAATATCTATCGTCCACATCGGACCGACTAGTTCTATAAGACATCTCCTCGAGCCTTGTGTTTAAAAATAAACCTTGGTACTCAAGGGGATCGTCTATGGAGTAGATGAAGAGTTGAGTTTATCAATCAGTGGTGGTGAAGGATTCACGGCTGAGGTGCGTCACTCTGCGACGGTAGCGGGGTAGAAGAGGAACCTCAATAGTTGTAGACTGATGCGGAAATGATCAACACGAAGAATACTGTAGGCTGCGTGCCGCGGTATCTTGACCCGGAATACTCCTGAAGGCTGAAGTAATAACTCCCTAGCAGAACAGCTTGATGGTATAGTATAACAGTAGTTGAAAAAGGTGGAAGTTCCGTCAAAGTTAAGTTATTAGAGCTGAAGGTTGTCAGAAGGACCTCAAGCTGGGGGGGTCACAGGATTTGTAGGCCGGGATTTGCGCCGTTTGCTTGTATGTATTGTACTGTAAACAGGTAGCTAATAAGGCCTCATCGGATTGGGTGTCAATGGTGCCAATGGTGTCAAAGCAGTGATACAAAACTGACAGGTTCTCGCGGAGAGAAATGCCAGATGTCGTCGCAAGTTAAAAAGTGTTAATTCTGGACTGGAGAGAAGCTAAAGGAAGACAAACGTCGTCATACCACAGCAGCTGGGAGACCCGAGACTAATAAAGCATACGAAAAGTAGCAGGGGGGTTCGCTTGGAGCGGTGGACGGGAATCAAGGAAGGCTAGGGCTGTTAAGCAAGCTAAGCTAAGCTCCTCACGTCCTGACGATACTACGTCCGGTACGAGGAAAAGAGAGTGGAGGGGAATGGGGGGGCAGCGGGTATGCAGAAGAGAAGAATGTCACGGAATCAGGCGAAGAACCTGTGTAGTGTATGTATGCAGGTAACCATCAATAAAAAAAAAAGAATACCTAGAAATATAGATTTCAGATTGTGGCTTGGCTTTTGGCTATGGCTATGGTCTCCTCCTCCCTCCCCGCCCTCGTCCTATGGCGTCTTGGGTGCTTGAAATGTCTCGAATGTCTTAAGATTCTGCGTGAACCTATGTCGCTTACTCACTCAGCAGATCGCTGCAGGCTGAGCGTGACGGATGCCCTCGTGAGACAGCGAGGCCATGCTAGTATGCCATGCTAATATGTGAGACAAGCAAACGGCCATACGCTGTTGGGCAGCCAAATGAGCAGGCTGCGCATCCATCCAGGGCCAGTAGCGTATGCAATATCGACCATGCGATAGACCGGGGCATGGGCATAGGTACACTACACTACCACGCGCCGCCACCTTTGCTCACGATACCTCCTTGTCCTTGGTTAAAAACTCATGGCTGCGCTGCGTCAGAAATGCCGAATACTCTCCTCACCAAATTTACAGAATATACCAGTATTTTCTTTTTTCTTTCAGCAGGGAAAGAAATCGAATGCATCATACATAACATCGGGTTGCATATTCTATATGCCAAGTCGCAGGTGAGTGGTTGGAGAGGTTGGTAGATGGACATACGGATAGGTGCAGAGAAGCCCGAAGGAACCTGAAGGAGGAAGAAAAATAGTGGGGTCGAAACCAGTGGGGAGGACGCTGACGCAATGATGCAGTGGTTGCAGTTGCAGCAGCAGTAATGCTTTCCCTCTTTCCCTGTCTTTTTGCCCTGTCTTTTTGCGTATCTAGCCGCTCCTGGGTTTTTTTTCATCTTTTTTTCATTTTTTTTTTTTTTTTTTTCATAAGGCCTCCGTACACTAGATGTCCACGCTCGGACCAAGGTAACGTGATATGCCTTATTTATGTAACTTCGTACCGACTTCGCTGCGTGTACATCACCTATGTACATATTTTACCTAATAATACGGAATACCTCTATATGTACATACACTAATGCGCTTAGATAATGTCGAACCATATAATTCGTTATGAAGACGGCGGGAATCACGGGATTTTAATTCGACAATTCCAAAAACACAAAAATGCGCCTTGCTCAAACATCTGCAAGGGATCTCTGGACTATGGCACTAACGTTAGTGTATTGGATATTTGTTACCGTTATTTGTTACTGTCCCCATATAATCAGGAACTCTCTTACGACAGTCAGTTATACATGACGATCTATCATCTAGCTACTTACATATGTATTGGGCATCAAAGAACCTAAGATGGCGTATCGCTCTCGAGAACCCTGCGCCGGGATACCCCTGACATCGACGAACTCATCTCGGTTCCAGATCTCATAGGACAAAGGGGGAGCCTTCCAGGAGGTTCGCCATAATTTTTTAGAATAGAAGATCTCGTGACCAATTTTACTTCGGAATTGGTTCGCCCAAGCTGATCCGCAGATCAAGGTTTCCGGGCCGTGCCGGATACCGTTGAGGTTCTTGAATCTGGACTACCCAATCTATGTACTTGAAGGTTTCCCATTAACATGATACTTCATTCTAGCGTAACTTTATTCCGTCAATGATCCCTACGACTAACTATCCTGTCTGCCTGTCCTAGATGCTATCACTTTAAGGGATGTGTACCTGAGCTAGTAAAAGTAGAGGGTTATCCCCTAAACTGGCATTCAACTACACCTCCACCATTTTCAGTACTGATACATAAGGATTGGCCAAGAAAGAAAAGATGGCTAAATCGACCAATAGTATTTACGGTTTATACTAATTGTTGGACCTTTTCCTATTATGTTAATGAACGACGTCAAGTCTTAAGTACTGATACGGGAGGTGTAGTTGAATGCCAGTTTAGGGGATAGTCTATGACTCGCGAACTCCTATATAGTTGACCTAGACCCTCATGAACCCGCTATTTTATACAAATAGAATATTACCACTTAACATTCTTTAGTTATATACATTATCATAGCGTATATATACAGAATACACAGGCGTAAGCCAGTCCTCTTCGCCGTATTGCCTATGCTTAGAATAGACATATATATCCGCCTAGCGCCAGAAATCCGCTTTTTAAATATCGACATATAAAACTCGATATGACCAAAAGTGTAGTTAAATATTTCCTTTCTTTTTCTCGAAATGCCCCGTTTTCTATGCGAGCGGGTTACGTATCCGACTCATTACTCGATTATATACTTTACGGTCACGGCACTTCTTTGTAGTGTCCCTCGCCCATTAACTCAACGGGTTTCGTATCCCCCGGCATCTCTTGCGGATGTTGATGTTGTTGGTGGTAATATTGTTGCTGCTGATGCTGAAGTGGTTGTTCCTGTTGCTGTTGGTAGTGTGCTCCATTATCCCCGGTCGGCGGAGTATACATCCATCCTCCATCTTGCGTGAACCCCGCCTGTTGCGGATACCCTGCTGTTGTCGCGGTAGGTTGTGCGTATCCATCCGCAGTCATGGCATAACCCATCTGCTGTGAGTAAACAACTCCTTCTTGTGGCTGCTGCTGCTGCTGTTGTTGTCCATACCCAGGTAGAAGCGGCTGAGCCTGTGGATATCCTGCATAAGTCTGCGGTGCACCATACGCATACCCGTCGGCACCAACCGCCGTTTGAGCCCCAGCCTGCGTTCCATCAGGACCGTACGCTGGTCCTGGTCCTGCGTATCCGTTTTCCGGCTTGTATTGATCTATTCTCACCGCCACCATCGCCGCCGCAGCTGCCTCGTCGATTCTACGCTGTCGCCGGCGTAATAGCCATAATACAAATGGTGTTCCCGCAAGCGCGATAACGCCTAGTGTTACGCCAACGCTAATCCCTGCTTTCGCACCGTCGCTTAAACCCCCATTATCTTCATCTGATGGCGATGTAGTTGTCGCCGCTGATGCCTGTGCTGTAGTTGTCTGGCTTGTGTTGGTACTCGGTAGTACGGTGGCTGGCTGCCATCTCCCGTAGTCGCCGTTGACCTCGACCATGTGGCCGTCGCTCATGTAGTACAAGCGCGTGATGCGGCTCCCGGTGTCGCTTGCGATGCTGATCGGGCCGCCGGCCGCATCGGCTACGGGCCAAGATTTATCCTCGTCATCTGGGCGCGGGGCTATGCTCCATGTGCTGTTGCCGTCGCCGTTACTAATTTGGTACAATTTCTTGTCGGTGCCAATGTAGAAGATGCTACGCGTATTCTTGTTGTTAATGGTTACGGCGAGCGCAGATACGCTACCATCCCAAGCCGGGAGGCTAAAGTTAGGACTATTGGAGCTGAGCTTGAGGTCGGATGCCTTTGTTGCGTTTGTTGAGTGGTTCCCTGTCTGTGTTAATGACTGCGGGAAGGTTGCTGAAAAATCATGATTAGCGCTACGGTTGAATAACTCTTGAAGACAGCCTTACATATATTCCACATGCCATTGCCATCAAACTGCGATACTCCCACATTCTTGCCATCTCTGGGCCTCACAACTGAGATATTGCCGTTGGAGGAGAAGGTAGACCCAATAGCCTGGGAAGAGGCTGCGTCATGGGAGATTACACCATAATAAGACCATGTCGTGCTTGGCGTGTATCCGATTGCGTGAAGAGTTCCCTCGAGGTCATTGTAATATACTCGGTATCCCTCCGCCGATCCAAGCAGCACAGCTGACAATCCCGAGTCTGGCGCTACTTTAGGAGCTCCCCCAGAGACGACATACTCTCCCGCATTTTCCCAGTGTCCCGTATTCCAATCGCATTCTAGGAGCGTATTGACAATCTCATCGTTATTATCCATGTAAAAAATTGATGCCTGTTGGCTGGCGTCAGCATGGCTCTCACTTGGGTCTGACTGCCTCCACTTCGCCCATTTCGCAATGGTGAGAATATCTCAGCTTTTACTTACCCGAGCAGTTTCGCCATCCATCCACCCGGTTGCGGACAGGCCCGTTTTGTTTTTCGGTGGGTGGTCTTTGAAGGGAGCTATGAGCGTCTTGTCGTCTGGAAATATTGGCGTGTAGTTGCCGTTGCAGAGACTATATCGTATACCGCCGGTATCATCGTCCTGCATAATAAAACTGGGAGCCCTTGTATTCCACCACGCTGCAATGGAGCCACATGACACTTGTCCGGCAAGAAGCCATACTGACAGGTAAAGGAAGGATGTGAATTTGGTAGCCATTATCGTGAGGGAGCGCGTAGGCTCGTCGGGATCCGCTCAGATAATGATATGTCGAGAGGAAGCTAGCATGTGATAATTATAATAGCCATTATCATGTCAATACCCAAATACAGATGATAGAAGCAAGACAAAATCTAAATAAACATAAACCACTCAGGAAAAACAATAGAAATAACTAAGAAAGAGGAAAAGATAAAAATGAGGTTTGAAAAAGCGAGAGAATTATGAGAAGTAGGACTGATGAGATCTAACCTAGGTATTAAGGCGTATCCAGTAAGCCACTAACCTAAGTGTGTAGTTGATATACATGTGTGCAGGGGTAAAATATACCCTAAAATGATCGATTAGGGTCAAGTCTGGAACGAGTAATCCTGATCTACCAACACCTTCGTTCGTGTGTACATATGCAAGGTCCGCAAGAATTAAGACCTCTACTCCTTCGGACCTGGGGTCCGGAGAGAATGAATGTTGCAACGGGAAGGATTCGGAGTTACTCGTATACCTACTTTTCGATCGACAACTGGGAATACTAGCCTAGACCGGCTCGATGAATCGGGTAGGTGAGATAAGTACGTAGTTACATCGTCTTGTCTAGAACATTAGGTAGCTTGCCCTCTTCTAAGAACTGATTGTAAGCCTTAGTACAATACCTACCTAAGTAATAACTTAGAAGGGCAGACATGTTTGGTTGAATATAACCAACTACCAGGTAGTTAACTATATATTTAGTACAGTTGAATATGCCGATGCAACGATAGATTAGCTAGCTCTATAGCGTTTTCAACGTAAACTTGTCCCTCGGGGGCCATAGGAACGCCTCGAACCACAGGTACATAGTAACAGCGAAGTTTACCGCAGGTAGTATTTTATAGAAATTAGCGGGCGGCACAGCCTGCGGCCAATTGAGTAGTTTATAATAAAAGGACTGAAGCTGTACGAGCTGTTAGAGCCAACAGGCAGTAACTTATTAAGAACTCGTACGTTGGAAGTTGGTTGGAGGTTAGACTGGCAAGTTCAGAGTTGCATTGTTCTGTTTTCGACGCGTCTTCGTTCATAGATCTGACGTCGTAGGTGGTATTTTCGGATTGAGACGACTCGGTAGCGGTAGCAGTGGGGGCCTTCATCCGGTTGTAATTTGAGCATGTGAAATTCAGAATGGTAACTGAATACAAAAAGCTCAGTTACCACAACTATTCATTTCTATACCTTCGCAACGCATAGTTAGAATATGCTTATACCCTTAGTTTCGTCATTACGAAATGTTAATTTCTTTTCTTACGAAGCTCATAAGACATAAGTCCTCTGAGTTCTGAAAGAGGTAAGTACAAGATACAGCGAGTTTCCAGGAATAGCAGCTGCTGGCGTTTGAAAAATCGAGAAAAGGCACGTGCCCTGGGCCGGGTATCCCGAGACACGCCTACCTAATTCTCTTTCCTATTCTGAGACAATGTGGCTTGTTGGGGGCGTAATCACTGCATATTGTGGCGAAACCAACTTTATTCTGTCTCTTCTTTTGTCGTTTCTCTCCTATGATTTTATTCCAAGTATCTTAATTTTATATCTTGGTCCTTTGACGTATTAGTTAAAATACAGTTAGATTTCTTAACTTGCGACTTTTTTTTTATTTCATAGATCCTTAGTTCTGGGGTTTCCCCCTCCATTATCTATCTACATAACTACAATTTGCCAAGGACCGAGGTTCAACCAATCTTAGAAACGCGAAGCTAGCTAATAAGAGACAGTCTGGACTTAGAAATATGCCACCTGAATTAGCCATGACTACCATATCGAGCTTCGTCAAAATAATCGGGCGTATTTTAGCACAACAGCAACGGCGCCTACCGACTCCTTACCGTCGAGGTGAGCTCAGACGTGGCTGATATCCCTGCATGCCTTGCCGTTTCATGCGAGACCATATGTAGGTATTCATGATTCAGTCCCGAAGTCCTGGATTAAGCCCAGTTGCTTCAGCCCAACGGCTTCGCTTGCTTACTGAGATACCAGACGAAGTTTGAGTCTGTTGAAACAGACGCGCATGATTCCCCCATTTATCCAATCGCGGATAGCCCCTCTACCCCAGATTATACATAACCCGATACATGGCACATGCTATATAACTACTCGACGGGCCGCTGGTTTCTTGGCCAAGTAGCATACGGTCCCGAGAAGCTAAAGTTACATAAATACTCCATACTTTCTCATCCAATCCTCATACATTCCACATGGCAAAAGTCTATCGTCTCTACTAACTAGCATATACCATGGGGTTATACTAGAGCCATAACCAATTAGTAAGTACCCCTTAGGAGGAATGCTGTGAAGCTCTGCTACTACCAACTAAACCCCTCGTTATATCTGACCTGCATGCACCGGCCCCGTAAAACACTGTTTAAATCTACACCTTTGCAAGCATTCCAAGTCTTGCCTGCAGTGTTTGGACTTTTGGCAAACGCAACAACATGACTTCGAGTTAATGAGGGGTAGAGAATCCTTTAGCACTGCGGAGGTAGGAACTTATACGCACATGAGGGATATACGAATGACTCTAAGGGATTCTGTCCAAGACATTATGAGCGAATTATTCTATTATTAGGTCCCTGAACCACTGGGATATGTGAGACGGAGAACCTCCAGCTGTATGTCAGTGACCCAATATTGGTTATGGGATTGCCTTCAACTTCTCTACGAGTAACTTACCCCGATTTATTCTCACCACTATGTAGCAAGCCTTCACATTATCTACCACATGAGGGTGGTGCTATTAATAAGGGGCTTATTTTGAACCATATGAGAACCTGCTAAATTATCATAAGAACGAATTTATCTGTAACGAGAGATTTCGCCTAAAGAAAATGGTGATGGCGTTGTTCTGATAAGCAGATGTCCTAAAAACAGACTAATTGCCATGAGATGGGGATGCCAACTTCATGACACGCCCCAACAATATTTCAAGAAACCTAAAAGTAAATAAATCATAATCATGCTCGTATAACCGTGCCAATCTATCTACCTACCTAGGTATTGTCCCAACGTTGTAACTCCCAACCCAGCCGGCCGCCCCTGTTCTCTAGTCTCCAATCCATTTTACGATCCAATGAGCCCGCGCTTCGCGTCTTTGGCTATCAGTCCGACCAAGCTCTTCTGTGGCAATGGGTATGGCGGACGCCCGCCAAGGATGTTGACGACTTCTTTGTTGTCTAACCAGTGGGCTGCCGTCGGACGTCGGTTCTTCCAGTCCGTCTCATTCTCTTCTACCTGCTCCATGGACGAGAAGGTCACGTCTGCGCCTTTGATACCAATAACGGATGAGCTTAGAGGATCCTGGATTATCTTTGCCGGGTTCTTCTGCGCCTTGGGGCCGTACTTCTCAAGGTGCTGTATGCACTTGATAGCTAGTCTGACGGCACGGCATCTGTCCATGGCCGAGGGGACGCCGCCCTGCTGAACGTGGCCGGGGATGCTATCTCGAGATTCAAACCGGTCATGAGCTTCCTCTCGGATGATATCCGCGATAAGTTTGGCTGTGTAAACTTTGCTCGCCTTCTCGTTGACAAGGATCAATCGGCCTGCTCGCGATTGGCCTCTATCTTTCGTGAAAACTTCCTTTAGATGTTTGACATCTGCATTAAGCATATCTAAACTGATCCCCTCTTCTGGAATGTAGACGGCGCTCGCACCAACGCCTAATCCTCCTAGAATTGCTACGTATCCACATCGACCACCTTGGGTTTCAATAACGAAAACTCGCCTTCGGGTGGCTGACGCAGACTGTTTAATCTTGTCACAGTAGCCGACGAGTTCGTTTAGACAAGTATCAGAGCCTAGGGAATATTCCGTGCCTGGGACATTGTTCGAGATGGTGGCTGGGAGTAAAGTCATAGGAATGCAGAGCGAAGGATACTTGACTCTGGCCTTTCGAAGTTGCGAGATGGAATGGAAGGCCTCGAAACCCCCGATTAGGAACAGAGCATCGAATTCGTACTTCGCGATTAATTCTGCGATTAGCTCCATACCGGACTCTTCTGGGAGCTCTCGGTTCGTTCCTATTTCAGAGCCTCCTTTGCTAGCCCATCCGTCTACTTCGAGCCAATCGAAGTTTCGGACAGCACCTAATGGCTTGTCACCGTGATGCCGGGCGAATCCAGCAAATCCATTGTGAATTGCGATAGGCTCATGCCCGCCTGTAACCCTAAAGTTAGAATTTCCAATTGATATCATACGGGGAAGAAAATGCTATGGTAGGCATTGGAAAGTTCACCCTCCAATGTCATAAAGGGGGGTGGCTATAAATGTAATGGGGTATCTTACGGGATCGGCAATAAGCTACACCTGCACGGATAGCAGCGTTCATACCACCAGCGGGTGCTCCAACGTTGATGAACCCGATTTTCATTCTCTATGGAGAAGTTAGGGTCCATCCCTAGCAATGATAATAGTCCCTATGCACTTACCTTGGTATTCTCCAGGTGTATATCCTGGTCAAGACCCATAGTAGTAGTCATCATGTAAGACTTGTATTGGTCGGAGAATTCAGCGTCACGGAGCGACATTGCTTTGTCGAAGTCCTGAGCTTCGATAGCCGTTGCTACCTTCTTGGTATCTTGCACGGCCGCCATCAGAGGTTTCCGAACGATCTTGTTTTCGGTAATAGCGATAACACAAGTTTCGGTCTCCGGTGTAGCCTCGAGTACGGCCTTAACAGCTTCGACTCCTTGTAGCGTGGCGAGCATCCTGTCGTAAGCCACTGCTGTTCCTCCTCTTTGAACGTGGCCGAGAGTTGTGATGCGGGTGTCTAGGGCCAGGCCTGATTTGTCGGCGAGGAGATCTTTCACCATCTCAGGTGTAATCTTCGAGCCATGTCTATCAATGGCACCCTCTGCGATAATGACAATAGTTTTACGTTTGCCCCAGTTTCGGTGCTTGCGAAGTTAGCATAAGCCCCCTTTTGGATTACACCGTTGAATCTGGCTACATACCTTCCTGATAACTTGACACATCTCCTCTCTCCAGTCATCCTCCCTAGGTTTCTCCGGAATAAAGATGAAGTCGGCACCGGTAGCAACACCTGCCATCAGAGCTAACCAACCGCAATGTCTCCCCATAACCTCTATTACGAAAGCGCGGGAATGTGAGGAGGCGGTAGCTTCGATATAATCTACCATTTCGCATATACGGGCTAGAGCGGAATAGGCGCCAATGGTGGCATCGGTTCCGGAAAGGTCGTTATCAATTGAACCTACGAGCCCTACGATGTTAAGGGTCTTGTAGGGTTCGATCTGTTTAGCTTGTAGCTGGCCTGTAGATACAAGCTCGTCAAGTAGAGAAGGCCATTCGGCTCGGAATCTATCAGCACCAGTAAGAGAGCCATCACCGCCGCAGATTATGAGGGCATCGATGCCATTGAGGATTAGGTTCTTGGCGGCAGTCAAACGTCCGGCACGCTCGAAGAAAGCCATACATCTCGCGGTACCGATGAGAGTGCCACCCTCTGAAAGATATCCTCGAACATCATTCCATTCCATTTTTCTAATGAAATTACCACCTTGAACTAGGCCCTCGTAGCCTTCGTAGACGCAGTAGGGGTCGCACCCCAGGTGAATAGCCATTCGTACGACGGCTCGGACAACAGCGTTCATGCCTGGCGAATCACCGCCCGAGGTCATTACGGCGATCTTCTTCTTTGTCGTATCCATGTTGATATGTATTCTAGGTATGATATCGTAGAAAGATTTAAGGGGAGGTTCGAAATTCGAGGTTTTAGGAATGAATAAATAAATAAAAGGGAAATACGAGGTCTACTAAACTAAGAGATGGCACATCCAAAGGTTAAAGTAGAGGTTAAGTAGGCGAATAAGAGGAATCAGAACTGCGAGAGACTATAATGCGTTCTTTTACATGCTCTAATTAGCCCATGCAAGCGACGTCGAATGAAAAATAAAAAAAGTGAAAAATCAGGAGATAATAGTGTTGTTAATATGACGAGGGAAATAAAATAGCGGCTTAGCTTTTTCCATGTACTTACCTATTTCACATACATGTACATATGTCATTCCTTTGGGTTGAGTAGAAAAAACATGACAATATGGTGATTTAAAAGAAGCTCTTATCAACTATCAGTGCGGGGGAGCTATGGGAAGTCGCACCATGCAAGTATCACCCCTCTTACGTATGTACCTAGGTAGGTAGGTACCTGTAACGGAGGTACAAATAAACCCCTCACTACATAACTCCGTGCTCCGTACATGTGTCTATGTAGGTAGAGGTAGGTACCTATTTTAATGGGAACCTTCCATGTCTTTAACGTAATATGTACCTAACCCTTAATACTAATTATATTGCAGCTGCATGGTGAGGCTGAGTTATTTTTACCTTGTTGAGCTCTTTTTGTTGTTGTTTTTAAGGATCTACATATATTACCTAGAATACCTATAGCCGCTATATTGCTGTAAGATATTTACCATTAAACATGAGACCATAGTGTAGTTCTGTTCTCGTAAGATAAAATAGGCACTTATATAGGCAGGTCTTCTGTTAGCTTCGACTTAAGTAAGAGTCATAAAAATATTTCAAGTATATTACAGTGCCTAGACTAGAATGATCGAGGAATATGCACGTCTACGTAACGGAGCTCGCCATGGAGCGGTAGTCAAATTAGCGTCCGACTGGCAATCCCCACCTGACGTATTGTCGAGGTCTTGTTGAGGAGAATTCGCTGCATTCTATTCGACTGTTCGAAGAACAAGTCCTTGTCAATACTTAGACAAGAGATACCTTAATGCGCATGTATGCTAGAAATTCCCGCAGTGATAAATGTAGGTAGGTACCTAATGTATATATGGAAACTGTAGAGGATGATGGATGGTGGTAATTGCTCGCTAGATCTGCACATATAGACATACTAATAGACTAGAGTCTTGGACGGCGCCGCTGCTATGATATAGCATGATAGGATCGTCATGTCGTATATTCTCGAATGATTCGGCAAAGAACATGCATTTAAAGATGCCATCCCCAACTATTTTCTTAGCTGTTGTTTCAGTTACGTCGTATATTAAGGGTACACTTGAGTAACCTAGATCATGCGATGAAGCGAGCTATTGAGATTAAATAGTCGGCAAGTATTGACTCAAATTGGTAGCAATACCCGAGAATCCACTGGAGAGATCATATGGGAACTATTATGAAAAGATGAGGTGAGCATAAAAGCCACCTCGTTTGTTGAAGAAATAAAAGACTCCTATGATGAGTATTATATAGAAAGTACATCCCGACGAAGCATGTGCTGAAGATGCAAAACATGAACCTTGGGATGATCTACATAACTGCAGGGGAGTAGGTACGTAGCTAGTGGGGAAATCTCACTTGCACATCTGAGCTTGGCAAAGCTACGTGCGAATAAAAAGAGATTGCACGGTCTTATTTAAGCTATAGTGGCTGATGTCGCCATAAATATAGTGGTAAGCCACCTGAATTTAGTGTAACAGGCAGAACAGCGTCAAAATAGATGACCCATCCCCACTCAAGCAAAATGCCCTGAGTTTACGAAGGGTTATTGTATCGCATTTTTTTTCGCTGGGGACCCACATCACCTTCCTATTTGGCCCGAATAGGTAAACAAAAATTACTGGAAATGGAAGTGCCCTGGTCATTTTTTCATGTGTTGATTGGGTGAATCCTGAAATAAAGTGGATTTTGGCCGAGATTTAATTGGGTGCCTCGTTCAATAAAGTGGGTTTTTGGTCAGGATTTTGATTGGGTGCATCCTGAGATAAAGTGGGGTTTGGACTGGGTATAGCCACGGCCACGGCCACACAACCTGCCACAGCTACGTAATCAGCCATAAGGCTCCTGGCCTGCCGTTGTTGCGGTCAGCCGCAACAACGCTAATAAGGGGTCAACGGAGCTTGACCCGCTTACGAAGCAGGTAACAGCGCCGCGCTTTTGCCTGCGTAGTAATGTATAAAAAAAGGAAGGGATGCGAGGTTGAGGATTCGAACCTTGGACCTGATCTTGGGATGGTGTGGCTAGGGGGGGTTGTGTGTGGCTACGGGGTTGTGTGGCCGCCCGCCGAGCCGCGCGGGGGTCACGGGTGCGAGGCACGTGCGAAGCACGTGCCGAGCGCCCGTGACCCCCAGCGCGGCGAGGCAGGGCGGCCACATTAGGGATTCAACCAATCAAATCAATCGGTTGGCCTGGCCTGGCAGCTTGGCTTTGTTCGTAAACTCAGGGCTATTGTGCAAGCCAATGGGGTTGCCTCCTGTAATATATGTACGCACACATTTGACAATACAATTTTTCAACCGAATCAAAAGGGAAAAAGTACCACTATCCAACCTTCAGCTTAGCGTGTGGCTGATACAGTATTAATAAGTTAAGAGACGTACGAAAATCGATGCCAAGATTTGGACATGTGCAAGACTCTTGGCCCCAACCTTCGTACCCATGTACATACCTACATGGATGTAAGGTAAGCTTCATGTGCAAAGTACATACTGTTTCTTTACACCTTCATCTTCAATATTCGTAACCGCAATCAAATGCAAGCTCCAACGGTACACATCTAAGCTCCTCGAGTTTCTCGCCCACAATTCCAAAATCGGCTCGAACGTACTATATACATCGGTGAACAATAGAAATGTCCTCCGGCTCGCCCTTCTCGTTGCGCCCTTGGCCTATAGGCGACAAGAAACCGAAGAACCTCGGCGAGTTCATCTCACGTATCAGTGCCCAAAGCGGTGGCTTTCGCAACGTTACGGAAGCTAAGCTGCGCGAGGAGATTGCAGCTCAGGAGGATGGTCGCGTTGAAGCCGAGGGATCTTCAGAGGAGGAAGAGGACGAAGATGTTGAGTGGAAGAGTGTTACGGCAGCGCGAGAGGAATTCTTAAAGAACATCGAGTAAGCGTCTTCAAGGTGAAAGGAAACCCTGATCAGTGAAAAAGTTATGCTCATGACAGTTGTTCAGAGTTGCGCACCAATCCGCCATGTTAAGTCTCGACTTCGTATCCCTCCTCCTTACGAAACAAGACCCAAGAGCTTTGAGCACGTTGTCGCCAGAGCTGCGCGAACTAGTCGGCATTGGTACTCTAGGAGCTTCCAAGTTAAACGAATCCAATATCACCGAAGCGCGAAGGCAAGATGATCTAGCCGTCGCGACGGGATGGAGGCTCATGGGAGTCAACAATATGGTAGACTCGGTTGTGGCAGCTGCGGAGAAACTCGAGAAAGAAATGCAGCTGGAAACCAAGTACTGGGCCGATGTCTTGACTGTTAGCGAGGGCGGTTGGGCTGTTTGTGCCGCGCCTCAGGAGCCACATACATTGGGTGTCCGATTTGGTTTCGCTGAATCCGCGCCCGAGTTTAGAAACAGCAGCATCGCCCCCTTCAGACGCAATGATGATGGTACTGTCCGTCTAGGGTTGGGTCGTGTTGGTGGGGGTTCCCAGAGAGTCCGTCTCACCCTCAAGAAGAATGGTAAAATCGTGGATCAATCACCTTTGCCTGGACGAATACCCGACGACGCGCCTCTACAGGATCGAGTTCGTGAAGCCAGAAATACGGCCTTTCACCAGGAGCTTTGGTATGAGATCAACAGGGAAGCTCGCACCTTACTCTCCTCGGATGTTTACTCGGATTCTTCGAGTATCACTTGGAAGCAGGATCCAGAAACAGATCTTATCTTTACCCTCGAAGACCTTGGCGAACCGGATAACTCACATGAAAGGATAACAAACATGCAGTGCTCATGCACGGCACTCTACATCTACATACAGTTTCTCCTATTCCAGGGACACCGGCAGAACTACCACCGGCGTACTACTATGGCACAACTCCCACTTAATCGCATACAATCGCCCTATGTTATCTTGCGCGCAGTAATCGCAAATACCGAGTACTTCAGGGACTGCAAGGCTATGACAGATTTCTTGGACGATCTGGTATTTACATTAAAGCGGGCCGGTATCTCTACCGCTTCGTGCAAGTCGACCACCCAGCCGCTCACCCCTATACTCCTTCAAGGCAACCTAACTCGTCGCAATGCTAAGACCGAGCTTAACTTTATCAACTATCTCGCCGGTCGTCTAGAGTCTGCTTTTGAGCTGGCCATTACCCCGGAAGTCAGAATATTTGGACGGGCCCGTATCATGGTCGTCCCTTACATCCAGATGCACTTCAATATCTCTCTAACACCGTTTTCTCCCCAAAATAGCACCGCAGAGAGCAACAAGGGCGCCACATCTACGGATCAGGGAGCAAAAAATCCCCTGGAAGATCTGTACCCACCTGCCGATCTTAACCGCGAAGCGTATCCGAACGCAAAAGACGCCATCTATTATATTCAGCAGGCTACCATACGCGCTCTTACACAAATCCTTGCAGTGACTGCTGGGGAGAAGCTGGGAAGGGACGATATATATTGGACCGAGACAGTGCATGGTCCCGGCGTAGTTGACCGAGATGATAGCGAGGCGAGGGTCAACATCAAGGAGGATAGCGACGGACGTCTTATCCTGAGCCTCGACGGGCGATGGAAGGACGGCAATCGAACGGCTAGGCTCGTGTGGACGTGGAGGGCAGACCGCGGCGATGAGAAAGGAGACAGCATTACCGATGCCGTGCTCCGGGTTATGCAGAGCTATTTGCCGCAACAGGACGACGGAGCGGCTGATTAGACATCAGACGACATCCCTGCCAGCGAGTGTTCTATCGCGACCTCCACTACCCTAGTCAACTCCCCCGTCACGGAATAGTGTCATGCGGTGGAGTAAACTTGGCTGTGCTATCAAAAACGATTTCCTTTTTGAAGAGGCGTCTGCTACCACGGAGGACTCGCCCAAGTGTGGGTGAGGCGGTAGGGTATGCATCCGGCATTATATATATAGGTACCTATGTATATCCCAGGTACTGAATTAGCTACAAGCCGTAGTAGTTACAAGGCTCGATAATGCGAAGTTAACGACTGCGAATAACGGACTAGGAGCTTCAATCGTTGAATATCTCATATAATCGCTCCAATTAAGTAGGCAGCGCTCAAGCTAGCCTAAGAACTGCTTCTATCTAGTTGTGGCTGTTGAATATATCTAGATATTCAGCTTGTCCATTACCCACGAACATACCTCAGGTAAGTTTTAGGACCCACTAGTTAGCCCCTATTAAATGGCCTACCCCTGAACCACCAAGACACCTGCAATAAAGGCGTTGCGTGTATCAGTAGCACAAGTACTCAAGACAAATATCCTTCGCCTTTATGTACGTTATTAGTAGCTTGAATATAATATACTAGGGAGATTTATTCCGATGTAGCGGACAAAGAACTTGTGATATCCGATATTATCTTGGGTGTCTGACCTACTTTACCTAGAAGGGTTTCATATTTTATGTAATAGCTTACCTCTTCGCAACGATATATATACTAAGGTCTTACGAATTATTACTGGTTGACTTCAGCAAGATTCGCATCATCATTTTAATATGTCAAGGTAGGCTACGAATGAGAGCATGTTGCCATCCAGCACTTGGTCTTAAAAAGGGGCGGGGGTAAAGGAAATTGCGGAATACCGAATGGGAAAAGAAATGCGCACATTCTTATTAAGTATGTGAGTATAACTATGGAAAGTACAATCATCAATCAACAGAACCATCTATAGCAAGTTCATTACTGCAAAAGCCATCCATACGCCCTGCACTCCCTTAGTACAAACAAATCGTCCACCTCCTGTGGTTTGCCGTGAGGCAAGATCGTGTACGAAATAATATCCTTCGTCCTTCTTTTGGGTAACCGACCAAACTGTAAGCCTAGGCAGACAGTATACCTTTTGTCAAAACGCCGTTATAATGCTCATCCACTCAAATATCCATGGCCTGCGAATCAAGCGCATGGTAAATTGTGCCACGGGTATGAGTCGTAAAACAACAAAATAGACCTCTTTCGGTCTCAATATCATCAGAAGTCATTTGCACCTAACTGATATGAAGAAAAGAAGAAGAAAAAAAAAAGAGATAGTAATGAATCGTTATACGAATAGAAACCGGTAATGGTTAGATCCTTTGAGGTCTCGGAGGCTAGGAACCCATGCCGAAAAGGAATGCGAGATCTTCAGTGCCGAGTTTGCTCATGTCTTTGATCGCCTTTTCTCCCTGTAGAGCGAATTCGACAACTCGACGCTTCTTCTCTTGCGTGGCCATAATTCGATCTTCCACGGTTTTCTCGACGAGGAGCCGGTGGACTGTGACATCTCGCTGCTGACCAATGCGGTACGTACGATCAATAGCTTGATTCTCGACGTAAGGATTCCAGAACGGATCCATAATGATAACCTGTGAGGCTACTGTCAGGTTGAGGCCAGCATTTCCGGCTTTAAGTGACACCAGAATAACCTTCACCTCGGGGTCCTCGGTGAATTCATTAATTGCCTTATCACGTTTGGTTGCTGTCATACTACCATCGTAGCGACCAACCCGAAGCCCAAGTTCATCTTCAATCGAGATTTGAATCAGGTCAAGGAAAATGGTCCATTGGGAGAAAACGATAATCTTCTCTCCCGTAGTATTCTGGATAGTCGAAATGAGCTCACAGCACTTGGCTACCTTAGCCGATGGCTGCCAGATCCCACGTAGGGTTCGCATGTACCTTTTGTGGGCTCGCTGATTGTGTCTTGCCCGTTGGCACAACTTCACAAGCTTGTCTGGTTTAAGATCAGCTTCGTAATCATCATCGGAATCATCAGCGTCGTCATCTGTGTCGTCCGTTCCTAACTCCGTTTCATCTTGAAGCCGCTCAGGCTGGTACGTCTTCAAGAATGAATCGAATTTGATTATCGTGAATTTGCCTTGCTTGTGACAGGCCGTACACTCTACACTTTGGTCAACCTCTGCCGCGCGCATCATCTTCTCCCCAAGTATGTTCATAAATGTTTCAGCACAGGGCGAGCAGAATAGATCTCCGCAAGGGCACATGATAGAAGGATGTGATACAACATCAGAACATACGGAACATTGAAAGATCTCGGTTCCCTTGACATGCTCGACTACCTCTGGGGGTAGAGTCTTCGCAGACTCCGCTGCCTGCTCCTCTGGGATGTCAGGTATGATCAGTTCTAGATCAGTGAGATGTAGATACGGATGACAACAAGCTTGACGCAACCGAAGAAGGAGTATCAAAACTTTGGTATAATGCTTCCCAACTGTGCCAGCTCTGAGATACTTGCTAAACTGGACACGGGCATCCTTCTCGAGAGTCGCATAATATTCTTGTTCATCGGTATCAAAAACAACGTGATCAATGACCTCTGTTTTCTCTTTCAACTGGATGATAGGCTTTCCGTCAATCTTGGATTGCTTGGTTCGTCGAAGTAGAATATCTTTGAGGAAACTCTGCAGTGTTTTCATTGCTCTCCTTTTCACTTCTGGGTGGCCTTTGGATCCTGGCTGAAGGGATTTGAATTCCTGCGTAATATTGTTAGCTAGACGCTTCGATTTTGATTAATAGTAGACTTACCACCTGGAACTTTTCAATCACGTCGTATGGTTTGATTCCTAGGAATCGGACAAGGGAAGCGAGTTCGTTTGGCCCATTCTGCATTGGTGTCCCAGTCAGGCACCAACGATACTTGGCCTGTAACTCGCAAACGGCCTTTGAAACTTTGGCTTTAGGATTCTTGATGTACTGCGCCTCATCAAGAATCACGCGGTAGAAGAGGCTGTTTTGACTCAGAAATGGGCAGATCTCAGACAAGTAATTCTCATCGACCTCCCGTCCCTCTTTTTTCGCTTGCCTGATATATCGATCCCTCTTCTTGACTTCGGACACAATCAATCCATAGCTAGTCAGTACAACATCGTAATCTCGAAGTTGATCGTAATCCTTTCTTCTCGAATGCTGTATAAATACTTTGAGCTGGTAGCCTGGCAGGACTTTTTGCTTAATCTCCCGCTCCCATTGCTTGAGTAGGGATACTGGAGCAATGATGAGGTTGGTCTGTAATAGTTAGCATAGGCCATTTTACAATTCAGGAGACACTTACTTTTACATTGGACCATGGATATGGTTCAGTATCGCGACTAACCATCAGAGCAATAGTCGAAAGTGTCTTTCCAAGGCCCATGTCATCAGCAAGTATGCCACCCCTCTTCTTCTCATCTAGCTCCATCTTCTTCATCCATTCCAGCGCTATCAACTGATGCTTGTAAAGGGGATATCGCAAAGCATCTAGAGGACCTGCTGGGTTCTGATGAGAGTCATCTGGTTGAATGTTCGAAAACAGCCCTTCAAAGTTATCTTCGTTCTTGGAGAGGGAAGCTTCCTCGAGAAAAGATTTCTTCTTAAAATTGCTACCAGGCATTGTTGCCTCTATAAAAGAGCAGTACCAATTGTTTAGCATCCTAAGGTTGGCATTTTTGATATTTCGTCGATCCTGTGATTCTGCCGTGATTAACGAAGCTGCCGGCTCGGCTATGGGTGGGCTTATAGTAATGCGACGAAGTTTGCTAATCGGAGCTTCGAGATCATCGGATGATTCGAGATAATCGCTGAATGAGCGCTTCCTAGGAGCGGAATAGCCGGTGTCTTGAGGCCACTCAGGGAATTCGCCAGCTTGGCTTGTATAGGTAATGGACATAGGATTACCAGTGTCCTGATAGAAACCTAAGCGGTATACAAAATCAGCAAGGCAATTTTAAACAAAGAGCACACGAATAAGTTCAACGTTGAGATAAAAGAACCAGCAGACAGAGAAGGGATATGAGAGGACAACAGGTCAACCCATCTGATACCTTTACACGGACTAAACAAGTTGTTGCCTAAAATGTGTGTATGGTGAAGATAAAAGAGAAGGATGAAGACTAAGGAATTAAGAGGTGTCTCACCTTTCTGAAGCTCAACATACTCTGACGCCATCTTGGAGCAGAGTTATGGATTTGTGTTCGTGCTAAGATGCAGAAGAAAGCCTATCCACCAAGAATAGGGCTGTTGGTGGTGTAAAGTTGTACGGGAAAGATGTTGTTGTTAGCGGTAACGCAACTTCCAGAGTAAAGCGATGGCAATTAAGATGCCACAATTATAATACAGTCGAGTCGACCTTGCCTTGATCAAAATGTAAGTGAAGACCGGGGCAAGATGACTGCATTATAATAGTTGAGAATGCTTTATTCTAAGTGTACGCAGGCTGGCCGTCGAGTGCTATGCAGACACCAGAGAGGCAAAGTGGCTTGTTGCTTGAATGCTAAAGGGCCCGGTGATGATCGCGTTGCTGGGGAGGTAACTATAGGAGATGATGGGAGAATCAAATAGAAAAAAACAAACAAACAGTTTCTTAAAAGGAGTGATACACGTCTGAAGTCTAAGACGCGTTGCGGGTTTGAAAAGGTTTGTTTCCATGAGAAGTGAAGTCAGGATGCCTGACTCATAGAGGGAAGGCTCTAACAGATATAGAGAAAAATTAATAGAATGCAACAATGCAGCTTCCAAAAGCTGCCGGTGAGCATGCAGGCTCTTTGACGTGAATCATGATTGGATGCCTAAGGTAAAAATTCGCCTAGAGCCTTATCTCAAGGAAACAGCCTCAGTCATTTCATCGATCGAAGAAGTCGCGGTTGCCATGATGATATGTTAACAGTATATTTCGTACTGTGGAAATAGCAACTCCTGGGAAAGAGCATTCTGGTTTCCATTGCGGACTGTTGCCTGTTTACCCAAGGTACGTACCTAAATAGAATAAAAAGCGCATTGAAGGTACAAAGGCTGAATTTCCCCACAGCCATGAAGTGTTGTCAGCTGTGATACATGTATTTCCAGGGGAACGTGCTTCAATCTGATAGAGAGGTTTTAAATTTAAATGATTGGCTGCGTTGCGCTTAGGCCAAAACATATAGCCGCATGTACCTTGGGTAAGGGGTTGACCTATCATAAAATCCATATATGTCAAGAGCTTTGTGGACTTTAGGCAGATATGTGTAACATAGTTGACAGTTGACAGCTAGCGTGTTGATAAAGGGGCAGATCAATTAGATGAATTAAGCAATGGAGCATGAAATGTTTAGATAGGCACTGTAAATTCTCTATTAAGCTGGATTGGCCAAACCTCCTTTGAAGGGTTGCATTGGACCAGGTAGATCTCCTATAATAGCTTAGGTACGTAAGGTATAATGGACAATGAACAAAAACGCCTATGATGCTGTTGTAATAATACTTTGTCTTGAATAAAGCTTACTTGGATATACAAGACAAGTTGATAAAGGTGCTAAAATTTGATATCATGGCGACTGATATCTACTCCTGCCTGGGGATTCCATCTAGGGGGCATCGATACTATGCAATCCTCACGAAAAAATAGGCCGGGTTAGATATATAACTTCGGGAAGCATAGGAAATAAGATAGAGAGCCCTACTTGGATATGTACAATAGCCTGTTACCGAGACTATGCCGATTTACCACATTGATATGGAGAACTAATTTTGCTACCATTACTTACATATTAATAGTTCTCACATACTACAGGGTTATACCAAGTGGCCATACTATGTACAATATATTGTAAGAATTCCCCGGAGTCAGAAAGTGTGATAGAAATATAACTTACTTTAACATCGAAATAAAAGGTCTGCTGCCTACAAGATTATCGCTTGACGGTCTAAGCTCCTAGACCTCCCCTCTTGATATTTCATACCTATACCCAGCTCACTTAAACATGGGTACAGTCGAGTATAAAATTAATTTCAACGTAGATAATCTTTCTTGAATAACTATTTCAAGTGCATTTCCTGTTTAGCAATGAAGGCCATTGGAAGCCCCCTTAAATAGCGGAAAGTTGCTAATATTTGGTGTAGTTAAGCTTAGCCAATCCGGAGGCAACCTTTGATGCGGACTTCTCCCCTGCTGTGGCTTGTCTTGAACCACCATATGTCAAGTCACATTCTAGGTAATAATTGAATAACGCGGTTATCATAAAATTCTTCTTGAACTTGAAGGCTTCATGGATGCTTGATTAAAGCTTATGTTTTTGAATACGACTCGCTGTATGTATCAACTGTATAGGTCGCTAGTCGGCCTCGACACAGGCCCCCATATAATTCAACCCCTTAATAACGTAGAGACCTAAAGTAGAGTCTTCCGAAACAAACAAGCCCATAGAATCACACTATAGCTTCGAATGGTTTACCTTAAGTATACCAACCTTTTGCATCCTGGTTATAGGTACGGTATATATCCATGAGCACGCTAGTGGCAACCCCTTCTTAAACGACGTAGCGTTGAGATAAAACTTCGATTGGTGGTATTGGAAGAGCCGTATCTAGGGAATGACCTATTTGGTGAGGGGGTCGAATCTGTGCTTTTTCGAACGATATTGACACAATGTAGAGTCTAATTTAAGATTATCCTTTGGGTGACGTGGGACAAGTGGCTTCGAAGTTGCCATGAAAGGACTTTTTGGAGAAGAGGCATTAAATCATAACAAGCAAGCGTCACGGTCTCGGAGGTAGTATCGTGCTGGATAAAATTATTATCGAAGGGCGTGTCGCTTGAATTTCCAGGTTCTCTGAGCGTAAAAGCTGAACTATATGCGGGAGGACTGGTAGATGTGTCGCCAATGGCATCTTGGTCGATAAGACTGTCCCGTCCAGTGAGGCTATCGTATTCGGATGTGGTATATTCTTTATTCAGGAGTGATGATATTCGTGCGGGATTAAACGGAGTGACAGAGATAACGCCTTGAACATGGGAGTCTTCCGAACGGCGACTATCTTGTCCATGGGGCGCGTCGTGCTCACCGAGAATGATCTGATTCGCTAGAGTGCTAATTGTAGGCCCAGGACTATGCCAAACGAAATTTTTTAGCGTAAGGAGTCTCATGTTGAGTTTCGTTTCCATATCTCGAAGTGTGGCCAGTTGAGGCTGGTTCTGGATCTCTAGGGATTCCTTCTTGGACCGTGCCTTGAAGTAGCCGCAGATGCAGAAATTAACATAGGCAGCACACCAGCGCCCACATCCACCGCACTTCTAGGCGTGGGATGCTACTTCATTGGAATATATCGGGAAGTCCATGATGGCGATGATACCCTACAGCTTTCGTTGCTAGGATATAGTTTTGTGGCGATAGTTATGGTATGGTTAACATGGAATGATAATAATATGAAGGTAACAATGTATATTCCCAATTCTTTTGGTATTAGGATGGAAGATGGACTGTGTAGTCTGCTTTCATGCTGTAGATGGGCAGGGAATGGGACTCTAATAAGGATTGTTGGTATCCATTAACGGTATGATGTTAATGTTTGTTGTGACTGCTTGGGGAATATGGTCTGGTTCAGGATGGGGAAGGCCGTATGGGATAGACACTTAATAATACCTGGAAGGTATACTTCTCTCATTCCTAGTATGCCTACCTCTCTACCCACCTGAGGTAGGCTCTTAAAGTTGTGACTGTCATTGCGCATTTAGGTAGTTCCTTGATAGTTTTTAATCTTGGACTCTATTATGTCTTTACGTTGACTAAAAAGGGTATATGGCAATATCTATGGACCCCGGATAGGCCTGTTAATTATCTAAAGTAGAAATTGCCGCACTCATGCAACTGGCCAAATTTTGGACATTTCGAGGCCCTCAGCAAAGACACCGACTTTACCGTCAATCGCAAACCCTTGGGCCTCCAACTTCCTACATTCGGCATACAAGCTGTCCAATGGCACCCAAAAAGCCTCGATAAACTCACCATCTTCTAGCTGAGGCTTTGGGGTTTGATTCTCTTCTTTTTCCGGGTCAATTTTCAGATGGATGAGAAATGTCCTTGAGCTAGATTAAGAGTTAGCCAAATAACCTGATATTAACATGAACTCATTAACATTAGGAAGCATAAATTCTACCTTGATGATACAGGAGCTGAGGATATGGTTAGTGTGGCTTTTTACTAAGCGAGAGGGATTGATATAACTCACAGCTGAAAAGGATCGGTCTTGAACCTCCACGGTCTGGCACTACTTCACCAACGTAACCCGTTTCCTCCTTTAGTTCACGTAGCGCCGCTTGCTCTACGGTCTCGCCCTCGTCTACCAATCCAGCTGGAAACTCGATGACGATTTTACCCGCTGGTGCACGAAACTGTTTCTCTAGGAGGACCTTAGGGCCGTCTTTGTGTTGAATGACGGCGATCATTTGTACGGCATCAACGGCACTAGTGCTCGGACGCCCAGGACGCTTCATCGCCTCCCACGTGCGCACTTGACCATTTTCATCCTCGTATGTAATTCTGGATCATTTGATGGTTAGATAAATGAGGGGTTTATAGTATATAGGAGGTATTAATGGCGACTGACTTTACGAGATTGATCCACTTCGCATCTTTATTTTCCTGGAAAACGCCCTTAGCAACTTCGGTGCTGTTAGGTTGCTTTAGGTACTTAGGCACGTACGAGTAGTTCGGTTGATATAATTCTGGCAACCTTTTTCGACATTGTGAATCGGTACGGGCCTCAGCTTGGCTGTTCTTAATGATTAAAGGTGGATGGAGATTGCCGTTGTAGCTGTCTCTGGGTAGGTTAGGTGTAGGTACCTAGGTACCTAGGAATTAAGAGTATCGTATAGCCACAACGTGGCTGTTGTGCTAAATGAGGCTTAATGGGTTCCACTTCCACCGGGGGTAGAGGGGAGAGATTGCGAAGATTGTAATACTACCTGGTACATACATGTTAGACTATGTTTCCATCACATAGGTAAATGAAAAAGAATTTGAGGAGTATGTATTTATACTGGTGTATTTATACTGGTGATCGGCCCTACCGCTGCACTATATGAATAGAGTTTATAGACCCGATATGTGAAGCTGTGGCTTTTGTTTTCAACACATACTAGAAAGTTTACTTTCCGATTAGCATTCGGCAGTGAGTGGTGCTGTCGTTCCACTACCACTAACTTGCCCTAATGAGATCAGCAGCTTTCTCAGCAACCGCATAGACTGAACTTTGAATATTCCCTCTCGGAATTAGTGGAAACACGCTCGCATCAACAATTCTTAAGCCGTCCACTCCATAGACCCTCAGGCTCGAATCCACCACACCACCAGATTCTCGAGGCATCATGGCTGCCGTTCCGCATACATGGTAATGCGGCGTGTATCCGTTCTTAACCGCTTGCTTCGCTTGATCCAGCGTCTCAATCCTCTGCCCGCCGTGATGCAGACGCCGCCCACCCTCTTTAAATAGCTCTCGTAGTGGTGGTGTATCACGGATTTTCTCGAGAAGAAGCACGTGCCGCGCGTGTAGTTCTAAGTCTAACGGGTGAGACATAGCACGCGGATCGACAACGGGTGATGAATTTGGATCAGCCGATTGTATATGCACTGATCCGCGACTGAATGGGTGACTCAGAACGGCTACTATGGACACATAGAAACCTTCGGTACCAAGGCCAAAGATCTGGGAAGGGTTATCCCCCGGGAAAGGGTTCAGCTGAAACGGTGCGAGAATAAATTGTGCTGAGGAGGCATCAGGGGTACAGATCTGCTCACGGAGAACTCTAGGTTCGGCCTCTGCTTGGCCAAGGTCTGAAGTAAGCCGGCTAACGGATACTGGCGCAAGACTTTCGTCCTGGAGCGGGAAAAAGGCCGATGCAAGCGCGTTTACAGACAAAGGACCTGTCCTAGCCTCCTGATAAGCTACCATGGCCGCTTCAACGACGCTTGGGTTTCGCATCTGATCTCCTGATGTTATCGGGTCGGCTACCTCCCAGGAAAACGGTACGAAACCATGGTCCTGGAAGTTTTCGCCAACGGTAGGATTGTCTAAAAGGCAGTCAATGTCGTACTTTTCGAGTCTCTCCTTGCTACCAATTCCCGAGAGCTCGAGTAGTTGAGGCGACTTGACCGCGCCGGCTGCCAGAATCACCTCACGCGTGGCAGAGACTTGCCGTCTCCGGCCGTCCTTCCCAACAAACGCGACCCCCGCGGCCCGAGGCTTGTTAGGACCGCTATTCGGTCGAAGAAAGAGAATTTTCTCGACGAGTGCTTCTGTGATGACGCGCAGGTTTTGTCGTTGAGCAATTTCGTCTGAAAAGTACGCATTTCCGGCATGACTCCTCTCTCTAGTTGTTGGATGAAGCGTGGCAGCATTGTTGAAAGCTCCGATACACATACCAGCGATGGGATCACCATCAATAGGCTTGCATAGAGCAGACCACGCCCGGGGCCAAGCTTGGGCGAAAGGGGGGAAACCTTCCTCGCTACCGTAGGAGACCTGAATGGGCCCATCTGTGCCGTGAACACCATTCAAGTAATTAAGCATAAACTCCTCTTTAAACTTCGCTTGAGGCTCGGTGAATGTATGGAATCTGCGGAAGTAATTTTCCATAGTTTTCCATCCCCAGCCCGGATTTCCTAGCTTTTCCCACGTATCAAAGCCAGACTTAGACGGGTATACAACCATTCCCAAGTTGATACTTTGACCCAAGCCGGGTTAGCTATCAATTCAGAAGTGTCGTACTGGTATTTTGGGATTTCGGGAACTTACGCTGATGAACCACCTAGAGTTTTACCCAGAGGCTGTGCCAGCCTACGATTATTAAGTCCTACTTGAGGTTCCGTAGTGATACACCAATCATACTCGGGGTCAAAATATGTCGCAGCAGCAAGAGCTTGAATCGAGATTTTCGGATCTCTTAGGCGGTTCGCACCAGCTTCGAGAACCAAGACACGAATACCTTTTTCTTCGGTAAGCCTTGACGCAACCACAAGCCCGGATGTTCCACCTCCAACTATAACGTAGTCATAATTCGTACTCATGCCATCAGTGGAAGCAGTATCGACGGTAGACATGTTATTGATATTTAGGGGGCGGACTCGGAAAATCTAGATAGTAAAGAGATGAAAGGACAAAGGCGTAGAAAAACAAGAAACCAAATATCATGACAACGAATAAGAATAGAAAATATACATTGTAAGGAATGTAAGATCTATAATCCAACCTCTCATACGGTAGATGCTCAAATAGAACCCCTCATCGGGGGGTAAGCTGTATGTATATTGGTACCATCCAAGCGCGTAGCCTTGTACAAACCTACTTACTTTGAACCCATGTGATGCAATAGTTAGCTGTCCGAGTTGAGTGATAAGTATATTTCAATATTTTTAGCCATTCCCAGTGGCGGCGCTAAATACTACAACGTCCCCTTTTTACACCCCTATTCCCAAATTGCCTTACTTATCTTTACGTTAGGTATCTTATGATTCGATTTCTTTTTTAGACCTATTCGTTAAAAAGAAGGCAGCCCTGATGGTTCCAAAATAGCCCAGAGTTTACCCATAAGCGTCAAGGCCATATTATGCACGTAACTTCGTCTGCTTGTATATGAAATCGAGGCTATACGGGGCTGGTTGGCATTAGAGGTACGTGTATACACTCAAGCTCCGGCTTAACCTTTTCCCATTATTTGAGTTCCTATCATGCCCCCCCTGCCTCTATGATAATGTTTCACCAATGCAACTATAGGTATGGCCGCCGTAGTTAGTATACACTGAACAGAGATGCAAGAGCGACCGATAACGGAATGGCTAGGTATGAGTAGACTCTTACTTGTCCTAAAGATGGCGTGGCTACACGACAACTCGGTGGTTCTCTTTTCTTAATATATACAGAACTATCACTTGAAGGAGATAGAGGATGATAAAGCTTTGCTTCCTATATGTGACCATCCCCTTCGTTGCTTAGTAAACCCCTACTTCTATTTCATGATTGATTCGACGACAACGATGACGACGGCGATAATGATGATCATGGTAGGATTCCAAAAGGTTACGATATCCTTCTGGTTAAATTTCTACCTACTATATAACTGTTTTAAGTGTAATAAACTTCAATAAATAAAGAGTGTTTTTGCCTCCATGATGTCGCGTAGGAGTGACTATAGTTTAGTAAAGAACGACTAAGTACATAAGAAATTCTCCAAGGTCATAAACCAACCACTCTTTCCTAGAGTTTCAGCATTTCGTAATGCTTGATGCAGAGCATCGCCCCCTTGTGCCAGTCCTCTTATTAGAAAGAGTTACATTTAACATTTTCGGATGCCAAGTTCGTTTCATTGTACCCGAGTGGCAACTTCTTCCAAGAAGCCTTTTGCCATTTATCTCCCAACAACGTGCCAAATAGCTCTGTTTCCAGTGGCGTCGGTTGCTTCAATGACATTATCGTTCGGTCCACCACCTAGTAATTGTTATCAGACTTTGAATATTTAGGTAATTATGATCTTTAAAGTCCAAATTTACCAGTGATAGTCACATGAGCTCCCTCGGGAAATGTGACTTCTTGGGTAACCATGAAGAACTTAGGTGGCCGGTTGTTGTTGTTGAACTTGCAAACAGCCCTTGAAGACGATCCCGAGACTGCGGCCGTGGTTGTTTCGTTGTTGTCAAGGCTACTTGCGCCGGCGAATCCAAGATCAATGGAAACAGTGGCGGCATTTGCCTTCACAATAATATAGTTTTTGTGGGACTGGTTTTGTATTGCGAGCGCGTTGTTGAATCTAGAAAGACTACGGGACCACGTCTGTTTATATATTCGGCCCTGTGGGCCCTGGGGCCTCGTTCCTTCGCTAGATGCCTCGATCGTGACTCATGATAGTGACGTGGACCACCTGCCAACAGTTTTGATTGAAATAAACAGAAGCCATTTTGGTGAGTGGTGGATAGTGTTGAAGAGTTTATAAGGTCGAATGTAAGATGTCGAAGAGTTTGGTGTGTGATAGATCGAGAGGAATTTGAGATGGTCTCGAAGGGTGTATTTATACTAATATATTTATACTAATATGTGGCAAATACTACAACATACTAGTTGCGTGGCTCTCTCGCGGGCGGATACTCTGAGACAGTCGCCCATGAATCAAGAAAACTTTCGAAGTTACAAGATTTGCGAGAAACCCTTGGACATTGTAGTAAAAGTAAAATGATGACTAGCTGAACGTCAGAGCCAGTCATTATCCGAGAAATGCCCTCAACGAAAAAGAAACGCCGCAATATGCGCATATGGTCCGAGAGCCCACGGTTTGGTTTGACTATTAGTGGTGGTTTGACTATTAGTGGTAAATCAAATGTATGAACATTAACCGTAGAGTCTTTCGGGGAGTGGTCCATTTCCGGGCATGAAGATTCCATGATTTATGAGGTGTTTCCTCATCTCAGTTCTTAATGTTCCATTGATCTTTTTGAATGCTCCCAGGCTCCAGCCGTTAAAGTCCGTCCGGAACGCATCTTAGAGATCCTCGTTATATTGGTTATTATTATATGCATCGAATTTCTCCGCACAATATGTGTTTATGGCTTTCGGGGTTGCCTGTTCGGCTTGGTTCGCATTAAGGTTAATGTTTTTAAAGTTCTTGGTTACGTGCTTCTCTTAGTTATACCGCTTGCTTTCCGTTGCCGCCATTCTAGCTGTGGTGAGGTTTTAGCGGGTTATTTTTGTTGTTTTATAATCGACCTGTCGGCCAATCACTGATCAGCTTATACAGAAGGGCGTAATGGCCGTCGCAGTATAGGACCAGGCTCTATTATAAGCATTACATCTATATCTGCGGTTATGGGCACACCGAATTCTATGTCTTGCACAGCGAGGAAGTTTGCTGCAAGAGGTATCATAAAGACTGTTGGTAAGGTATATTATCTCTCCCAGAGATAGTTGATAAAATCAGCAAGGCTATGCCTTTGGCTCGGGCGGCCGAACCCGAAGAAGTTGCGAGCGTAGACGCGCTTCCGGCCCGGTAATTACAGGTCACAAGCGTAGCGCCAATCATGGTGGATGTAAAACAGGCTATCCATTCAATTAAATGAATAATACTTCCAATAATGGCATAATGATGGAAATTATAGAAAGGTAAATAGGTACATACTAAGCGTGTGCAGCCATTATGTTGAGATTTTATAAAATAGGGGGAATAGGGGGTAAAGGTGGCGGTTTTGTTCGATATTATGTCGAGATTATTACGTCATATAATCAAATAGTCAAGCTGTCATTACTTCCTTCAATTCAATATGTAATATGTAATGCCCTATTATTAGACAAAGCCAGTGGCTCCCAGCAGGCAATCTTTAAAACTCTCAATACATCTTCTTCATTTCACGTTCGACTCTCCTACCATTAGGTACATAACTTATCATTAACATCGCATCAAATATTTTAGTGACCATTCCAAAGATGTTCTTACAAATCCTTCACCTCGCCCAAGCCGCCCTGGCAATCTACGGCGGCAGGCAATCCTACATCGCCATCATCAACCTCCAAAAATACGAAAATGCAACTAAACACTTAGCCAAGGTCTCCACCGAGGCCGAACTCCAGCGTCAGAAGACGTACGCCACGCAAGCTACCGGCGTCGTCACGCTGTTATTCTCATTCTTCATGTCGGTACTCCTCGCCCGTCGGGGTTCGATATACGGCGTCTTACCCCGCTACTTAGCCCCGGTTACGGTAGTCGTCGCTGTCTACTTTGCGAGAGAACATATCCGGGGCTACTGGGCCGGGAAGACCCCTGGGATCGAGGGCAGTGTGCCGGGATTGGGTGATTACGAAGAGGCGGAGATACGAACGCAGAAGCTCTTGAGTGTGTTGGATCTTGTAATGTTTAGTTGGATTGCTACGTTTGTCGTGGCTGTATTTATAGGGTATTAAATGTCATTGGAGGTCCTTAGTCTTGGATGTAGGTATGAAGATATGTCACATAAAAACTGGTGTACTAGTTGAAAGAAGATATAAGACACCAAAAGGCGTACTTATTAGAGTCATAAGCAATAAATGATACCAATACAGTTCCATAGCTTTCCCAATAGTTACCTATAATCACCTACCATGAAAATAAAAGAGACTTCGCGTCAAGTAACTCGACGGAAAAACGTTTATAAAGTTTGGATCTAACTGAATCATAAAAATATACCTACAGCATATATCTACTTACGACCCGTGGCGTTAGCACAACGGCGTAATCTTCCCAGTTTTCAGCTCATCCGAAACCAACGACGAAACTTCGCCCCAGCGCTCGATCGTATCTACTTCCGCGTCAAACGCGTACAGCCACCTGTTCCGCATCTTGACGGTTTCGGGGTCGATCTCGACGCCTTCATCCACGTTCTTGAGCGCGTTGTGCCAGCGGTCCCTCAAGTCCTCCCCGTTCGTCTGGCTGGCTCTAGTCCGTCCAAACCGTAACTTCTCGTAGCTTCTTGTCTATAAGTAGGTATTTGGTTAGATTAATAACTCCCTAGGTAGGTATGCTCTAAGGGCATATCAGTTTAGGGTGAAGATAGGAGGTATCTTACTGCTAATGGAACATTGTCCTTCCCGGCTAGCTTCAAGCAAATTGCAAGTACGCCGGCGCTTTCTGTTGCTTGGCTCGCGCCCTGCGCGCTTGTCGGCAGATGCGGGTGGCAGCTATCGCCTAGGAGCGCAATTTTGTGACTCTTGGATACCCATGTAGGGAGAGGATCTCTGTAGCAGATTTCTTGATTTTAAAAACACGTCAGTCGGGTATAATCCATCGTATAGATGAGGAGAGGTAGGTAACATTTACTCCAATCTAAGCATGATTCGGTTTTCTCCACGGCGGCGCGTATCCGCGGGTCTAAATCTTGCAGCGACTTCTTGACCTCGTCCATGTTTCCCTCTTGGAACCACGACTCCTTGATCACCATGTCGGCTTCGTGAGATAGCTTACGCGTTACGATCCAGTTGAACTCGTCGCCATTCCGGAGGGTGTTCTGAACTAGATGTGTATCTTCGCCGATCCTAGGTTGTTATCTTTAGTACATGCTTCGGACTAACTTGACTTCAGGGACGGTACTTGTTCAGCATACCAAATATTAACACAGTCGTGGTCTACAAACTCGCGACACAAGGGGTCCTCCCGCAAATGCTTCCCGGGGAAATAAGCCCGATAACATGAGTATCCACTACTCTTCGGTGCGTCTTCGAATCCCAATACGAGCTCTCGTGCACGCGACTTGATCCCGTCGGCACCCACAATAAGATCTGCCGTATCCTCTGTACCATCGGCAAATATCACACTTGGCTTAAACTCGTCGTATGCGACAACTTCGCGGCCCACCTGTATCTCTATACCAGCGTCTTTTACGGCTTGGATGAAGGCTTCGTGGTAGTCCCCGCGATGGCCGATGTACCCCGCCATATCCATCAACGGCTGCTGCGCCAGAATCTTACCGTCGTGCCAGCGGCGGATTTGCATGTCAGGGGCTTGATTGCCGATGCTGGTCAGTTTATGGTATAGAGACTTGCCTCCCCAGCGTTCGAGTAGCTTGAGCGCATTCTCCCCTAGCCCCAGCGAGTCACCCAGTCGTCGGAAAGCCTTCAGTCTCTCATAAACAACTACATCGTGTCCGTGATGTTTAAGAGCGAGTGCGCAGGCGCATCCGCCAAGACCGGCACCGATAACGATGACTTATAATTGGTAGATTTAGTACTTTTCTCCATATCACAAGTATATAATCGTAGGATAAGCCTAGTTAATTCAGTTAGCTCACCTTTAATAGGCTCCTTGTTTATACTGTTGATAGTCATGGCGTGCAAACTCTACTATAACATGTCCCGTTGCGTTTAAGCTTAGTGGAATATAATAGGATACGATTCGGCGGGACGAGCCTTCGTGAGAATCCGGGGGTCTCCGTATTTAGGGCCGGGATTGCCTGGATGTAAATGACTTTCTTTTCATGCCGAAGGGAACATCAGCAGATTCCCCGCCAAGAAGTCACTAATAACAATACAGATCCAACGAATTACGCCCATTTTGCCACGGTAGATTGTATGGATGCGACGGTATATTGTTCTCGACCCGCATCTTCGGATTTTCATCTTATATCCTCTTCCAGTTGTTAGGAATTCCCCGACTTCATGCAGGGTAGGGCCCCTCTTCTGGCTTTTTAGATGCCGTCATAACAACCGAACGTGTTATATGAGTTGCCGAATCGACCATTCAGCGGTTAGCCTTATTACCAATTCTACCAACTACCAGGGTTGAGTTTTATGTGACTGTCGATATATTCGCTGTCTGTGTAAAGATATGGTCCGGATCTGGACATAATAAGAGAATTGCTATACGACCTGAACCGTTACATAAACATTTAGATGAGATATGAAGATATCTAACATGGGGTACATACTGCAGATAATTGGCCAACCTAATATATGAACCCGATCGGTCCTATCGAGAATGCCAACGAGACACCGCACAAATAGGGGGCATGATCGATGATATTCCTAGAAATTGGTATTAAATAAAGATGCAAGGGCGCATCTGCCGAGAATCCCCCAAATCCAACCCCGCCTATATCCTTACATGGTGCCGCTCGCTGTTGGAGAACTCGGAACACGGCGCTGTAAGTGAATTTGGAGAAACTTTAATAAGAATACGGGGTTCGAAGGCAGCCGGCACGTTAGCTTTGCCGAGCTTCCTACAGTAGAAAGAAATGGGGGGGGTTCGTTCATAGTTTGAAGGGACCATATTATTAGCATCATGGCGACAGAAGCTGCCCCGGGGATAATCCCTTCGATAAAGGAGAAGTATAGTGGCGTGCCTGTGCGACTTAAGCAGGAAGCCCAAGTTGCACGAGATCGCTTGCTGTCCAACAGTACGTTACCGATTAGCCGCCCGAGGAAGAACCCGGTACGCCTTCCACCAGATGTGTCTCTGGGGGACTTCGAAGCAGCTATCAAGGAGCTTCAAGGCGCGATAGGAGACGAAAACGTCGAAGTTAACGATAAACCGTTAGTGGATGGATGGTATATGCAGCATCCAAATACCCACGACGCTTTTCATATCACCGACCAGGAGGAACTCGTTAGCAGTGCGGTCGTGTATCCCGGGTCGACGGAGGAAGTCCAGTCCACGGTACGTTGGGCAAACAAATTCGGCATCCCGATTTATCCTATCTCCATCGGTAGAAACTTGGGTTACGGCGGTGCTGCGCCTCGAATCCCAGGGGGCGTGGTCGTCGATCTCGGCAGGCGGATGCATGAGATTCTGAACATCGATGCTGAGAACGCGAGTTGTCTCGTCGAACCTGGGGTAACGTACTTCCGGCTTTACGATGAAATTCAAAACAGAAAACTCCCTTTATGGATCGATACGCCTGATCTAGGTGGCGGTAGCGTATTGGGCAATGCGATTGACCGCGGCGTTGGATATACGCCGTATGGCGATCATTTCGCAAACCGTTGCGGCATGGAAGTTGTCCTGCCTAACGGCGAGTTGCTGCGTACGGGCATGGGAGCTCTGCCGGGTCCAGACGGGGCAGACAATCCTACCTGGCAGTCATTTCAACATGCCTTCGGCCCATCGATCGACGGTATATTCTCTCAGAGCAATTTCGGCATCGTGACTAAGATGGGAATCCAGTTGATGCCGGAAACAGAACATCAATCCTACTGCTTCACATTCCCGCGCGATGATGACTTTGAGCAAATCGTTGATCTCATTCGGCCGTTGGCGCAGAAGGGCGTATTGGGGAATATTCCGCAGCTGCGCCATGTGATCCAGGAGCTCAATGTCACCGGTCGACGGAAGTCAGATTTTCACGGTGGCTCTGGCCCCATGACGCGTGAAGAGGTTCGATCTGCAGCTGCTGAGTTGCCCTTAGGCGATTGTTCCTGGGTCTTCTATGGCACGCAATATGGTCCATCCGCATCCATCGTAGCACAACTAGAGGTTATCAAGGCCGCGTTTTTCAAGATCCCCGGCTCGAAGTTCTTCTTACCCTCTGATCTACCGTCCGATCACTATTTGCACGACCGCTCATTAGTCTGCAGCGGCGTTCCTGTCCTCCGTGAGCTTGATTGGTTAAATTGGCTACCGAATAGTGGCCATCTATTCTTTAGCCCGATAGCCCCAACGCGTGGTAAGGATGCGCGTACTATTCACGAGATAATTGTCAAGGCGCATGAACGTCATGGCTTTGACCTGTTTCCTACTCTTTGCGTGGCAGGTCGTGAGATCCACTATATCACGAACATAATATACGACAGGGCTGATGCGGATATGAAGGCTGCCGCTGTCAAACTCATGAGAGAAATGATAAAGGAATGCGCAGAAAAGGGATTCGGCGAGTATCGCACACACCTTCTCTTCGCCGACCAAGTAGCCGGGACATACAATTGGAACAATTCGGCGTTTATGCGCTTCAATGAGACAATCAAGGATGTATTAGACCCGAACGGGATTATAGCCCCGGGTCGAAACGGGATCTGGCCCAAGCGATTCAGAGGGAAAGGGTGGGAGCTGAAGGCTGACGATACTGATCTATTATCGATCGGGCCACGTCCCGGAAAATAGCAATTTCAACTCTAGTAAGAAATTTCGAATAGGGTATCGATTACTTGCCTGTAAATTTTAATCTTTATAGTCCCTAGAGAACCAGTAGATATCTTGCTCGTTCACCTTCCTTCCCATACTTTCCGTAAACCTGCCAAGCCGATGAATAGTGCTTCGTCCGTCCTGATAGTTCTGCTTCCTTGTCCTGGCAGAATATTGACCCAATGATCAAACAGTTCCTTCGTTCTCCCCTTGACAATTCCCATGCCATTCAATTGCGGGTCGTTTTCTGCAGCATTCTCAAGGCCTCGGGGTCCACCAAAGACAATCAGAAGGTGATTGAAGGCCACCATATCCTTCTTCTTTCGCTCCGGAAATGCCTCCGATATAGAGACACCACGTTCGGACGTCCCTATGTTTAAATCGTAGCCACCCTCGTAGGTACACTCTTCAAAGACGTTTGCGAGCGAATCGCAACGCCGCACTGAGAAGCCCCAGTAGTAACCCCCTTCGACACGTGGCGCGCTAGGGTCTACCGGCTCTGCCTTAGATAGATCCTCTTCGTCAATCTTAACAGTAATTCGGGTCTTTGGCGGGACTTCGTCGCTAATAGTCACTGGCTCCTTTCTACCAACGTCCACAAGCGTTCCCTTACCGCCTTTCGGTGTTCCAGCCACCGTCACACCCTCGCAATACGGCAGCCAGTCGGTGGAGTGCGGGTGCGAGGGGATGTCCAAGCTTGCCATAAGCCCCGCACCTCTTAGATTAGGGTGAATGGGCAGTAGCGTCCGCCGCATAAATGGTGGCATCTCTAGATACTGCAGCAGATGATCGAGGTACCCGCAGGGGTCGATATCGCCAGAGTAGCCGGCAGGGTCGACGTGCCTAGGTCGCGTGTCCGGATGCGAGTCATCAAATATGACTATTTCGTCTATGCCAAACACGGCGAGGGCGCGTGCGATGTGTGAAACAACGCCTGTGCGTTGGTCATCTCGGCGACAGCTAGAATATAAGTTCAGTAAGTTTGTCACAAAAACTGATTCGTAAGTGTAGTGGTGAATGCGACTGACGTTGAGAGAACGCTTCCAGGAACGGCTACGGAGATGGTCCAGTCCCGGCCCTGAATAGGCTTAAAGAAGGCACTCGGCTTCGATGTATCTACGTAGTCGCCGTCTTTTGTAAGACGACGTTTCTGCAAGCCGATTAGATTTCCGACTTGAATGATATTATGTTAGTTTGGCTTACCTTATGTCTATCTTGCTCATAGCTTGCCATTTTGTGAGAGGTGATAGAAGTTAGGGGTGTGTCGGTAGGAATTGTGAGCTCACTTCCGAAGACATGGCATTTCACATGGCGCAAAGTAAATTTTCCAGCTTCGAATTGACTTTGGGAATATTCCGCCGGCAAAATCTTACCACCTTTCTTACCGCTTACCTGTTTAGGTATAGCGTGGTGGATAAGGTACGCATAATCCAATGGTCCTATCATATCCACTGACTATATTATCATCCCGCCTCCCCTGCATAAGACCAAATCTAATCCGTACCTCTTCAACATACAGATCGCGAACTAAACCGTGTTTAACTACATACATTCATATTAATTATGAGTGCGCTCAAACGTTTAGGTACCATAGAGTGTCTTCATCATTAAAAATAAAACCTACCTTTAAATATCATAGTTTTCCCTTATATATGATGCCAGGCCGATTATACCATCGAGGCAGAAGAGGTGTGAAGCGTGTCGGACCGACAGGAGCATTTGATAAACTCATACCCTCATTTAAAACGTATTTCACTCTCTGGCTAGAATAATTATTTCCATGATTCACGAGAACCTACTCCTATGCTGATATGGAAGTGGAATGTATAGGGCAACCTTGGAATTTATACAATTTACCTATAAGCTTAAGCCACGACACAGACACATTTGTGAAAGAAGCTAGGTATAACTACGCTTCTTAAGCATGCTTATATAAGATGCCACTCTGGAATGTTCTGATCATCAAACGATTGGTTTGGTTTCCGTCAAATTGATCATGCGAGAATCAATTTACGCCCACCTGCTATTCGGAGAACGGGCCGCATATTCGTAAAACCCCTTTTCAAATTTCAAGTTCCAAATTGTGGAGTAGGAGAGGGTGGGCGGAAGGAGGCAGCAATACAATCATGCGGTGACGGAGGGAGGGTGTCCGGGATACGAATTTGAGCATAAGTGGGCATATTACGGACCACGGTACACACGTAAATACCTTCAACTCGCCCAGTCCTTGGAATTCTTGAGTTCTGTCTTACTCATCGTATCTTCACTTATCACCTACAACAATCCATCCGTGACAATGTTCCGCCAATTCGGTCTCTTCGCCCTTGCTCTCCTACCCTTCTCCTTCGCCCAAGTCTCTGACGACTTCGAAGGTGGATTGGACGCGGCCACATGGCCTACGTACGCGAACGACTGTAACCAAGGCGGTAAAGTCACCCTCGATAGCTCTACCGCTCACAGTGGTTCGAACTCCGTGAGAGTTGATGGTGCCGGTGGTTACTGTGGACACATCTTCTTTGGCACGACGAAAATTCCTAGCGGAGATGTTTACGTGAGGACTTATCTGTGAGTTTTACTATTATAGTGCTATGAAACTTGAAGGGCGAGGCGGTTTTAATAAAAGGCAATGCTAATATCAATCATCTTACAGCAAAGCCGCCAATGCCCTGACCGACTCTCACGTCACTTTCATCACCATGCCCGACTCTTCCCAAGGCGATAACAAGCACCTCAGAATTGGTGGTCAGAGCAAGATCCTGATGTACAACCGCGAATCTGACGACGCTACCCTTCCCGACCTCTCCCCGCAAGGCATTGCCGCTTCCACCGCCCTTCCAACCGGCGACTGGCAATGTTTCGAGTACCACTTAGGCAGCGATGGCACCATCGAGACTTGGTTGAACGGCGAGGCTATCGAAGGCCTTACTATCACGTCTGGTAGCACCAACGCCAACGCAGATCAGTGGCAGAGGAGCTCCGCCAAGCCTAAAATCACCGCTGTCTACTTTGGTTGGGAGTCCTACGGCGGCGACACTAACACCTTCTGGTACGACGACGTTGCCGTTAGCTCAGCGCGTGTTGGATGCGATGTTAGCTCAACGCCTGTTGTTAGCTCATCACCTGTTGTTAGCTCAACGCCTGTTGGATGCGGTGCGTGATTCGGCTCTTACTCATTAAGTAAACAGTAGACGTTTCGTCATCGGCAATAGGTATTCTCCTACTTAAGTGACAGATAGGTTGAGAATTGAATATTGAGGCCTAAATATCATACATACAAATATGTTACTCGGTGAAGTTTGTCAGACCTCGTGCTTTACCTACCTACGGATTTACGTAGTTATTAGAATCAGAAATTAGCCTAAATATAATAACAGGTACACCAATCACAGCTTTGAAAACCTAGTTGTGGACAGCATATCTTTATTGGTATATAATATATTCCGGTGGGAACTGGAGCCTAAAAGGGGTATGTCTGAAGCCCCGCGAACTATCTGTTGTGATCTATCGGGTCTATATAAGGCAAACTAGGTATCTAGAATAAACCACGTAAAGTAAGGAAATATTCTGTCAGGGGTGGCTACAAAGGTCTATCTACTACTATATAAGAGGCGCAAAGCGCCGTATGTACACACTTGATATTCTTGGTTAGTAGATTAATACATGTCAGTCCTCTTACTACTGAAACTTACCTACACAGTTAGTACAGTAAATCATTATTTAAAATATCAAAATGGCAAAGAAAAGAATAGATTAACTAGTAAATTATTAAAAATAACATTTCAATAACTCTGTATAGTTGTTTGAAAAAAATTTAACTACTTCAATTTCTTCAAGTTTTATTCAAATTTCTTCCTTATGGGTGTGATTGACTCCCCACTGTTACTTCCCACTGTCGAGTAACGATAATGCCATCCCCAGTTCCTAAAGTTCCATCCAAACGTTGTAGCTCATGAATACTGTGTGGGGGAACCGCTCTTTCCATGGATAGGTGATTATCGCTGAAGCTGTCGTATGTTGTACGGTAACCGTTGGGCTCTCCACTTGCTGTTAGGCCGGATGTGGTCGCAACGCTGACTTCTTTCCTAGTCCACCAATTCGTACAAATACTAGAGAGCCTATTTATAGCGGGCTTAATAGTCGGGACGCATGCGTTGATAACTCCAAGAGCCGGCTCCAAGGCAGAGTAAATAACACATGTAGAATAGGAGTACGTTGGATCATCTATGTCCAATTTGAAGAGCCACATAACGCGTAATAAAGAGAAAACCCAGATACTATTGAAACTAGTCAGTATCTGATATTATGAATCGTTCTATCGAAATCGGAATACTTACACAGCGCCAACACTGAACATTGTGATGATTACAAATTTCTTTGCCAATGACATATGTAAGCTGAGTATCATTGGCAATGGCAACAAGACTACAACAATATCAAGAGAGAAGTTGGTGATACCGGAAACGATGTATGCGATAGATTGCCCTGTGCATTTTCCATCTTGAATACTTTTGTCCCAGATGTACTGAACTGGTTTGCACACAAGAAAACTTTCCAAGATTACGTAGGCCAGGTAAACCGCATTGATGACCATAGTTGCGTAACAGACGTAAACAAATTTCTGATTGGGGAATATAGATGTATAGAAGGAGAGAATTGAAAACTTGACACTTGAATTTGATGCTGCCCAGAGTATCTCTCCGGCTACGAATAACTAGAATACAAACGCGGTTAGAGATGTATTAGGAGTAGGTATAACAGGAATTGACAAACCTTCAAGTAGCGATCATAGAACAAGGGCATTGTCATCAAAAGTTCCTCGACGTGGTATCCGAGGCCACCAATGAAGCAGGCTATGGCGATTGTTTAGTAATGGCTGCAATTTTAGGTACTGTTCAAGGGACTCAATAGGTATACCTAAAGTAAAAACAGAGAGCATAGCGGCAGTTAAAGTCATTGCTACAATTGCCATATAATCATTAAAAGCAAGTGCGGTGTGTAAAATATGTCTGGACCATAACCTCAAACCAATGAAAATAAGCGAGAGACCGGCTAACACAATGCTCACCACCGTCACTTGCATTCCGCCCAGCGAAAGGGGCATTATCAACGCTGTGGAACAGTGGCTGGAGCGGGGAAAGCCTGAATGCTATTATCAATAGAGGTATACAAGAGGCTAATTAGAATTAAAGAATGAGAACTAGGAAGACAATAGTACCTAATGCTGAAAGATGTTAGGTCATTCTACCAATGTTACACTTATTGGCTTGAAGGACGGGATTAAGAAAGATGTGAAGCAGGGAGGAAAGACAATTCTCGTAGGTAACCAACACATCTACAAGGTCTTTATCATTCTATGTTCGCCTCTAGTTCAAACATAAAGGATATCTAACAATATTCATTGTCTTCTAAGACGTTCGATGAATCATTAACCTCCTTGACCATGGAAAATTTAGGAGAGTACCACTTTGTGATAATAGGGGGAGGTACGGCAGGCCTTGTCGTAGCCACTCGTCTATCTGAAGATCCAAGCCAGCGCATTCTCGTCTTGGAAGCTGGGGCCGACTTGCGTGATGATCCACGAGTCAAAACACCAGCATTGCGTCGGGCCTTGTTTGGATCACAAGCGGATTGGAATTTCCAAAGCGAGCCTCAGGTAAGTACCTAAACTCATGCCCTTGGTGTTAAGCGCTCCGGGTTAATACTCTCTAAGTCGAATCTCAATGGAAGGTCAGTCAGCTTGCACCAAGGAAAGGCCCTCGGAGGGTCGAGCGCTATCAATGCGCAAGTTTTTGTCCCCCCGACCGACGCGTCGCTCGATGCTTGGGGTGCACTTGGTAATGACGGATGGAACTCGGGCACATTCAAGGAGTATTATTCGAAGGCATTTACGCTTCCCAAAGTTGATCGACCGTCAAGAAAGGTGCTAGGAATAGACGACTATCCTCCATATAATACTCCTAACGGCCCACTCCAACTATCTTACGCCGGGGATCCAGAGCATCCCGTACGCGAAGCTTGGACGGCAACGTTTAAAAATAAAGGCTATCACGTATTGAACGACCCATTTCTAGGGATATCCGTCGGGGCCTTTACCTCCCTCTCCAGCATCGACCCGTTAAGGAAAGAAAGAAGTTATTCAGCTTCAGCATACTACGCTCCTATCAAACATAGGGCCAACCTGAAAGTCCTTACGAATGTGACCGTAGAGAAAATCCTGTTCAAAGACGACCATGGTGCGAAGGCCATTGGAGTTCAGTATCGGTATGGCGATAACATAAAAGTAGTAGCCGCTAGTAAGGAAGTTATTCTTGCTGCCGGCGTTCTCCAATCTCCCAAGATTCTTGAGTTGTCAGGCATTGGCAACAAATCCATACTACACAACAATTCAATCAAAATCGTTCGAGACCTTCCCGGTGTCGGAGAGAACCTTTACGATCATCTTTATTGTGGTATTAGCTACGAGACGGTAGAAGGCATAGAGACGCTCGATCCGGTGATAAGACAAGAACCAGAAGCCCTAGAGAAAGCCATGCAGGATTACATTGTAAGTCAGAAAGGCTTACTGACATCCATGGGAGTCAACACATACGCATATCTGCCCATGGTCGATTACCTTTCTGAGAAGGACCAGGAGACAATCAAGCAGCTACTTGCTCAACACCGTCCTTCTGGCAATAGTCCTAGTGAAAATCGGGCACGGTCATACTACCAGATCGCTGAAAAGGCATTACTAGACTCAAACCAGCCTTCGGCGGCTTACCTCTCGGTTCTGGGACAACATCATTTCCCAGTCGACCCCAACTCCGACTCGCCATCTGGGCCCATACCTGGAAGTTATATCACGCTCGACGCTATGCTTTCGCAACCCATTCCGCGAGGCAGCGTTCACATCCAATCCAACGATCCATCGGATGCGCCCACAATCGACCCCAACTATTTTTCCAGCGAGATTGACATCGAAGTTTACGCACGACACATGCTCTACCTCGACACCATCGCCAAATCGTCGCCTTTCAGCAAGTTGCTAAAGCAACCCCTAATTCGTCGCGACCCCGCTTCTCACCTCGCTGATATCGAGACGGCCAAGAAATACTTGCGCACCAGTGCGATATCTATGTGGCATCTGGGAGGAACCTGCGCGATGCTGCCGGAGGAAAAAGGAGGTGTTGTGAGCCCGACGCTGAAGGTATATGGCGTGGATAACCTCCGTGTCGTGGATGCTAGCGCGATCCCGCTCGTTAGCACTGCTAATCTTCAGTCTACTGTCTATGCGTTTGCTGAGAGGGCAGCTGACTTGATCAAGCAAGACTATGGGCTGTAGTGTCTCTGGAATACGATTCGTATGGAAGGGTTCTTACAAATAAACTAGGGGTTGATCACTCATTTCTCTTTGGAGTTGGTTTCCAACTGTTACTATTTGGATAAAGTGCTTTTACGCTCCTTATTAACCCCTAGTTGAGATTTGCATGGTACTGGGTATACATCTGGTAGCTAGGTACTTGTATCTCGATTCTAGATAGCCTCAAATCCTAATTCTACCCAACGAGAGGATCGGAGCAATGACAGGCATTATATCTTATATCTATAATTAATACATGGTAATTCTGACCGAACATACCCTAGCATAAGGTTCTCCGCCGTATCTCCCTCGCACTTGAGGACCTAAAAGAAAAAGACTTGCATTTTCTAAATGTGCTTAACTCGCAACCTAACTCGAAGCTAATTTATCCGCAATAAAGCCAGAAAGTGCGTGCAACGACTTCCCCTGGCTGAGAATGTCAAGGAAAGAAACGTCTACCTTGAACGCACTCCAGAGCCAGGTGCGGAACTCAGACGCAATCATACTGTCCACTCCATATTCGTTTATGGCCTTGTGATCGTCAACGAGCTCTGTAGGCAATAGGATCAAGCTGGAAAAGCACTTCTTGGTTAATTGTAGAATAGCGACTTCTAGAGTGGGAGCATCGGCCTGTTTCTTAAGCGCTGCCAGAGCGCCTGATGGGACACTCGTCAGCCACGGAGCTACGGCCGTATTTTGGAGTTGTTCGGTCGCACCGCTGTTGATTTGCTTGCCGGCTTCAAGGGCTGCATATAAGGTGGATGAACGCGGATCCTGAGTGGCGCTGTGGCTCACGTCGAAACCCTGGCTTCTTAACTGTCGAAGTCTGAGAGGTTCGAGACCAGTCAGGATATGCGAAGGGGACGATGAAAAGAAAGACGTGGAAGGGGTAGATATGCTTTTAGCAGATATCAAAGAAAAGTCAACCATCTGCAAGAACTCCTCTTCATTGAGAGGTTGAATTCCCCTACGTAGCAACAGCGCCTCGATCTCGGGGTTCTCGTGCAAATATCCTACTTCGGACACCATGCCCAGCCCGAGCGAGATATTCGGGCGCCCTTCTCGCCGGCCCTTGCGCGCGAAAGCGTCGAGAAAGCTGTTCGCCGCGCAATAATTGCTTTCTGTTGCCGTGCCCACGGTCCCTGATATCGACGACATGAGCAGAAAGAAATCGAGCTGATCGTCGACGCCGCGGATGGCAAAATCCAAATTCCGTGTTCCTGCCCACTTCGGTCCGACGGCCTTCTGCCAGGCTTCGCCGCTCATGCGCGAGAACAGGCTTTCGGAGAGGCCCATCGACGCCTGTATGACGCCGCCGATTGGCAAGCCCGTGTCGACGCAGCACCGTACGGCATGGCCCACGTCGTCGGAGAGACACACGTCTCCGCGTATGGTGCTGACGTTGGCGCCGGCTTCTTGAAGCTGGGATATGAGCGCCTTCGCGGCTGGCTTGTCGTCGCCCGATCGACTAAGAAAGACAAAGTTGCGTGCGCCACGGGATAGCAACCAGCGACTTAAGCTACGTCCGAGGCCGCCCAGGCATCCTACGAGAAGATAGACCTTCCCCGGATAGAGAACAGTGAGATACTTCGCTGGTGATACCTAGTTTTGGTTAGTCCAGTAGGTATTGTTCGGAAAAGGGACGACCTACTGGAATGGAACTCCCTGGATCCTGTAATGAGATGACCACTTTACCCACCCTATCTCTTTTCGAAAAGTAGCGATATGCACTAGTGATCTCCGATATATCGAAGCATTTGGTGGGAAGTGGCTTGATCTCCTTCGCGCGGAACAAGTCAAGCACCTCCCTTATTTTACTATACACAAGTCAACGACCTCGTTAGTTACAAGCCAAAAATCATCTCTCTGAACTCTTGCTGCTTACGTGACGAGCAGCTCGCGATAGAACTGGTCCTTGTGAAAATACAACTCGCTCAGATCGAAGGCAGTGAAAGTCGCGTTCCTTAGGAAGACAGACATATCTAATTTGCCGGCATCGACTAGTTCCCGCTTGCCAACTTCGACGAAGCGGCCGAACTGAGCCAGACAATCCCAGCTGTCGTGCATAAGGTCGCCTGTAAGAGAGTTGACAACCACGTCAACCCCACGCCCTCGCGTTACTTTTCTCACGCCGGCAACGAAATCGTTAGCATCGCGGGAGCTAAAGATATTTGAAGCTGGTAAGCCCAGGTTATTGATTATCCAGTCTCTCTTCGCAGACGAGCCGACCGTGGTGTAAACAGTGGCGCCAATGCGTTGGGCGATAACAATAGCTGCTATGCCAAGCGCGCCAGTTCCAGAATGGATCATGATTGACTCGCCAGACCGAAGATTGGCGCGATCATTTAATGCATATAGTGCAGTACTATAAGCTACAGGGAGGCCCGACATGATAGTCAGGTCCTCATCCGAATGGATCCGATGGGCCGCCCAGACAGGCACCCGTACCGTCGTGGTGAAATGGTTCGGGATGACGACGATGACTCTATCGCCGATCTTCAGCTGAGTATCTGGAACTCCGGGGCCTATCGCTGTGACCACTCCACCGAATTCCATGGCAGTAGTCCCCTTCCGAGTCTCGACCCGTCCGTTAAGGGCGTACACATCCTTGGCGTTCAAACTCATGACTTGCATCTCAATATCTGCGAAGCCGGAGGGTGGGTCGCTTGATGGCTCCCTTACTTGTTGGAAATGGATAGTATCCATGACACCGACTTTCCCAATGGATAGCCGAGCTGGTTTCGCTTCGCCGAGTGGGATGCTCTCGAAGCGGTCTTTCGACTGGATCCGGTTTTGAAACAGAAAATTAAGGTCGGACGCAGGTCCAAAGCGACTAATATAAAGCATACCGTGCAGTTGGGCGTATTCCTTATCATCCGACTCGTCTGCAGGAATTAGGGTACGAATAATGTTGTTGCACGTCAGTTGTACAGTGGGCGCTTGGAAGGCTTCGGACCCGACGTCTAGGACCGCGAAGCGCAATGAGGGTTGTTCCAGCATTAAAGCCCGTGATAGCCCACTGGAAAGAGTCAGGTCAGGCTTGGAGTTTACTTCACTTAGCATGCCGGCGCCGGTGACCCAGAGGAGATGAGTTGTTACGTTGCTAATGTTGCGAAGGAGGTCTATCTCTGGCTGGCCCATGGTTGCCAGGTAAGGAACCTCCATTTCAAGCAAGGAGATGAACACTGAGTTTTGGGAGCACGCTGCCTGTTGGACATTGCAAATTGAAATTATCTTTACTTCAGAATCAGCAATTGTTTGTTGAAGCTGCACCGACAGGAATGATGCGAACTCTGAGAGAGTCGTAGAAGGATTATGAACCTAGGTATAACGTAAGATAACGGGGCTTTAGTTTTCAAGGGATAGCTATGAGTAACAAGACATACCAGAATGAAAATTGTCTTGTTTCTGAGAACTTCAATATCAGATAAGCGTCTAGATAAAAGGGTCCTTTTGTCAACTTCAGCCAGCCACAAGCCTGCCGCTTCCAAAGACGTCTGAGCTGCACGTGTCTGACGAGTTATGATAATACCATCACTGGAAAGAACAGACATAATTGACTTGGAACAGGATCTCCAGCACTTTTCCGAAGTGCTCAGCTATGGATGGTGTAAGTATGCTTGCTAAAAATGTTAGGGCGACGATCACTCACCCCTGTGATAATGATGACATCAAATGGGCCATCGTCCTCATCGTCGACTGACAATTTTCCGTCGTCCACAATACGAGCGGTCCGCCACATCCCGCAGCGTGGGAATGGAGTATTTCTATTCAGAAACGTCGACCACCGGCTGGATTTACAGTTACAGCTTTCTCCGAGCTCGAGAACGCGCATCTGTGGCTTCTTATGACCAGCCAGGTCGAGCAATGAGCCGATAGCCGCGACGTTCTCGTCATCTACAAGGTCTGCATCCTGTTGTTTAATAAAAGAGGCAATGTAGTCCCGCAATGGAGCCTCAGACCCAGGCTGCAGACATTGAATGTCGGGTTTCCAGTTGACACACAGGCATGGGTGGCGTTGACCGTCCGGACTTCCTCCCAGGTTTGCTGAATCCCTGGAGATATTTCCCAAATACAAAGACATCCGTACATCTTCCATGTGAATCACTGCTTTGTTTGCCGAGTCTCGAAGGGTGCAGGATATCCTCTGAGTGGATACACCAGTCCTTTTAGATTGCACATGAACTTTGGCGTCCAAGTCCACAGACTCGGGGAGAGACGAGGTGTCAATTCGACATTCCTTGATGAATACTGGGAGGTATGCCTGGAGCTCGCTCACATTACCTGCACATGTGCTCATGATACCTACTTGCAGACATGCGTCGATGGTAATGGGATGAACGGGGTAGAATGTTCCTTCGCTCTCGGAAGCCGGAGGTCTCATGCGAATGATACCTACGGCCTCTGTTCGCTCCCTGTTCTTATCTTTATCGATGAAAGGAACCGAACGGAAGGCTTTACCAAAGTCCAGGCCTTCCAGCGCGAATTTATTGTACCAGCGGTCTGTAGGAACTCTCTCGAATCGTTCTGTTTGGGCAATGGTGACGCTTTGATCAAGCTCCGAGCCGTCTACTTCCCGAACACTGCCTACGCAGTGGATAGTTGATTTACCAGACTTGTACGACGAGATGGAGAAGTCATACCAATAGGAAGAAGTACTCGTCGTAGAGATTCTTCGTGGCGATAGGGTAGTGTGCAGTTCGGTATCTTCCGCTAAGAGGCCGTCCTGATCATCGATTATAAGCGCAGTGTTGAAACTTACACTACGGAACTCGAAGGCAGAAAGGGGTGGATACGACGGCTCTTTATCGTCTTGGATCTGATTGAGTCCTTCCATGACCATGGCAAGATAGCCAGCGGCTGGGAAAACTACCTGGCCACTAACGGTATGGTCTCGCATCCAGGGCATCTCTTTGAGACGCACGCTATGATTGCGCCAGTTCCAGTCAATGCCATTACCAGCGTACTGCTGCGATCCCAACAGTTCGTGGCGCACATGTTTGCGATTGCGTAGCTCATGACTCGGACGTGACTCGTGATAGAGTAACTTTGTGCTGCTGTAGTCCCAGGGATAGGGAGGAAGATTGTAGAGGAGAACTTGGTTGCTTGGGTCGATAAAGTTGACCTTCTCCCAGTTGAGATTGTGACCATGCATGAACAGCGTACCGGCCAATTCCTTCATGCATAAGTCCGCGTCTCGATCGCGGATCAAGGTCGGAGCATAGCGGAAAAGATCAGCATTGTCCATCATGCTCGCTCGGATTTGATTCACCGGTCCTTTCAAAGCCGGATGTGGGCCTACTTCTATGAGCTGGAGATCCGTAGAAGCTACTAGGCTTCTCAAGGCAGAGTCAAATTGGACAGGCTTTTCGAGGTTTTCTCGCCAATATCTAGCCCAGTCTGTGCTTGTATCTGGTGTTATCAATGCATCGCCGAAATTCCCTACCGAGGAATACATCTGAGCTACCCCTTGAGTCGAGCCACTATTTTGGTGATCCTTATATATCGGACGCAACGCTTCCTCGTAGGCTTCGCCAACTCCTATTATCATGTGAGAATGATAGGCAAGCCCATCAGTTAGCAGAATCCGACAGAACTTGTTCTGCTCCTGCATATGCTGCTGTAGAACCTTGATTCCTTCGGTTGTTCCACTGAGTGTTAAACTCTCTGGCGCGTTAACACATGCAACGCAGACATGATCGTTGAGGCCATGTTGCTGGATAAGGTTTTTGGCAGTCTTAATATCGATACCAACAGCCATCATTAATCCTGTCTTATGTAACTGATCAACTGCGTAACCTCTGAAGTATGCCGTCAGTATAGCCTGACTTTGGCTGATCAGGCCTGCACTATAAGCAGCAGCAATCTCTCCAGACGAATGGCCGATAACAGCAACAGGATTGATATTCCAGCTGTGAAGAATATTGACGATAGCGATCTGTATAGCGGTGCAGATTGTCTGGCTAAGTGTGGCGCCGTGGCTTGGACTCGTCGCTGCGTGTTCAGCAATGGACCGTTCTATACACCAGGTTGGTGCCTTGTCTGGTGCAATGACCTGTAGAGTGCGATCCAGTTCCCGAATAGTGGCCAGAAAATCACCACTCCGCTCAAGAAGCTCTCTAGCCATACCGGCATAGTGAGCCCCTTGACCCGTGAATATGAAGGTGCAAGGCAAAGGGTCTTGAGCACTTTCATCGGTATTGTTTTCCGACTTGATACGCGACAGACTAGGTCTCCCATCCTCGCTAGGCTTAATTAATAATAGCTGTCTGTATTTTAACTTGGATCTGCGCGTGCTAAGAGTATATGCGAGGCTTTGTAGTGTGTTCCAGCCATAGTTTGGAATCACCTCGGATATCTGCTGGATACGGGACTCGAGCGATTTCCCCGAGGAAGCTGAGACAGGTATGATAAGCTGTTGACTAGCAATTGCCGCGTAGTTATCCTGTTCTGGTAAACAATCAGGAACTGTAAGGTAAGTGTCAAATGCCTCAAGAATAGCATGTGCATTTGCGCCTTTCCCGAGTAAGCTTCTTCTTCTCCCGTTTGCGGGGTGCTTGTAGCTCACCTCCGTATCCAAAGGAGTTGATACTTGCCCTACGTGTGGCTCTAGGCCATTCTTCCATCTCTGTCACTATTCTCATGTTCGAAGATTCAAGCCGCACTATTTGTATAAGTGTTCAGAAAATCGTTGTGAATATAGGAAGCACTTACAATTGGGATTCAGTCTCACTACACCACGCGTAGGTGGGATCCTGCCATGCTCAAAAGCCAAGGCGATTTTGATAAGTGAGGTGAGTCCACTGGCTGCTTCGCTGTGTCCTAAGTAATTTTATCAGTCACCAGTCTTAGTAGCTTTGCCATGGCTGTTCCAGGGAGCAAACCTAAATTTGATTTCACCTAATCCAATGTCAGTATGATACATGAATGAAGTAAACCACACGGGCCCAGATTCACCAGCTAACCAGTAGGGCGACTTCAACCCTATACTTACTGTCACGCCTTAAAGGGGGGAACTTACGGCTCCAATAAGCAGAGGAAATTCTCTGGATCGTGAGAAACATCGCGCGATTGCGTCCACTTCAATGGGATCTCCAACGGGAGTCCCGGTGCCGTGACACTCAACGTAATCCGTATCAGCGAATAGTAAGCCAGCGCTGCTGTAGGCTTTCCTAATCACGGCCTCCTGCAACTCGGCACTTGGTTGAGCAATACCAGGAGTCCTGCCATTCCTAAAGCCACACGTTGAATAAGATATTCGCGTATACGTTACGGACCTGTCAAACTCACGAGTTTACAGCAGTCGCACGGATGACCGCCCAGATCTTATTTTTATCTCTCGTCGCCGAAGACAGACGTTTTAAATAGATAGCATTTACACCATCAGCCCGTCCATAGCCGTCCGCTGAAGCATCAAATGTGTGGCACGTAGAAGTAGGTGACAAAACGCCCGTTTTCATGGTCGCAAGGCATTGCTCTGGAGCGGCGATCAAGTTCGCAGCCGCGACAATGGCACCGTCACAGTCACCGCGCTTGAGGGCATTGACGGCACTATCTAGACAGTATATCGAAGATGAACATGCCGTGTCCAAGGTGAAGCTGAGTATTTATTTAGTCAGACACCATTACACACATGTGTTGCTTGATCACAGGACGTACCTTGGCCCCTGGAGATTGAATACGTGACTAATTCGATTCGCTAGAATCGTTGTGCCGCTTCCTGTTGCGCTATATCTGTGGATAGTATCTGGATCTCGCGTTTGCATAGTCTGGTGGTCCACTGTGAAGCTGCCCACGTACACTCCAGTATTAGTACCGGAGATCCCTTGGAGTGTTTCCCCAGAGTTCTCTAGACACTCAAACACCACCTCAAGAAGCTTTCGTTGCTGAGGATCCACTTGATTGTTCCCGGTCAGCCATTCACTTTGACGGCTGGGTATATACCTAATACGCAAGCAAGGAGACTTGTCCTGAAGGATTGAGTATCACACTGACATGTGACATGACTTACTATAAGCCGCCTCTATATTGTTAATGCCAAAAAAGGTGTTCTCGAAGAGGCGGGTATCTTCATGGATGAAATAACCTCCATTTGCATTCATCGTTCCGGCTCTATTGCCATCTGAATGATAGAAACCTTTTACATAGAAACGGTTGCTTGGGACAACCGATTGAGCACTCTGTTTCTTGGAGAGGAAATTCCAGAGATCGGAAGGCGATCGAATGCCCCCCGGAAGATGGCAACCTGAACACGGTGGACTTTAGTAAGAGCGCTACATGGAGTACTGATTGAGTTTCTATACCTATTCCAACAATGCATACGGGATTCTCGTCCATGTTTGATTTGGATCTACTAGTCACTTCATCGGGAGTGGGAAGGATACTATAGCTGGCCTGCGTAGTTGCTTGTTCAGACATCGTGACAGTTTGTTCATGGTGTTGCGGCCCAATTTCCAATGTAGGGTTCATGTTGTTCAAGTTCATAGTATATATTATCATACCACTGCCAACACACGAAAGTGGACAAGGTTTATTATGAAAAGGATTAGTAAAAGATAGCAATAGTAGTTCCCCCACGTCTGTGGCTCACCTGCATCTAGAGCAGGCTGTGCCCATATACGCAGCTGCTGCAGTAGTATCCCGCCTGATCTATACAGCTTCGCTCATGTCGACGCCCAGGCTGAGTCGTTTAAACAGGTACCTAGGTAGGTATCAGCATCCAAAGTTCGGAGGAAACTTTTTGGATTAATTGCATGAGCGAATTGTCAGGACATTGCGGAAGGATTCTGTGTTGTGCTTAGGTCTAATTTATCGATATATCTTGGGGGCTATTTCCTGGTTGAATTTCGTCAAATGGTTTCCCGGCGCCACTCCTGCATTGGGATACAACCGTCGATGCAATCGGAGCCACCTATCTGGTGGGAATCACAAGGATGATGGATACACAGCATATACCGAATGAAATGTGAGAGTATAGTGAGTCCTCAGGCGACGTGCATTAGAAAATATCGTCCTTATCTCCGCCTTTTCATAGAATTATGTGGTTGGCTGCCCTGGAATCATCAATCTTGTCCTCTAATAGTCTGAGACGCGGGGGGAATTTTATCGAGCTTGACTTTCTCCTTTGCACTACGTGAGGTACGTAGTCGTTACTGTTCTTCACCCAAGCATCCGCGTCAATAGTCAGTCGTCTTTGAAATGGCAGGAAGGGCACGCTTCTCCCTAGTCATTTGGTAAGGTCACAGCAGGAGATGTCCTTCATTCGTCTGACCAGTCTCTTACTTTTGTCAGATGCGGGAAAGGAGGCATAGGAGAAGCCCTCGTCAGGGAGTTTGCGAAACAGAACGTACGGCCTATCGCCACTCTGCTGCCTAACGAGCCGACCGAACATCTTGACCAGGCTGGGATCCTCCATTTCCCTCTCGACGTGACCAAAGAGGACTCCGTGATGGAGTTGGAGAAGCATGTACATGCAGCCGCAGGTGGTAATCTGGCCATACTAGTAAACAATGCGTAAGAAATCCTCTGAGTAGCAGAATGGGTCCCAAGTACCTAAATGATATTGGTGTATCAATAGTGGAACAGGTAAGATCGACAATCGCAATGCAGACCTTCAAGCCGAATGTGCCATCAGCTTATACCATGACTGCCATCGATGCCGACGTTTCTGAGGTGCAGCATGTGTTTAATGTTAACGTGTTTAGGCCTATGCGGCTAGTACACCACTTTCATGACATGCTCATCCAGTCATCTGGGATCGTCGTTAACATTGGCTCTGTTGGAGGTATTGTGCCATACGTTTATGGATGTGAGGAAACGCTGCTTATAATATCGGCTCTCAGCGCTCCTTATAAATCTCACGATTTAGCTTTCTCTCGTCAGAGCTGACATATCGGTACCCAGCACTTACCTACCGATAATGTCGATGGTCAGTTTCATCACATAGTTTTATGACTCGAATAGCTCTCCTATAACTGCCTTTGTTCGAATCAATTCACAGTAGGTCAAGCTCGCATTGACGATCACGTCAGCCAAACTCATAACATTCGTCGACGATAATCCGGGATTGAAAATAGACCTAACGGCTTTCCAGCGTGCGCCCTCAAGTGTTACCTTGTTGCAGCATTTCTCGATCTCTCTCGGCGACCGAGCTATTTACTCGCATCCGATCTTGCGTGCCGTTCCTCTTCTGACAACATCTTGGCACAGCCAATATTTTCTTCCCGGCGTATTCTGTTAAGTCTATTGAAAATGGCAAACATTTACTTGCGTATATACCATTATCTTCCTCTATCTCAATAATATTGATTTGGAGTACCTCTGGGTCTGGATTATCGGTAGGCACTAGATGGTCGAATGTGACACCGTAGTAGTCGATGTGCCTAAATTGATGATGAGTGTGATAGAACAAAGTAACACGTACCTACGGTAACAATATGTACTAGGTATAGATGGTTTGATAGGCATCGGGATGTGATTATATTAGAGAGATACGAATATGCCCTTACCTTAATGGTTTTGGCATTACCCAACCCAGATATTCGTCTCGTACAACCATATCGCCAGCGACACCATGACGGACATCTTGCCCGTAAATTTTCTGGTATGTTAGCCTTGCAAGTGCTGGACCAGCCGGCTGTGGAAATTCTAGAGACATGACATTGGTGCGCCATGGTATATCTGGAAAAAGCTTTTGGATTGATATTAATGGTCCTTCAATCTGGATTCTCAAAGGCTGTTCTAGGGATGGGAGATGTAAAGGATGAGTTGGATTTCTGATGCAGACTGGAATATGAAGGTCAAGTGCCATTGAGTCTATAGATTATATGAGAAATAAACGCCCGACACTTTGAAGTAAGTTGGATGAGATATATTTAAATGTTGGGAGAATTGGTAAATACAAAATCGTGTCACAAAAGAGGGAACTAACAATAACACGCTGTGTAACATCTATAAATGCTTTACTAATGTGGCGTTGGATGGTACCTAGGTACCTGATTGTAGATCTGGACAGCTTTATCTTGGCTTCCCGTCCTGCCGTCATAAGCCAAAAAGATCCACTTACAAAGCATCCATCCATCCATCAACGATTCCAGCAACTTCGTTCAGTCTTGTCAACAACAGCAACAACACAAACACACATCACCAAACGAGATAGCCAAAATGACTGTAAATATTAGCTCTTCGAATGAGTGGCAGCGCATATTAGGGTCTTCGACCATCGTGGTCACAGACTGTAAGTTTTTACCTGTCGCATCGTTTGCGATCTCACCCGACCGCTTACAAATGATCATGTAGTCTACGCCGACTGGTGCGGTCCTTGCAAAATGATCGCGCCCACGTTCGAATCGCTAGCGACGAAATATTCTAAACCCGGCAAGATCACCTTCTGCAAGGTCAACGTCGATAACCAACAATCTATCGCCCAGAGTCATGGCGTGCGCGCCATGCCGACCTTCCTCATATTCAAGAACGGTTCCGTGCTCGAAACGATCCAAGGCGCGAACCCCCCGGCCCTGACTTCCGCCGTCGAAAAGGCCGTCAAGTTGGCCAACGTGAGTGCGCCGGGCGCATCTTTCACTACACCCGGAAGAACATTAGGAGGCGGCTCGCCATCTTCTAGTACACCGGCGAGGCGAGGAGGTCAGTCGCTAGGCGGTCAGCCGTGGAAGTTTAGTCCTTTCAATATCATCAACGCTATTCTCACATTCTTCGGACTTTACTTCGTGTCGCTTTTCTCGGTAAGTCGTGCCCTTGTAACTACCTGTGTTTCGCATTCGGTAAAATACTCAACATGGTATTAACAATATCAATTAGTTTGATCCATATAAAGCGGCCGAAAGGTCACAATTCAATCTTAATAATCCGGGAACATCGCCGACGCCGATCGGTGTTAAGGGGCAGAAAGTTGGCGGACAAGGTAGTTCTGTTCGGCCTAGTGGGGGAGTTAGGACATTGGCCGATCTTAGTAAGTAAATTTGGTAGACGTGGTAGACGTGGTAGACGTGGTAGATGTGAAGATTGCTTGATGTCGTACGTACATGTCGAGTATGTAGGCCGTCTAGGGGATGTAACTTATCAGCTTAATTGAGTTGCCGGAAGAATTGCATCTTTCTGTCAAGAATTAGGTAGCACCCCTTCTCTTGCTCTAAGCTTTGTTAGTTTATCGGCTCTAGTTAGCGCATTCCTTTCTTATCGGATTGTCGAATGCCTTTGCCATAGCTGCATGGTAGGAACGTTAGATCTACACTATGGGCTGCGTTAGACCTTGCCATATTATGCGGGTTATGGGTCTACTGCGGGGTGGCATGCTAATACTCGTCTTTTAAGTGGATGGGACTTTGCAGGGTACATGAACTAACTACCTAGTCTAAAATTTCCTTAACATACCTATGAAAAAGTTCGCGAATCTTTGCCATCATTCACAGACTCTTTTACTTCTCTTTTCGACTTAGCATTCAGGAAGAACAGGCGCAATGCTTTCCGCAGCGAAAGCTCAGGGCTCATGTCCTCAATGCAGACTCCGACTTCTCAATCTATTTGAGAATGGTTTTACTAGCCTACGATCTGAAGCCCCGCGAACCTTGCCTCGGCCGGCATATCCTAATATTAGAAGTTTACCGTCAAGTCAAAAGTCGAATGTGCGCCTCTTCTCGACGACGAAGCGCAAACTTCAACATTCGCACCCAACGGAAAGCCAATCAAATTCTAACGACATCGAAGCTACGGTACGACAAGCGAAACACGCATTTGGTGACACCTTACCAAAGGGTTATTTAAATGAAGAAGAATATAAGTTATACGAGCGACTCTACGGTGCGCCTTTGCGAGAGACTCGGCCAGAAGATGTAGGCATGCCAACATCCGATTTCGTCCCTGAAGATGCGTCTTACGATCTATCGAAGAGGGTACTACTTCGGGAAGGAGAAGACGGGAAGCTAGAGGAACTCGTGTACGAAACTGATGTTACTATATCTACTCCGGAAGGTTTCAATGATACGAAAAATCTGTTTTCGGAGAGCGTGGAAAGTTCAGGAGAATTCCTATCTGAAGCTGGGTTAAGTCATATTGGCGCCGTGGCCCAAAGCCAGAAAGAATACGACGCCTTATTGAGACTACAAAAAGACTTCGAGAGGAGTCAACTGCGAGCAGTTGAAGAAGAGGAAATCGACGAAGAGCCTGAGGAGGAAGATGAGTATGAAGACGAAGAAGACGAAGACGAAGGCGAGCCAGATGCAAGGTTCCGAACCCAGGATAGTCGCGTTCACCAGTATACGAGAATGGGCCAGTGGAGAACCCAACCCTCGACCATCCAGTTACCGAAAGCAGAATTTGTCAACCCGATCGACAAATTGCTCGACCGGACAGATACTAAGCATATTAAAGAAGCAGCAAAGAAGGCTTTTGGTGGCATCGGATTTCCGAACTCGGTTGCAACTCCCGCAGTAAGGAAAAGTCCCGAGCAGAAACCTGTCGCCATGGCGGCGGGCCAGCACAAGATGAGTGAGATCGAAGCAGACGCTTATATGGCCGTCAACCTTCCCGGGATGTACGCGTCTACAATGGGCATCCTAGTTGAGATCAGGAAACGCCTAGGCTCGGAGTGGATTTCCAAACTCATCTCTCGGGGCAATGGCGAGGGCCCTCGTGTGCTTGATGTCGGTGCGGGAGGTGCGGGATTAGCGGCTTGGCAGCAAGTCCTTCAAGCTGAATGGGATCTCATGGTTGAAGGGGGTAAGAAGCCTAGCCACGGACCGCCAGGAAAAAAGACGGTTGTGGTTGGATCTAATCAACTGCGCCAGCGGATATCGCGGTTTCTTGATGATACTACGTTCCTCCCACGCCTGCCAGATTATATACACTCTGCCAACAACCCAGATATGCTAGACGCTGGTGACAAACCACAGCAGAAGAAGTCGTTTGACATTATTATCGCCTCCCATCTACTATTACCATTGAAAGAAGGATTTCAACGCAAAGCTCTGTTAGACAACCTGTGGGAAATGTTGTCGCCCGATGGCGGAGTTCTCATCGTCATAGAGAAAGGTCACCCGCGTGGGTTTGAAGCTGTCGCGGACGTTCGTTCTCGGTTATTAAATGAATTCATCGTTTCACCTACTTCAGATCCTCGGCCTGAACAAATCGAGATCGAGCAGCGAAGGGTCCGTGAGCCAGGCATGATCGTCGCCCCATGTACTAACCACAAGGAGTGTCCCATGTATCTGACACCTGGACTCAGCAGTGGGCGGAAGGATTTTTGTCATTTCAGCCAGAGGTTTATTCGCCCGCCATTCCTACAAAAAGTGATTGGTGCCTCGCACCGTAATCACACAGACATAAACTTCAGTTTCGTCGCTATTCAACGCGGCAATTTGCCCGACATGAAGCCAGTCACTGTACCCAAACAGAAAGGTAACATGACTGATCGTGCATTTAAGGGCTATGAGAACGCTACCGAAGTACCGAACGCATTATCATTACCCAGAAACATCCTCCCCCCCTTGAAGAGGCGGGGGCACGTGACGCTTGACTTATGCACCCCTACCGGAAAGATCGAGAGATGGACGGTCCCCAAGAGCTTCAGCAAGCAGGCGTACCACGACGCGCGCAAGACGAGGTGGGGAGATCTATGGGCTTTGGGTGCCAAGACCAGAGTAGAGCGTAACGTTCGACTCGGACGAGCGGGTGCAGTGGCTAATGATGGTGGTGTACGGTCTCGCGATAATACACAGGGCCACAAGCCGAAGGTTATCCATCTCAACGCCGACTCTAGAGGTATCTACAGCGCCTACGAGAGAGTTAAAGTACATGGCCCTTCCGGCAGGAGGACCAAGGGAGGAAAGAAGGCAAAGCTGGAGAATTTGCTCAAGGAGCTAGAAGAGGAAGGCTTCCAATGAGTAGGATGAACAAGTACTTACCATTAACGTTGTACAAAATCTCGTCAGAGGATGTATTATTGCGTATAAATGCTAAAGCAGATATGTATGAACTATGAACGAGCTACCTCCACTTAAGAGTTACATGGGCCTAGTTATATTATTCATTCATGTAATGACCGTTATGTATGAGAACGGGGAATACGATAAGAATTATAGTTGAAAGTGCCATTTCCGAATAGAAGGCTTCACTTACAAGATGTTATTCAGAACTAGTGTTATTCAGAATATTTCGTCGACTTACAGATTTCCGCTCAGGGTCCGCGGAACTCGGTATGCAGCGACTAAACGAATGTCAATTGCTTATCAATGATTGGCTCGATAACATTATCAAGTGCGATTGCGTCAGAGAAATGCCCCTCCAAAACCCCGTGGGTCCCGCTGAAATTTTCCTGGGAGTTGCCAAAATGCCGGGAATCGGTCCAGACTCTTTAAAGAATTCCGCTGCGGCGCTCATGGCGACATCGCCTCTAGTCGCGGATAACTTCTTAGCTAAGAAGTATAACTAGGTAACCAACCTAGATATTTATTTGACTTGGGGTTCCCTCAAGGAAATACTTACAATGACTAATTATATCTTATTCCCTCCGTGATTTCCTCTCTTTCTTTCCTTTATACATACACTTGCATGGTTGTTCTACTAGGTTAGAGTATCGCGACCAAAGATAGGTACTCATTTAGTTTAATGCAGTGGGGGGACTTAAGCTATCAAGAGTTCGTCTTCAAGCGCCTATAAGAAGAGGCATAAATCAACAATGAATAGCTATATATCCCTCTTGACGGCGACAGATGCCCGATCGCATATCCATCTAATTATCGGTTCGAACCCTCTGGCGGCAGCGCGCTGCGGACAGTCATTAAGTGCCGGCGCATCGCCGATCCTTATTGCGCCGAAGACTGCAGAGCTGTACTATGCACTGCAGAAGCGCGTGGACGATGGTGAAGTGAAATGGGTGAAGGACACATTCCAGGATGAGCACCTATTCACATTGGGAAGAGAGGAAATCGGTCGTGTTGTAGACGCTGTTTTTGTGACTTCAGGACCTCAAGACCCTCTAAGTACGACTTGCTACCGAAACTGCCATTGCAGAAACCATTACTAATTAAAAACAGGCGCACATATATCGTCACTTTGCAAGCATAACCGCATTCCCGTGAACGTTGTCGATGCGCCGCAATTATGCTCTTTCTCCCTCCTATCCACGCACGTCGACGGTCCGCTACAAATCGGCATAACAACGAATGGTCGCGGGTGCAAATTGGCGTCTAGGATACGTCGCGAAGTTGCCGCTTCGCTACCCCCGAACCTAGGATCTGCCTGTTTGCGACTCGGCGACGTGCGTAGGAAGATACAAGAGGAGGATCACTTGCTACATATGGCTCTAGCGGACGGAGACGATGTTGATGATTCGATTGACCAATCGGCGAGTTTTAATAAGCTTGTTACGGAGGCGGATGTAGACGCAGTGAAGAACAGGCGCATGCGCTGGCTCAGCCAAATCTGCGAGTATTGGCCGCTGAAACGACTTGCTGCTATTACGGATGAGGATGTAACCAACATCTTGAAATCCTACGACGACCTTGGCGCTTCTAATCCGATAGGTAAATCTACATCCGTTAATAGCACTAGCAACCGCGGGCGCATCATTCTCGCCGGGTCCGGCCCCGGTCACCCGGACCTGCTCACGCGGGCAACACACAAGGCCATCCAAAGCGCGGACCTAGTGCTAGCGGACAAGCTAGTGCCAGCCGGCGTACTAGACTTGATTCCGCGCCGCACCCCCGTGCACATTGCACGCAAGTTCCCGGGTAACGCGGACGCGGCGCAGGCCGAGCTCGAGGAAATGGCTATGGCGGGTGCGCGCGAGGGTAAGACGGTCCTACGGCTCAAGCAGGGCGATCCGTATATATACGGGCGTGGCGGCGAGGAAGTCGAGCACTTCCGGAGTCAGGGGCTAGGCGACAAGGTCGTAGTCTTGCCAGGGGTTACGTCGGCGCTGTCCGCACCCTTGTTCGCGGGGATTCCATCTACGCAGCGCGACGTTGCGGATCAGGTACTAGTGTGCACGGGGACGGGCAAGAAGGGCAAGGCACCGACACCGCCGGAGTATGTACCGAGTAGGACAGTAGTGTTCCTCATGGCGCTGCATCGTATCGCGGGACTCGTAGAGGAATTGACGGGACGTCTGGAGACGGAGAAAAACACAACCGCTGATGATGTTCCCCCACGCGCTCTATGGCCGCGAAATACACCCTGCGCCGTAGTCGAGCGCGCTAGTTGCCCGGACCAACGCGTCATCCGGACTACGCTGGACCGCGTCGTCGAGGCCATCGAGCAGGAGGGCAGTAGACCCCCGGGACTACTTGTCGTAGGGCGGGCATGCGAGTTCCTAAATAAGCTTGAGAAGGGCCGCGCGTGGAGCGTCGAGGAGGGGTTTAGAGGGTTGGATTTTGGGCTGGAGGGACTGGATTTAGGTGCGTGATGAGATGACGGATGGTGAATAGGGGTTGGGGGCGCATAGGCGATTTGCATACGGGTGGCGTTTGAGATATCTTGGATGAGATATGGGTTGAATTTAATAGGTATGTGTATATGATACTCGAATTGCTTGCGGTAAAGATCCCCCAGTTCTACGTATTGTTCGAAATCTACATTGTAATACGACACCATGGATTGGGCGTTATTCGTATACGCACTGCTTATCGTCTTGGATCGGGTTTCCAATAATATTGGCATACTTACACCAAGGTAGGCAAGGCAGTCTTGGAAAGAGTTTATACCCCCCTATAAATCCCAAACTCTTAGAGATACATGTAGTTATTGTTATTGTATTTCTAACAGCGCATTCCTATCAAGTTGCTTTAATATGACAATCTACCCGTATCCTATACACGCCACGTCCTCATCTTCTTACACCCAGAAAGCGTCTACCTATTTCGTCTCATCGGCAGCACAGTACGTGCCTTATCTAACCCTTCCTCCTTTACACAGGTAGGTATTCAATCCCTATCATCAGGATGGAACACCAGCGCGCGAACCTCAATGCTCTCGCGCTTCGGCACGTCCGGCCCGATCGTCGGGTCCACGAACGCCGTGTGCGGGACGCGGCGGGCCCGCCCGTCCGTCTTCGAGTCGAAGCACTTGATGAGCAGGACCTCCTCGGGCGTCAGCCCGTACTTGTAGTACCACCTGTGGCCCTCGGCGTATCGCACCGCGAACGTCTCGCCCCGGCGGTTCGGGTAGATGAGCGGGATGGGCACGAGCTCCTCCTCCCCGACCGAGTTGGCTTCCGCGACCGCCAGGGGGTCCCGCAGCACCGTCTTGATCGGCCGCCACACGTTGATGATTTGTACCCGGCCCTTGAGAAGCTCGGAGGCTTCCTCGGCGGGCAGGTGGTGCGGCACGCGGGACAGCGCCGCAGAGTACGTCTGGTCGATGTGCACGCGGTTTACGGGGCCGCGGCGCGAAGGGCCGCCGTCGCGCTGGTCGGCTGGGTTGCGCCGGATGGTGTGGTCGAAGATGAAGATCTTGGATGCGCCGGTTCTGGAATGGGGGTGTTAGCTGATAGGTAGTTGCTATATTTGAGATATTCCCCCTTTTATAAGGAATGTATAACGAAGGGCTAAGGTCTAAGGTTCTAATTCATCAACTTACGCATCCTTCAGGAGCTGCTCGGTCTCGGGGTAGTAAACCGCCTTGGTATGGTCGTCATCCAGGAAGTCCTTCTCCTGCGCAACGTGGCGGTAGAACTGGAACCCGTTCTTGTCGAGGGTGAACTCGTCTTCCCGGCCTGATACATCCGTAATGTGGACTGGGAAAGACTCGAACGGTCGGTTCTGGGTCTCGGGCCGGTCTACGTAGGTAGGGTGCGGCGGTGAGCCGTCCTCTGCATCCTTGTGGTAGTTTAGCACGGTGTCGACGTGACGCGGTGCTGGAGACGCGGGTGCAGCCGATTCGCTGGTGGCTGAGAAAGCCGGGACAGATCTGGGGAGTTGGACGTCTGGGGAGGCCATTGTGTGTTCGGTATACTTGTTAAAGGCGTAGTAATGCTTGTATACTTGTGTCTGGTGTGGCAATGGATGGAGAGACAAGTCTGATTCCTTATATACTTCTTTATCGAAAGATGAATTCCTTAATCTGGAAATACTGGGATATCGGCTGCTACCTCATCCATGGATGCCGGTACTGTAGTGCACGTCCACTTGCGGTAAAGGAATAGTAGCTCCCCGCAATCACGCAAGATTGCGACAGTAGGGGGAGCTCCGTGACAGGACGTCATGCGCCTAGAGTATAAGATGATTGCCTACATCCTGCATCTAGACTCCAGTGGCGTGGCACTGATTAGAAATACTAGATTCAAGTTGTATTTGTCATATCTCGTTTTCTACCTAAGTACGTTTACTTATTCTGTATTGCTAGTTTATGTATAGCCTTTGTTTTCATTAACATCTAGGTTATGGGTTTCGTCTAACTGCGGCTCAATATGACATGATGATAAATTACACAACCACGGCCAAATGCTACAGCCGAATTTGAAAAATGTTCCCGAGTAATTACTCAACATCAATATACACGCAGTAAGCAGAGTCGTGAAACACCAAATATTTAAGTAATTAGTCAACATCCTTCGGTACCCGTGTTAGCACTGTGATAGCCGTCCCATCATCTAGCACGTCTTGCTTCTCTTCCAAGCTATACCCGCCGAGTCGGGGTAATACAACTGTCCATATAAGCCAGTATAGGACTCCAAATAAGAGTCTACGAATTTGTAAGCATATGCGGTTAAAATCTTAAAGACGCTATTATTGGTTCTTCACGTTGGGAACGCTGTAACTTACATGCCGACGCCAACAATGGCGTATGTCGCGTAAAATAGACCGCCGGGTTTCGGATGCGAAGGAGGGAAAAAGGGGGCAGCTAGTAAAGAAAAGCATAGGACGATTCTAAAGATGACCGCCGGGATCCAGGCTTTGAACGGCCGTTTCAAATCCGGTCGCTTATATCGCAGCCAGATAAGTCCTATTGACGTTGCAAGCGCAAATACTTGTCCTGGGTAACCCTCCACTTCTAATATGAAGGAGTACACTTCGCTCGACGGCGGGAGTATAATGACTAGAACGGAAGGGATCCAGTGCACAATTAATCCTCCCAATGGTGCGTTAAAAGGCTTCGAAGACGATAGATATCTAGAAAATGGCAGAAAGCCCGCACGAGCAACCTCCTGATTCAGACGCGCCTACAGCTGGTCAGAATTCGGGTTTTACACTGGTGATTTCAAAAATATTTTGGAGGCATAAACCTACCGTCGAAAATGTCACTACCATAACATTCCCTGCTGCCGAGAGCGCAACGGCCAAGGGTAGAAACCTCTTGCCGATGTTGGGGCCAAATGTACGTTCGAAGAATAATGCTGCAACTAGTTGACCGCTCTCTTTGATGTCCTCGATGGGCACCACGGCGAAGTAAGCGAGATTAGCAAGCAAGTACAACAGCAACGCAGTAAACAGAGCCGTCAGAGAAACCGACTTCAAGGTTCTGACACTGTATCAACGACAGTCAGCCATTTTTCTCGATTAGTAAACAGTCCGAGAGTCGAGACCCATAGGCATGGTTTAGGAATAGTAAGCCCCGGCCGACTCGATTAGGAAATTCGAACCGCAAGCCCCCGAACGGTAGGAAGTAGATGCAAGGACTTACGGATCTTTCACTTCGTTCATAACGTTATTCAGGTTGGATAGACCAGCATAAGAATAGAAGACCTTGAACAACGAAGTCGCCAGGGTCCCAAGATTCCAGTCACTCCCCTCCCATAGTCCTTCCCAAGATTGTATCTTCTTCGGTCTTAGGTCCGCATCTTCCTGCTCGGGCCTAACTACCACGACGTAAAGAGCTGATAACACCATGAATACGACGAGTCCCACCTTGATCCAGCCCAGGAAGTTCTGGATGCGTATGCCAGCTCTGTACCAGACACCGTGAATAATAGTGATGACAGTAAGGAGTCCAACCGCCAGGGCCTTCTTAGAAAAGTCTCGAGCCTCGACGTCGAATACGAAATGCACATATTGGCTGAAGATGACGCAGTTACTTGCCGTGAAACCTAGAAGCACGGCTTGAACCGCGATCATGGTCGAGGCAAAGAAGCGTGGCCACGGATACGTGAACTCGAGGTATACCTTGTCTCCGCCAGACCGCGGCAGCATGCAACCATATTCAAGAGATACCGTTAGGCCGCATGCCACCACGACGGCGCCAAGGATCCAAATCGAAAGCGAAAGACCCACACTTCCGACGGAAGACAGAATAACTCCCGGGACTGCGAAGATGCCACTTCCGATGACTCTCGAGATGGCGATGATATAAGCGCTTTTCCAGTCGATGTTACGGCCTAGGACGGACTCCTCGGGTAAGACGTCGTCCTCGATATTTCCGAACTCGGGTGGTGAAGAAGGCCCGTCTTCTTCGTCATCCGTCGGGGGCTTGAGGATCGAAGACGAACGTATCGATGCCGCGTCTGCGCCCAGCAAGGGGCTATCTTCGCCGTAGGACGTAGACATTTTCTTAGCAAGGCTCGGGGAAACAGTTCGCACAGACGCGTGGTTCTAGCTCATAGTTCTTAGTTCCTAGTACCATTTATTTTTATTCGCGATCGTGTAGAAGTTATTGTCCAGCCAGAGAGAGATTCGAGACTTTGGGAGCTGTTTATTATCTAGGTATTAGGTTCGGGCGTTGAGTTCTCGAATACGAAGGATGAAAGTCCATTATTAGGTATTATTTAGGTTTTCCGACGGGCTGGAAATCGCACCTCGGAAACGCCCATCTGATTGCCTGAGCTGCTGACAAAAGAGTCTCTTGATCACTAAATCCAGAGGTTGCGCCATCCTGTTGTTTCACTGTGTGCCACTCAGCCCTGTTGATGCTCTCGCACGTCATCTCCCCTGACGTTTGCACCACCCTTGCTGAATAAACCACTGAGATCTCTCAGCTGGGCATTTACTAGATTGGCTTATCTTTTGGGCTCGAGCTTCATCTTACGTGATAAGGTTAATTGATTTAATTGATTTGAAGTTGTTTAAGGTTGGTTTAGTTGTGAGTTAAAGTGAATATTTTATTCATCTTTTATTCTTGTCTTCTATTAAGAGCTAGGTTGTGTCACGAATTACATTCTTATCATCAAGTACATTTAATAACATTGCCGAGACATTGGGGGTGGATACCGGATCACCCGGGGCGGTATTTGACTTTACACTACGGAGTCCGGTGCCCACCCTTCCCTAACCACTGTTATGGGATTGCATAAAATCGGGATTCCATACTTGGTGCATAGTTGGTACGAATCCCTTAACCTAGACGTTCATTGGCTACATTTCTACAACCCTTTTAGGCGCTTATATCGACTCCATATTGGGAGTAGCTTATTGTAACTGGAATGAACATGATTAATTGGACCGATAACTCTCTGCTTAGGTCTTTTATGTGGTGTAGACGACAACGCGAGGACTAAGTATTCAAGGTTACATAGGTCTCTATCACAAAATGTACAGGGTAACACTTTAAACCCCCTATCAATATTTTAAATGTTCCTCGATAGACAGATATCATCCATTCAGCGACTCTCCATTATAACTTCATTCTCCTATTCCCCTTGAACCAGTCTCACTTCAACCTCCCCATCAACATCGACATCAACGACGAACGAAGTAATGGGTTGATTTTCGTCAAACTCGTCACCATCTTTCAGGTACTGGCTAACGAGCGGATCCTGGACCATGCGCTCCACAGCTAGATTGATGCTACGGGCGCCAGTCTTCTTGTCGTACTCCTCGCGGGTGATGGCAGAGCATACTGTTGCATCATTCTTGATACTGAAGCTGATATTTCCGACATAAACGTCGTCTTCCTTGTTTAGAGCTAGACGTACATGTCGAGCAACTTCGCTTTCCAAAACCATCAATGTCCTATGAGCAATGACAGCTGCCTCCTGTGGCGAAAAGACGAGGAAGGGGATGATTTCGGTAATGCGACCACTCAAAGGGGCACCGAAATGCCCGGTAAATTCCTTGCGGAGTTGACGACACAACTTCTCTACCACCTTATCCTGAGCTTCTTGGTCTTCAGAGTGGAAAATGGTCTTTTCGTTAGCATTGCAGAATCCGTGAATGCTATCATCCAGTTTATTGGTGGCGAGAATCCAAATTGTCTTGGAGCAGTCGATAATCTTCCCATTTCGACGATCTTCATAGCGGCCTTTTCTTACATGTTAGTGTACAAAGGGTAACCGGTATAGTTGTTTAGGTTCACTAACCATCTTGGAAAGGTAATAACAGCGTGTTATGGATGTCCTTGCTAGTTTTCTCGAATTCATCCATAAACACAATACATCGTTGCCCAGCCTTCCGAACCAAAAAGTTATTTAATGGTGAGCCATCCTCATGTCCGCTATAGGGGGGTCGTGGCCCGAACAACTCGTTGTCTTGCTTAAATATGGTACAGTCTACCACATGCAATTCCAGCGACATAAGGTCTCCAAATCTTTTAGCAAGTTCCGTTTTACCGTGACCACTCGGTCCTGCGAAGACCAAAATAAACGGTTTTCGCTTTTGGAGTGCAAGGTAACTCATATCGATTAGCTATAGAAGGTACGTGCGTAGAAGCTTCGAACTTACACGAGAAGCTTTTTTTGAAGCCAGCGCGCTGCAATCGACTGAGCGACAATCATTTGGTGAAGGCCTAGGACTTCTCCAGCGCCCTGACGATTAAGCACTTCTTTCTCTCGACCAGAGGGCGGCATGACCTTGCTGGCCCTGTAGAGGTCATATCGCTGTGACAGGGTTAGAACCTGAGCAAGATATGCCCGTACCTCTTCTGTGCACCATTCCTTGTTTTCATCATTAATATCGTGAAGTTCTTCCAGAGTTGGTCCGCCCTCCGGCAAATCTCGACAATAGGGATCATAGAACGCTTTAGGAATGACATGAGGGTTTGCGCCAAATCTAAGAAGTGTAGCAAGTGTCCTCCACGCCTGGAGCATAGTTTTGCCTCCATTCAGAATAGAGAAGCCGATTGCGGGGACGGCACTGGGTCCCCATGTCGCGTTAGGATCGCCTCCGTGTTTGAGCCACTCACGAAGTATACCAATGTCGTTAGTCGCGATGACATAGAAAATTGCTGGATACCCGTCAATAGTATCGTTCAAATATGTGTATAAGTCATTCTTATTATAATACCCCAGGTATTTACGGATACGGTCGGCGTCGAAATATCCAGCACGAATTGCGCCCATGAGTTCGCGGAGCTCAAATACATACGGATCAGGGGGCTCATAGGTGATAGATATATCGGGAACCGGGAGGATTGGCAGCTTGGGCATCCACAAATCGCCTTCATCAGTACCTTCACCTTCAGCTTGTGACAATTCAAGTGAATTTGTTGCAACCAGAGTGTTATGGTCATTATTCGAATTACTTAGCGGGATATCATCGTCGAATACGGGGACTGTTGGAAGGTATTTCTAAGCACTTGTTAAAAAGAAGACTTGGAAATAAGAGGGGAAATGCAAACTTCAGATGCTTTATATTTTTCTATAGCCTCTTCGACATTGTTTCCATATACCTATGAGTCGTTAGCATTTTCAATATTGTGGGAACTGACTTAGAAAAGCTCACTTCTAGAATGTCGGATGCTGTGTCTCTGGAGCAGCTTGGGTACTGTGCCAAGAATCGACTTATGTCTTCTTCCTTTGGTGTTGTAGACATGATGTTTTAAAAACAAGATCTAAACAGTTGGAGTAGAATGAGAATACAGGATATTATTACGATGTGTGAAATCTTCATAGGCATATAAATATATTAAATAGGCGCTCACATACCCGTGGGTGTTGGAAACCCGGTAGGTAGGTGCTGGATAATTCGATCACGAAGCTATTCCTAGACAGATCAAGGCTACGAATCATTATGTTTTTACTTCTTTGATCATTTGCATTGTATATGTGTAACTGTGTCATAAGGGATACAACCCTTTCTTCATTCATCCGTAGAATCATCAAGCGATCCAACTAGGGTGTTACTGTTTGTAGTTGTCGAGCCCAGTCCAATCGGTAACCGTTGATGGTATTCAGGGTGGCTGCCTATTGACATGGAAGTTAGTAGAGGTCGAAAACATGAGAAATGATCTATGATTATTCGAGTCTAATCTATGATATTTCCGTCGGGCCGTCTAATCTGAGACCAAGTACTCGACATAATATGAGAAGCACATGTAATTCTTGCTTCCATATTTTGCTTGATGTTTCCGTCACGGATAGGTACAGTAATAGCTCGCGAATATTTGTCGAGGAATCTACCTAAGGCTAGGCACATACGGAATGGCGCCGATTTCCAATTTTGCTTCCGTGTCTGTTTTTATTTTCGTATTCGGTTTGCAGAAGAAAAGAATCAGTTAGAGTCGCATCATAATTGAATAGAATCATCGCATAGTTTCCGAGCCGTTTGAACTAGCTTTGTCAGGATGGTAGCTGAAAGTCTCTTCATGGACGAACTTAGAGGACTTTCTTATTCTCGCATCAAAGTAGAGGTAGTTATATTGAAATATATAATAAGATATATACCTACCTTAGGTACCTAAATTTCTACGTTACTATCACGTCCGACTTAGAACCCATTTTCAACATTCTGACACCGTGGTTAATAAGCACGTTATTTTCACATCAAACCAACTTAGAGCAGCCATGGCAAACAACGGTGTACCTCCGATGCCACTAGAGGCTTCCGGCAATATGGCCATGAGTATGTCAACTACTACAACGAAATCGCGAAGGTTGCCGACACGGGGGCCGGATCAATCCATACATCCTAGTCACACTGAAACAACCTCAAGCACTCTGCCAACATCAGATGGTCCGTCTATTACCAGTATACGGCCTAATCCAATCCGCGCCAGAGAAAGAGCCTTAAACATGCAACGTATTGAGCTAGCGGGACAGCTCAGCGATCAACAGAAGCAATGCGCGACATTAGAAGCTGAGGTTACTAGTCAACAAGACAAGATAGCTAGCCTCAGAATTAGCCAGGAAACATTCGAAGCTGAATGCGAAAGACTTCACGGACAGTTACACGAGGCAGATGAGAAGTTCAAGTCTCAGACCGCCGAAGCTAGACAGCGAGAAGAGACTATGTCGGAAAAAGTTACAGATCTGGAATCTAGACTTAATAAAGTACTCAAGAGCCTCGAGGATTTGAAGTACGAACTAGACATGGCTCAGTTAGCCTACAGTCAGGTTGTCAAGGATCGTGACCAACAAGTCAGCAAGGTCCAACAACTTGAACAAAACCTAGAGGCCAATCAAGCTAAAATCCACGACCTCAAAGATTCGCACGAGAAACTACAAGAAAAGAGTATAAATACAGATCTTACCATTTCCAACATGAAAAAAACTCATCAATGGAACGAACGCAAACTTAAGCAGCAGCTCACTTCAAAAGAAAGGAAGGTTATTGACCTTGAGCACGAAATCAGCATCCTTCGGAGTGCTTGTGAGGATGCTGTTACAGAGAAGGAAGCTGTTCAAAAAGAACTTGACGCTCAGAGTGATGCCTTTAAGGCGAAATCCCATAGTTTCGACGAGCTGCAAAAGACTACCGCACCCTTTGCTCAGACGATAGTCATTTGCGTCGACGTTAGCGGAAGCCTTTCTTCAGTCATACATGAGGTCAAACAGGTTTACAGAGAAACCTTACTTCTTATTAATTTGAACAACAGAGATGCTAAAGTTGCGGTTGTGGTTCATGGAACTCCTATTTTGATCAATCCCTCGCCTGCTCAAACCATTTCCGACGCGACACTCCAGATCCTCGACTCTGTCAACACGATGGACAGTGAGAATTATACTTATTGCATGGAACAAGCTAGCAGTATCCTCAATCGTGCGGTTGCTGGCAGTGAAAAGCTTATAGTGCTCATTGGAGATGGAAATGCCAGATGCTCAAACACAACTTCTCTTTACGCAACTTGCGGCCAACTCAAATCAGCAAATATTCAAGCACACTCAGTTGTGATTTCCAATGGTTCGACTTGGTACGGAGCCGTAACGATGCGAAAAATTTCGGAAGCTACTGGTGGTCAAGTTGAAAGCAAGTATACTTACTTGCCGGCTATTAATGGAATTCTGCGTCATCAACGCGAGCAACATTTCAAGGCCCTGTAGTTCTAGTTTCTGACTTCTCGACCTCCCATAGGATTGTAACTGAGGAAATTGGTCTGATATCAGACGTTGTTTCATACGCAGGACTCATTTTGGAGGAAATTGGGTTGTCACTTGAATGCAGTTCTAGTATAACATGATTGTATCGTTGTTACTACCTAGGTAGCTTGGTTAAGTAACAGGAATTACTATCCTAAAGACAGTCATGTATCCAAATATTAACACCATCGTACAATTTAAATTTATGACCTTGAACTAAGTAGGTTTCGTTCTTGCTAGTACCTATCACTCTAGGATGACACTCGTCACTTTTGGACAGTTCCAGGGTTGCTTTCTCACGAATACAAGGATAGGTAGTCCTCTGTGGTCAAAACTTCGGTCGGAAAGCCCATAGCAGATGGATTAGATCACCTACTAGTTGGATAGCAATGAGTTGCCATCGAGGGTATACTATAATTCAAACGGGGAATACCTCATAGCGCTTACCTGCATTTAAGGCTTGATTACGGTCATGTTTAGCCTTGCTTCGGGCGCCTACATATCCGGAGGCTTGAGAATACGACAGTTACACCAATTGCTATTGCGGTCGCTTTTAACTATTTAGAAAGATGACAAGTCTGAAATGTAACCGGCTGGCATCCACACAAATAACCTATCACGTACTTGTTTCCATCTACAAACAATAGAAGAACAAATCGTACTTCAGGCAAAACGATAGGCAATACTTTTCTATCGTCATATAATTTATGCAATCTTCATTTGCGAAATAGTGACATACCAGGTGTCTCTTTGCTCAGTTCCCATATTACTTCTTCAAGATGAAAACTGCCAATTTCCTCAAGTTTAACAGCCCTACAGTCCGTATCTGTTCCCCAAGTTACAGTTTCTGCTACATCTCATCGGTTTCAGCTAAATACAGTACCAACAAGCAGCAGCATATATCAAGCTCACGCAAAGGACCAATGGAAGCTTTCTTTGCCCAATATCCCGAATTCAACCACGATGAAACTGCGCCGATTTGGACCGAGTTTAAATCGTTATGTGAACATAAGAAATGGAATGAAAACAGCAAGGACAGAAAGGAAGCCCGGAATCAATTCCAGGATGCCATGATTGCCGAGTTTGGAAGGATATACGGCACCGATAATACATCATTGTCATCATGGCAGAAGCTTTGTCGTACTATCAAGGTTTCCCCTATCCCTCAAAACATCGTTGCATGTCAAAAGGTTCGCACCCTAAAAGATCCGGTTGCTACCCAGTTGCTATTAATAGCATTGGATCATAGACTAACAATATCTTGCCAGGAAGTTGTTTCGGCACACGTTAACCTCGTCGACCTTGTGGATTGTCAACGGACTGGAAAGCCCATTCATATATTCCCAAATCTTCAAGAACTCCGGAAATATACCTTATCCGAACGCAAGGTCTTCCCCATGTACAAAGCAAAGACACAGGGTCTTTTGAAATATCTTCTTCGCGAGATATTATAGGGGAGATAGATTTTGGAATACCTATGGTATTCGAAGATGGCTGATTTCAAGGTCGCGCTCTTACTCGCAGACGTTTAGGCTTCGACGTGGGGCCCATTCTTCATGTATCCCTCTATCTTGAACGAATAGTGAACAGAATGATATGTAATATACAATTAAGAATGATGGGTATGAAAGAGTTAGCAGTGGTCTCTCATATGAAGGATTATTTACCAAGTATGCATTCTATACTAAATCAGAACCATATGCATATGACTTTTATTGTCTGCAAGTTACCTTTCTGGACAGGTTTATAAGCTCCCACAAAAATGTTACCTCGGACGATTGTCACGGCAATGGTGAAAGTAACAAGTGAAAATATGGCGGAAAGCTTAACCTCACGAAGGCTAATAAACACACAAGGAATCTACATTGGAAAGCGTATAGCTGTAATCATAAGTATTATAGTGAAATTAGATTAGATAGCGAGACTAAGAGATAAACTCAACGCGTCGGAAATGGCATTGGGCGAGCACGATAACAGCCTCACAGCTGAGAGGCTGTTCTTCAAATCCTTGTGTCAGGGTATAGTGGCTGAGTGGATCGGGGGTAGCTACAGGGGTCTATTTACTATAAGAGGCGCGAAGCGCCCTCGTCCAAGGATAGAAGGCCAGGTGTTACTAGTTCAATACATCTATTACTTGGTCTACCTACCGACACTCACTCTGTATATGACTAGCCTCACCGGGCATTAATCCTGACACCTTATATAGCGTGCATTTAAGCTAGGACCCTGGAAACTGGCATTCGGTGCCAAGACATTTGATGTCCAGGTGGCTTAATATAATCGGCTAACCTAGATGTTATCCCCTTTCACAATTGTTGCTGACATAGCTCTCCTATTGACCGCTACTACGATGCTCACCAATAAAAAGACCAACTAGAGCTACCAACTGGAATAAACTAACTCTTTCTTAACCCTATACTTCTATACTTCATCAACAATAAGTCTCTCTTTACCTAGGCTTACTTAGTCAGCCTATACAAACATGATGTCTTTCTTCGGGGCCGCATTCTTAGGCGGGATTGTAGGCGCCTATATGTTTCTACGGGCACTCCTATACTTTACGCAAGACGCAAAAGAGCCGCCATCAATTGCGCACACAATCCCATTCATTTCTCCTATCTTAGGGATGGCTACTAAAAAAGCCAACTTCTACAGTATGATGAGGTGGGTATCACAGAATGCATCAGCATAGACTCTACTAATAGCATTCTCTAACAGAGATAAGTACAACCTCCCGCTGTACACACTGCGAATGCCCGGGTCGAGGATATACGTTATCAACTCTACTTCTCTCATTCCCGCAGTGCAGCGCCAGTTCCGCACATTGGCATTTACTGCTCTAGAGTCAAGATTGGCTCGAGATTTAATGGGCGTCAGTAAAAGCACGCACGACATTATATCTCACAATCTTGTGCGCGACGAGGGGTATCTAATGACATTCCCTAAATTTATCCATTCCGCTGTCAGTGCTGGGCCGGGACTGGATGCTATGAATAGGAGATCGGTTGAAGTGCTAGCCGAGTCTTTGGATAGACTGTCGGGTAAGGGGCCCGTGACGACTAAAATGTTCGAATGGACGCGCCATGAGCTATTAATAGCGACCACGGAAGGCGTTTATGGCCCCAATAATCCTTTTCGCGATCCAGCTATGGAGGGGGCTTGGTAGTAAGTCTCCCAACACCTATGTTATAGTTACCGTGGTACTAACCAAGATAGCAAATTCGAACCGGGCATCATGATGTTCGTGTTAAAGCTCTGGCCGCAGTTCCTTGCCAGGCAGAGCTTCGAGGCCCGTGAATACATGGGTAAGGTCTGGGAGCGCTACTTTGAATCCGGCGCGTATAAGAAAGGCTCCGAACTTGTCCAATGTCGGGTCAAGATCAACGAAGATTTCCAAATTCCTATTAAACAGACAGCTAAAATCGAAGTGGGCGGTTCGTTTGCCATCCTTGGTAACACCCTGCCATCTACTTTCTGGATGATATATCATATCTTCTCTGACCCCGTAGTTCTGGAGGACATCAGAACTGAGCTATATGAGCACGTAAAGGAAGTAGATGGGGTATGCACTATTGATCTTGCGGACGTCAAAGGTTCCTGTCCTATCTTATTCTCTACATTTAAGGAGATGTTTCGCTATAACGCGATAGGTGTCTCCGCTCGCATCGCAATGGAGGACCACATGCTCGATAATAAGTACCTCATCAAGAAGGGGAGTACAGTGATGATTCCATCCAGAGTTCAACATTCCGTCCCATCGGTATGGGGCGAAACAGTAAACGAATTTCACCATAAGAGATTCATACGACAGCCCGGAATCAAGGCACCCAACCCTATTGCTTTCCGTGGCTTCGGTGGGGGTACTACTCTGTGTCCGGGACGGCACTTTGCGTCCACTGAAGTCTTGATGTTCTCTGCCCTAATGGCTCTGCGGTTTGACATTTTTCCAGTAGGCGGGAGATGGTTGAGACCCACGACGAACAAGTCGCCCCTAGTAGCAGCGGTTCCTGTTCCGGATTGGGACATAGATGTTGAAATCCGCCCTCGGGATAGCAGGAAGTGGAAAGTCTCATATTCTGGCTGCAATACGGACTTGGAGATTTCGGTAGAAGATATTGGAGGAGTCAAGTCGGACGTGCCCTAGTAGTTATGCTTCCATTAATTAACAATGCTTTATATTGTTGCTGACGTTTTCGGGTGACTAGTTCGCCCACAGCTGTAGCTAAAACTAACCCATAACTTGCTTGCTGATTATGGGTCCTATAGAGACATGTTCTAGACGCTCTGATGCTGGCGTCAACTACAGTCTTGGTTATACCAATAAGCTCTCTTGGGAAGGTAGCATAGCCAGGCTAGCTTGCTAGCTATAGTCCAAATCAATTGAACCAGCCTATAGACAAAACATCGCGAACTAAATTAGGCATTGCAAAGCTAAGAAGTCCGTTTTTATCACGTTGTCGCTGGTTCCCTCAGGAGAACTCTCGCGTATAAGAAGTCCCGGCATCGACGCGCTTGAACTTTTAAATTTTCTTATTCACCAGTGTCACTACTCCCAAGCCAAGTCCTCGCAATCTAATTCTCCTCATATTTCAAGAAGAATCATGAAATTCGCATCGTTTGAACAAGGTAATTAGTGTATAACCTATTCCGATAGTGGAGCATGCGCCCGGCGGGCATAGTACCTGCTGAAGCTTTACTAACGAATCATAGCTTGCAACATTTTTTATCACAGCACATTGAGCCTCTCGTTTTCTATTTTAAATACCCCTTGCATTCATACTTGGCTTCTACTCCCGTTATTTCTAGAATGCTGATATATTCAAACATTATCAGAAAAACAGGGTACCTAGTATGCTTCTAAAGCTTATGCTGGTGGCAAGGATGTTGTAGCATCAACACTCAAGTGTAATAGTTGTCTTTCCATATAAGCGAGAGCAGAAGTTGCAAGTACTTGTAGTTTATGATCTAGGGGCAGTTGCAAAGGATGTTCCTTTTGATCGGCTGGCGGATTAAGATCGGTTTCGCTAAGACGCTGCATGAAGCTACAAGCTCGCGTCGATCGCTTTGCGCAGTTAACACAGGGTTCTCCTAGGCCTTGTGAGACACACTTTATATGTGCTTGCCGGCACCTCTCGCAACTCGTAATAGCCTTTGATCTTCCTCTTTTGCGCTTCTGTGGGAGTTGCTTCGCTTGTTCTTTTCTTGTTGGCTGAGGGCCTGTAGCACTCATAGACCTTCTTCTACATGGCGGATGATCAGGGAGAGGAACGCGCTTTTTCACAGCCATAGTGGCTTAATCATAACAGTGTTTCAGCTATTCAGTATGGTGAGGTGGTTTGATATCACGCTTTGCGAACACTGCTTAGCTTACGGGAGGTATGAATTAGTTCAGCTCGGGACGAGGTAACTCGTGTTCAAAAGTCTGTAGCGAGGAATAAATTTACTTCTATTATAAATATTGAGCGACCATATGGTAAGCATTGAAGATAAAATGTACCAATAGAGAAATATCTGAAAGGATACCCAATAAAGCCATCTTTTACACCACCGCCTGTGATCCGGACCTTTATGTACCTTTACCTCCACGCATACATACAGAGGTATTTCGGCTGAGGGTTAAGTATTGGGCTTTTAGCAAATCTGGCTAGATATATGAGAGAAAACCACCAGCGTATATTGCATTATCTTCGTAAAAATTGCTTCTATGTATGTGAGTTTTGAAAAGAGCCAACACGATAAAGATCCGGGCTAAAAGTCTTACACATCTAATCCTGGCAAGACTATGTGCGATTAAAAATGGTTGCACGGCTTTGTTTAAGCCAACAGTGGCTGGTTCCGCTATAAATATAGTGGTGTGCTACCTGAGTTCGGTGGATGGGCTACTATCCGACCTTCAAATTAGCGTATACTTCATACAGTGTTAGTACTGTATTAGAGATTTGCGGATGTGCCAAATTTTTGGCCAGTAGACACTTTATGAGCATTTTAAGCTAATCAATTAAATTAAAACTCCTATGGAATATAGCTTTTCATTTTTCTAAAGCATAATATATATCCGTATGTCTTTTAGAAACTGTGTTTAGTTCTAATCTTTGACATGAATCGCCGAATCTGTTTGCCGCGCAGTAGGAACACGATAAGCATCAAGTTGTTGGCTAAGAACACTCCACCAAATGCCCCTGCAATTATTGCTGCGTAGCCGCTTTCGGTTACCCCTGAAATAATGTTAGCAATTTATTCCTTATGTGAACGGAAGTTAGGAAAATAGGATTTCCAGAAGTTAGAACTGCTTGTGGGAGGCGAGGAGATTCACGAGATTTCATACAATCGAGAACGCCATAACCCAGGCCGAAGCTGACGGCCTGCTTTCCAACATTTATCGCAACAAGCATCTCGGACGTATCGCTGTTATAAGAATCAACAGCATACGCCAATGTGAAGCAGTAATAGAAATAACCGCCGAAAGATGCCAGACCAGATCCGATAAAATAGCCTATCCAGTGTAAGTTAAGTTCCGCAGTGAGCCCGTAAACGACTAAACCCGCTGGGCCTATTATCATAGCGGGTAGCATGACTCCTAATCTCATCTCAGCTTCGCGAATACCATTATTGCGTCTGGTCAAGTAACCCGCTAATCGATCCGACGAGGAAGTAAAGGGAAGCGCAAGAAGGAACCCGATGAGAGATCCAAGCGACTGCACGCCGGAGCTAGCCTATAAATAATCATTAATTGGACATCTTTATTGGGACGAAACAGAACTTGACACATACTTCTGACCAGTTGTACGGAGGTGCGGTTATCTTGATTGGGAAGACGTAGTTAAAGGCCAATGCACCTAACCCTATGATAGTTCCGAAAGAGGTGATAACCCATAGGACTTGGGGGACTAGAAAATAGGTGAAAGGTCGCCATAGGAACGTATGAAGACGAACGTCTGGATCAACGCGACCCCATGGGCTAAGTGTTGATAGGAACGTTTTTCGTTTCGGCATACTTGCCGCCCGCTCAACGACCGAGTCGTTAGGCTTTTCGAAGGCATTAGGCGCGATGTCATTCGAACGCTCCGTAGAGGTGTCGTGGACCACATGCGCCTCCCGATCGTAAGATGTTTCTTCGACGAAGAAGAATGCAAGGATGAATAGTGCACTAGCGAACGCGAGAATGACGTAAAAGAAGAGCCTCCAAGAGTATTTGGTTGGTAGCATATATGCAGCCGGTATCGTTGACATGGAGGCGAAGCACATGCCGACTGTTTTAAATAACGTAAGTAGAAGCTCCAAAGCCTTAAGTAGTGGTCACTTCCATACATGTATAGTAGCCAATGTGTTTCCCTCGCTCGTGAAGGAAGAATATATCTGACACGAGCTGAACAGGTAAAGCTTCGCATATGCCAGCACCAAAACAGTGTATAATCCGACCCGCCCTATTAGAAGTTTGATGTCAACAGTGGCATTGGTTCGCCGTCCGGTCTTAATATCCCCGTGATCGGACGCTCGAGAGTATCATAGAAGGCGATAGGATAAGCTGACTTACTACGAATAATTAGCTGGAAATAATGATTTAACGATATCTAGGAAGATAATAGGAATATTTAGGTCTTGGAAACATGGATTTCTATACGTACCATTAGTCCACCAAAGTCATTAGCTTGAGAACATCCAGCAAGGCCAGCAATGAACTGAATTAGAAGAGATTAGCTGGGAAATCAACCCTTTCCAAATTCATAGACTAAACCTACAGCTAATAATGATCCAAGCATCACAGGTCTCCTTCCGAACTTCAGGTATAATGGCACGAGGATAAAGGAACTAAAGCCATATGCGAGATTGGGATATGATATAAGCGTCGATGCTTCCGCAGGGGTAATATCGAATAGCTCAGACCATAACGTCAAATAGGGGCCGGGACCCAATAGCGCTGCATTTCCGAGGAAGCTGTAGGTGCAAATAACGACCAGTATCATTATCTTCTTGGACTTCGACCACTGTATAATTGTTAAAATCGTGAATTATAAATCTCGGATCTCAGAATCAACTTCGCGGGCCTAGAACATACCTGCAACGGGTCATTAGGGTCTTCGGCGGGCACAGGGAAAAGCGCCTGGCCGTTATAAGAATCATCTCCTTCTGTTTCCCAACTCGTCAATGATTGATGGTTGGATATGACGTCGGGTGTTACTAACCCACGGTCTGGACATTGACAGTCCCGGGAATATCTTCTTCGTGTGCATGGCTACGCACCAGATGCGTTGTGCGGTTTTGAGGCCCAACGACAAGTCTACGAGCCATATCGATATGTAACACACGATAACCTAGCGGATAACATATAGGGGAAAAGTGATATCTAGGAGGAGAAGAAAAGCGACGCTGGGTATTTCACATGCTTTGATGGGGGCGGAGCTTGTTTTATATGTCCTTCCCATGGGACGATAAACAGGTACCTAACTTGATACTTACCACAGACATTCGGCAAATCCTAAAAGCCATCGTTTTTCTTGTTAGATGAGCTTACTAACAGATTATCATCTACGTGACGTCGTATACAGGCTGTGGCATCCGTGCCGAGATAAAACATTCGTAGATATCTATAGGTGCCAATTCTACGATAGTTAAGGGTGATTGCATTATTAAATGAGTCTTGTGTTGCATTTACCCCGCGCATCGTAGCTGTGCGGAAGTTGGCGTTGATGATCTGATCTTTAGCCATCATAGTTTAATTGAACTCCCGTGTGGAGGTATTTACCGTTCCTGGACTACTCGGGGTACAAATTAATATACTTGGAGCCGGTGAAGCAACGAGGGGTCATACAAGGTTGATGGCTCGACCTTCTGCTCCGCATAATACATCAGCCCAGCCTGGCCACGAATTGCCTGCGTTCAAGTACAGGAAATGATGGTCGACTTCACTGTGCATTCAAGTATGTCTTATCAGGTCGAATACCTAACGCAATCAATGGACGTGGAGTTTATGATATTTTGTTATCTTCGAAGATCTTGTCTTGGTCCACTTTTATCCCTTTTCACCCCCTTTCGGGGCTCCTTATCGAGAAGAAGTTCAACCAGAGCAAGGGGTTTTGGGCTATCATGGCTACTCTTTCAGTTACCGGCATACTCGGCGTCCCTCGAGAATACAGTCGTAATCACTACGTTACCTTTCATTACTCAACACTTGGAGCTAGGCGACAACTACGTCTGGGTGACGAATATGTTTTTCCTGGAAGGGTATATAGGCTTTAAGTCTACTATATGAATGATCCGAACGCGCTCAAGAAGAGCTTGTATGGTCTTTTCCCTTGCCTACGCGGGACGAGATCATTAGTGTCTATAGCGATAGTTTACAGCGAGTACGGTAGATCTCGATCGTCTTCTTAGGGTTATCGTTTCTACTCATATTTCTTGAGAAACAAATCAAGCTACGCACCAGCCTCAAAACCGAGTTTAGCACAGAGAGAAATCAAAAGAGGCATGATATCGAAGTGTGTAAAAAGTGAGCGGGGATAAGAGAGGCGCAACCGATAAACCCAGTAATAATCATAGAAACAAGTTCGTTTAGGAACCTAAGCTTATACGACGCGTAGTGTATCCCAACCAATTGGCGTCGCCATATGTCTAGTTCGGTTCCAAATACGGCAACTATTATCTTGTTGGTCATCTTCACCCAGTGATGCAATGCGCGCCATCAAAGGCTGCTAATAAGCTGCTCCAGTCAAATCTCTACAATATTCGCTTTATCACTCATTGCTATTTTATATGATTGTACATTTACTGGCTGTACTCAGTAAACTACACGAGGACTCCCCGGGGACCTTCGGCAGTCGGCGTGGATCCGGATACTCCACTTTAATAATCCCGGTGCCGGGGTGCCACGAGGAGCAAAAAGGGCCATCTTACTAAGTATATGTCGATGAATATCCACTAGGTAGGACGTGTGTGTGTTTAACGCCGTGGCCGACCTCCCTAGGGGTATACGGCGTGTAAGGCTACCGTGTTATTATACGAATTGGACCTTAAGAGGCGCACATAATAATTCGAGCTGTTATAACCTTAATCACCATATGGGGGTCTTACAGGCCCCCGAGTCAAGAAGACCGTATTTCAATAATAATGAAATTTAGATGTAACTTTAGAACTTCATTTAGAAGACGATTCACGCTCAAAGGCTCCTTTTGCCTTATACTACTTTCAGACTTTACGAATTCAAGTATGACGGACGTTATCGTTTCGTCGATCTGCTTATATGCATACCCGAAAAATATCTTTAGCATATATCTCGGGTTTGGTTGTAATATTATGCTTATAACAAATATTTAAATATGTAGAACACTCCAATCCTGCGCAGCCTACCGGTGAGTTGGCATACAACCCTCTCGCATTCGCATAGAGGCTATGCTTCTGCTAAGCCCCTAAATCATAATGTACCTATATTATAGGTTGGAAGTGAATGATCTCGCATGATGAGTTCGGCTTTCTAGATATATTAGTTCTGGCTTTCGCATACTCGCATCCAGAAGGCGAAAGCCAGCGCTAATATATTCTAGGCGGCGCCTATGTTTCCCCATCTTTTTCCAAACATTTTCTCGTCAAGCTTCAGTGGCTATAGCGGATGGCGATGTGCTACCAACTTGTCGAGAGATATTCTGCTTGCCATTGCATATATTACCTACATGCCATAGATAAATGTCTCGCCTATGGTCAGCCAGGACATCACATAACGAAACGGACCATTCTAGTGGGATATGCATGTCATGAACACGACAAATTATCTAGTAACCCGAAAGCCGACTCAAATTTTCGAACCAACGAAGCATCAAACTCAGTTTCCCGTCATCATACGAGAACAGATACTTTACCCGACACCGCTCAAGCGCTATTTGAGTTAGAAAATAAAGATAAAGCTGAAGGTAAAGGAAAAGGGAAACAACTATCAGAAAATAACCCTGGTCCCAAACTGGTCCCTAACCCTAATTACATACCAGCACCTCGTGCACTCTATGCGGGTTCATGTTCGTCAGACTCAAAAACGCATCCTAGCCTTACGGAACATGATAAACCAGTTGATAACTCTGGCAACAAGGAAGATTCCGACGATGATCTTTCTTCTATAGAGGCATTCCTCTTTGATGATGATAATGACAAAGCCAGCTTAACCTCTCTTAGCTCACTTGGATCTTCGACAGCTCTTGAACATCTCACAGACGGATTTCTATACGATAGATACCTTCAGGACCTATGGCCTCAGGTAGTCCTCCGGTCGCCGTCCGCGGCGAAAACGAAGGAGGAAGTATCGTTGTTGATCCTGCGATATAGCCTAGACCTACAGAGATTGGCTCGAAAACAAGAAACTCCAGAAGACTCTACAAACTTGCAAATAAAAGCGAGTCAATTTGTGAAGCGTAAGCGGCATTACTTGTCCCGAGAAATTTACAAGCAATTTTGGTTGCCTCTGTCAGCAGTTGGTCAGCCTGTAGGTGAAAATGATGCGCCAGGGAACGATCCTGGCGTTGAGTCCGACTCGGACAACGATCAAGAACCAGACGTTGATCGATTCATCAGCTTAAAGTCGTTCTTGTTTGACACCGAACCATTTCTCATTTTCAAGGAAAATGTACGAATCTTCGTTGAGCGGTCTTCTCCGAGTCTGCAAACTTCCTGGCTTGATTCTATGCGGATTAGGTTTGATAACATGATAACACTCATCAACGGCAAAGCTCCCCGGCCGGGGATGAGACGGCTTCAATGGACTTGCGTAAGAGGTTTCTATCCTAAGTTTTAAGAGGTCCTAACGGAAATAGAGCTGCGGCCTTCGAATATACGACGACTATACCGAGACTCAATCGGGCGCTCTCGATAATCTTGAAAAGATTTTATCCAGCTATGGCGCACGGTCAAGGAGTTCAGGTGATATCGAGTCGAACAATCCACCACCAAATAGCAAGTCAAATAAGGGCGGGTTATCAGAAATATGGCGTTCTTTTACTCTCGACGCTAAACTGCCACGCTTCTGGTTGAGAAAAGACTATTGGGAACCTGGGAAATGTCGTCGGACGCCCGGAATAAGCCTTGAACTGGAGCACAATTATCTTCTTGCTTGCGTTCCATTCGGACGATGGGTTTCGAAGCTACATCAACAGGAGATTTGTACTATCCTTTCAGACCAAGACTTCTTTTCGCTGCTTCGGATGTTATACCATGCCAACCGTCGTAGACTCTCGCTATCATGGATGAGGAGAGTAAAGAGCATCGACTTCGTTCAAGTATGAGATTCGAGGATCATGCTGGTTAAGACACTAATGCCTTTGTTTTTTTTAGTTCGATGTGCACCGGTCGGGGGTTGCGGCGATACGTTCTAAACCGGCCTTACCACCTAAGGAATTGAAGGACCAGTACCAGTATGATCCAATGCCGGCGGATCTGGTTCCTCCGATTGCGTCAAATATGCTGGTTCACTTCTTGGAGAATCCAACACACGCGAGCGTACTTCCGGATTTATATAAAAGGATACCGAAAAAACTGCGACAAAAGCTAGCACCGTGTCAAGTGACGGGAATGTCGATTGGATGGGGAATCGAGTTTGTTGAGGGTATAGATTCTTTCATGTTTTTTATATTCGGAAGTGCCTTATTTCTTATCTGCTTTATAGTCGCCGTTGGGTGGTCTGTTATTAAACAAGACGTCCAAGGTGGCTTTGGAATAGGGGGTTTCATCTTGGCTTTCATGTTATTTTGTGGCGCCATCGTCCACTCCGCACTCGATTCTCAAATCCTGAAGTAGAGCATGGTTCGCTTCAGCTAGGATTTACTCTATCCTATAAGAATAGCTTATATTATGTTATAATGTGGCATAGTTTGATAGCATGCCTATAACTACCTTGTGTGCCAAAAGCTGAGAAGCTACCATTGTACAACTTGATAATACGGTCTGATATAAACACCAATAATTAGTATTGATATTCAAGTAGGATGAGTTGATATTAGTTAACTTAAATGTTAAGAATAATTAAATTATGCTGAATAGATTGTATAAGACATGAATCTCAACAAAGCAAAGTCGGTTTAAACTCTGCATCACCAGTATAAAAGCCGTAAAGCCCCACCATACTTGCGTCCCGCCCCGCAATTTGTTGCCCGTTACACCTGTCAATCTGCACAAGTAAACACTATACACACAAGGAAACAACAACTATGCGATTGCACATGCGCAACTAAAGCCAATTACTCCATCTTTTTAGAGCTTAGCTCAGACTTTGCGCATTCCTCTTCCTCTACTCACTCTTCAACTATCAACCTGAAATAACCACCGCGCCCAATGGCGACCACAACAACCTCAACCAACGCGGCCACATACGGGGACTGCGTAGCCGCGCTTCGCACCTCGCTCTCCTTCCTCGAATCCTCCGTCTCTACCCTCGGCACCGGCGTCGCAGACTACCCTCGCCTCGTCACCGTGCTCAAGAGCGTCCGCGTACGTTTCCCCCAAATTCCCGCTCTACTATCTAACCTACCTACCCACCTACATATGTAGCTAACAGCCAACCACCGTTGCAAAACAAACAGCACTACGAACTAATCCCCCAACCCGCCCTCGTCGCCGCCGAGGCCTCTCTCCGCGACGAAATCGGCCCCGCCATAACAACCCTCCTCGACCGCGCCGACGCGCACATCGAGCGCGCGGAGCGGCGCATCGAGGCTTTACGGGCGCGGTCGGAGCTGCAGCAGGGGCGCATGCATTCTACTTCCTCCAACTCCAACCCAACACCTACCTCCTCCACCGCCCGCAACAAAGGCAAAGGAGGCGCCGCAAGACGAAGAACCGAAACCGAGGGCAAGCTCAAGGCGCGGCAGAAGGAGGCCCTGCAGTACAGCGTCGAGCGCCTGGAGCTCGAGGTCTTGCAGAAGGAGCGCGAGCTGCGGAAGAGGCTGGATGCGGCTACTTGAGGGAGGGGGTTTGTGCCCCACGGTGTAATGAAGTAATATGGCGAGATGGATATATATACCTGTACTACGAGGAGGTAGCACTACGGTCCCGTTTAAAAGGGGCGAAGTTGTATCCACGCACGAAAGAGCCGCGAGATACTAAGGGTGGGTATGAATCCTTATAACTACTCCTAAACTTCGGCATACTCTAGATACCTCAGGCTAGGACGGGAAGGTAAATCACGGCGCGCGGCACCTATCCGCTATGACGGTTCTCCGCGACTGTGGGGAGATTGGTTGGCCTTCTGTGTCAGACTGCTTGTACTAGCTATTATGTAGCAGTAAAGACGTTGACGACTTATAAAGAGCTACAGTCATATAAGGGAAGCGAAGAGATAGGAAATGCCCAGAAATAGATATTATCTGAGGAAGACGTGGAGGAAGGTATTAGGACTGGTACGCTCGTCAAGGAAGAATATCATAAGTTGCTGGGGAATTATGTAGTTTGACCTAACCTAATAAAAAAACTACGCCTTTTGACCGCTCCTCATCACGGTCTAAGCACTGCCCTCATATTTTCAGTTTCACTAAACTTTACAGCCTTATAGCACATTGTGTATGTTACAATTCATCCAAGACACCTAGTACATATGACAACATTTGTAATACATTTATACTATACTTAGGATCCCATCTAGTTAATCCCAAAATACAGATGGAAGCCCATAGCTTAAAAACATGGGAACAGATTTCTCGGGGTATTTGTACATACACAGCAGCACCTTCAACACGCACACACAAATCTTTAATAGTGTTCTTTCATTGATTGACACCAGAGCTTAACCACCTATCTCCTGGAATCCGTGAACCAATGGCGTGACGTTCGTTAAAAATCCCTTTCGTCCACAAGGCTTTCCCATCCAACTTGCCCCAACTTCGCCGATTCTCAACTAAATATACGTATGTGCTCCGAAGGGGCGCCGAAAACGAGCGTTTCTCCCGCAAGTCATTCGCAGGGCAACGAAGGAGGTTTGTGTTTCTCTGTATGCCGCACCGGAATGACTCGGTCGTCGGCAGAGATGTGGAAAGGGAAGAAAATAAAATAAAAAGACAATAAACAATTAGCCGGCCATCGTGTGAATAATAGTAGAAAAAAGAGCTTTGCAAAAGTGGGAAAAGCTACATCCGGTAATGTCGGTAAACCCCGATTTTACTCCAACCAACGCATGTCCGTGGCCCAGCGTTTCGTTCGCAGCCTCCAAAACCCATTCAAATACAAGCGCTCTCCCCTCGTCGTATGGGAGGGAGATTCAGGATATATCATTCAAACGACTGCGTCCCAATTCAAATAAATCCAAGCAAACATCCGTCAGCTTATTAGTATTCTCATAATAATATGAGATAGTTGCTGGGTGCTATGCCTGTCTCGCCGCTTTCCTTCTTGGCTTGCCACCACCGACCGCTTACGTCGCTCACTTCAAGTATTTCGTGTTTCGAGAAGGAAATTTCATTAGCATCGTCGGGGTTAGCTTCGTAGCTGTAGATAGCCTTCGCACGGTATGGGTACTCGGTCGGGGCTGCAATTTCTGGCTCGTTCTGCGCGGGCGATGGTGTCTTGTTAATGCCGCCGGGGAAGCCAGAAGCACCACCCGAATTACGTGTGGCATTGCCGTTGAATCCTCCGACGGGAGATGGGTTTTCAAACCCATTAAGTTGGGCAGAAGTATACATCTGCGGGGGTTGGACAGATGTAGATGTTTCGGGGCGACCACCATATCCTCCATTCATTGTTTGTCGGCCCATTGGCGACTCCTTGGCCAGAGCAAAGGAGTCGATGTAGGCGCGTGGTACGGCGGAGGGCGCAGAGCCGAAATAAGCAAGCCATACGATCTAGAATATGAGTTAGTATATTGCTTGCGTGAATATTTGCATCCACATCCTGAAGGGCTATGCAGTGGAGATGATTAGGATTGGATACTTACATTGACCATGGAGAGTAGAATGAAACCCGCGGCAGCAGCCTCCCTAGCCCCCTCAGAAGAATAAACCAAAGAAGTAACAGAGGAAGTTGTAGCGATAAGACCGACAGATATATAGCCGACGATCGCGACATGATACGTCTGAATGGAATCGGATGCTATTACAACGAATATGCCGCCTATTAAAGGTAACATGAAAACGATTGCAAACCATGTATACGCCGGGAAAGGATTCCTGACGGTTGCGTGTATTTGGCCTATAATGGAACTGATGAAGGAGATGACCCATGCGAGCTAATAAACAGATGTGTAATTAGTAAAGAGGCGCTTGGATCAATCAATACGATGATAATCGAAGTGACAGGTTCAGTACTTACCAAGGCGATAGAGATCGTTGCCAGAGCAAAAGGATCACCGATAACATTGGACATATTCATGCCCCTACGGCGATAACTTGCCCTAGAATTTTCCATTTTGCGCAGCGAAGGAGAATGCAAAGAGCCGTACGGGGGCATAAGGAAAGAGAAAAAAGCTTATGAGCTTCAATCGAGCAATCAATATTCAAAACCTGGTAAATCGTAATTGGCTATTCGAGCGTGCGGCGCAAAGGAGATACGCAAGTGTTATCAAGTCGTGGACTCTGTCGATCTCCCGTAGGTAGAACGTGGCTGTGTTCAGAAAGGTTGCGGAGACTAAAAATACCAATTAATTGGTTGGTGCTTTGAGCGATTCGTTGAATGGTTGATTTTGAGGACCCAAGCTTGGCGGGATGTCGGCTGAGTTAAATTATCTACAAAGGAGTGACTAGAGTGGGAGATTCGAATAGGTTGAGTTGTCGTTAAAGAGGGCGAACAAATGGAAAATGCCGTTGAATAAAACGTGGGAAGGTTTTTCTTTTCTTATCTTTTTTTTTCGGATGGTCGCTAAAATAACGTGCTTGGTAGATGTCGTCGCGCACTATAATAGATTGTCTTGACGTTTATGCGACCGCGTACCCTTGCGAACTTAGCTCGGAGTGTCTTCCACGTCGAAAAGAAATTAAGAATCGAAGTCAATTCTGTTATATGCGATCCAGAGTCCAGTCGTTAAAAGCATTAAAGGTCGGATAGAGGGTGGAGAAAGCCTATAGTTGAAGCGCTGAGAGAGTTTATTGCTGTCGAGGGGTCCTTGACTTTGAAGACCGAATACCGAATTGGCTGACCCGAGTTGGAAACGTCTTTGCAGTGATAAGGCGACAAATGAGGCGGGTATTATTATATCGGTTACGGTCCCGAGTCGAGAATGTGGACGGGGGCGAGAAACTTAGAGTTGGTTGGCCTTATTCTTATCTTCTAGTTCTTTCATGCGCCGTGGCTGTCCTTCTCTTTTTTCTTCCCGACTAGTAGCAAACAACACACACACGCTGCAGCAACCCCTTTCTCCTTCGCAGTTCCTGACAGCGCTATAACCCTTCACTGGAAACCACCGGCCACAATATGTACGTCGTGAGAAGCGAAGTTGGATCGTCCCACTGTTGCAAAGCCTGGCTGAGAATCGAAGAAAATGATTGACAGAATAGGCTCGTCTTCGCGATGACGGGGTTGGAGGGAAATGGGGGGGAAAGAAGGGACGGGCAAAAGAAGCGTAGAAAGGAATAGGAAAGGATGGGGTGGTAATGGTAAATGGTTCAAGGAAATTCAACCAGTCAATCAAATCGACTGGAGAAGGGGACGTAAAGTTGGATGGGTGGAACGTGCCTCTTCCCGGGGGTATTAAGCAGACTGACAGAATCGCAATCTAAGTTCCTGACGAACTGCTGTGATCAATGTAATGCATGGTATAAGAGGGGGCAGAAAGTACAAGGAAATATCCACTTAGTTATACTAATAGTACTGATGGCAGATATAGTATCCACATACAATCCTTTTGTATTAGATCTAATTAGGATTTGTACTATGGCTAACAGTATATACAGGAGGCCTTCTGTTGAATTAGTGTAATTGAACGGGGGACGATGGGGCTTACGCAAATTCCCCTGGTTAGGTACCTAGCCGATACCTATTGAAGTTAGCAGGTCTCCTAGGTGGACCTAGCATCTATTCATTTCACCCTAGTCCTCCAGATTGATTTGACCAGGGAGTTCAATGAGCTAGACTGAGCTAGACTTAGGTATCTGGGTATGTACATAGATGCGTTATCATTGGCTTTGAACATGCAGACATGTTAGACGCAAAGTCGCAAACACAACGTATCTTCCATTGTGCCATTTACATTTGGCCCCCGTCCAACTTTTCTTACACGCTATTACCTACATAGCGTTTAAGCAGTTTTGACGTCGGAAAGGCTTAACTTCCTGTGACAACATATCCGAATACTTACTAGGTAGTAAAGAGATTTACAAATACACACGGACGACGTAAGATATGATCCGCTCTTTTTTGTAAACCAGGGCGCTAAAGCAGGAACACGACGAATCGACATCCCGAGTCTACTAGGTGGCGGCAATGTGGTGGAATGCAGTGGTTGAATTGGCCATGGTTGGGCGATTTGTGAGTTGGGGAAGACGGAGTCGCATGCTGGCCGACTGGTGTTTGAGATTTAGCTAGGATCTAAGGGCGTCTGCCAAGGAAGAAGGGGATGCAAGGTCTCGGGACCTCTTGATGACTTGCTACTTCGGTGAAAATCTGACATGTTAAAATATAGAAGAACCAACCTAACTTCTCCTGCCTTAATCCTTCGAATGATGTATTCACCGCTCATACATATCTGTATGCTTTCTTGAACTTAACGACTGCAAATCTGATAGATCTAGGTAATGTTTAGAGTGGGATAGTAACAGCCGCACATACGTATTGGATCAGGGAATGGAACCAGCTGGTTCCCGATGGCGTCCGTGATTCCCCGCCGGGTTGTCAGCGTAGAGTAAGTTGAGAGTAGTTAGTGATGGCTTCCGATAGGGTGGTGACCTACCTCTGGGAGCAAGATCGGTAGAAGTTTCACAACGCTCTTCAGACTCCCGTAGTTACAGGGCTCCCCATAGTGGTGGGTTGCAATGATGTAAGTATGGTTAAGGCTTGACCAGTCGTAACAACTTTGTAGTCACGTTAGTTGATTACTAGTGCATGTATTCACATTCTACTATGGTTTGAATGATATCGGAATTTGCATCAGCGACGTGCTCTGCGTTGCAACACGTTTCAAAGTGGATATGTTATGGATCTAGTTAGTTACTACACATACTTCGAAGAAACACCATAAAGAGAATGACGCCAACCGTAGTTTTAAACCTCCATCTTGAGATCATACCCTCTTACGTATGGTCTGATCAAGATCAATGAAGACTAATCATGAGCCACCTTTGCATCAGTTATGAATCAAGAATCCGAACCGATTTCCGGTAATAAGAAGTTAGTGGCATCACATACACGTGTACATACGCCATGCATCATCCTTTAACTCCTGCTCTACATAGTAGGTGATCGTTGCAGACGGCACAGACCTTCCTTTTAGTAGGCCAAGAGGCTCTGCATCTGCAGCTTAGATCAGTTCTGAGTTTGGATGTGTTTCTTCCAAGCGGATCAAAAGTCTCCTGGATCTGGGCCTTTTGATCTTCATTGCGACCTTTTATGCATACCATACCTTGAGCAAAAGTGATAGGAGGCTCAGGACAATTTGATATGCTTATCACATTTTCGAGACCACTTTCAAATAGTTCACAGACCCAGAGGCCGACCCTCTTACCTATACAACAGTACATTAATATCCAAACAACGCAATGCAGATCTCGTCATGACCAACGCATCGTCCCGGAACTCAATTATAAGTGCGGTCCCGAAGGACTGCATTAGCTTTAAGACCGCTCGTGTCAAACCGCCGATCCCGTCTGAGCCGGCGCGTTTGAGTTTTGGCTCGAGCTAGAGCAGCCACCGCACTCGCCACATATGGCTTACAATGAGTTACCTAACAGCTTTTAAGCTTGTTCCTGCGACATGCAGGTGGGATTTAGTACATAAGGTACCTATTCATAGAATGGAACGTTAGGAAATGACTTCTAGTACTCAGCCACCACCGAAAAAAAATTGGATTGGACCAAATCAGCAGTCTTAATTAGAACACCGAGGTCTCTCTTGATTAGCTTCGCTTACTAGTATATTGTAAATGTTCTGTTACTTTAATAAGGTCTTGGTATATTGTTTATAACTTGTTAAGTATCTAATCTGAGGGTTTACTTAATAACATACTAAGGGTATTTTAAGGTGTTACTTCAATTTACATCATTGTGAATAATATTAGATATGAATACTAAATCCAGTCTAACGTGACTTATACTCCTATACTCCTGGGGCTATGCTATGCTTGTCCATTGCCCTCCTGTTAATCTTCAATACTAAGATTGAATAGAGCCATAATGAACATTGTTACTAGCATTTCCATGCCATAGAAACTAAACAATGGAATACATCACTACAAATCGGAAGAGGTATTTGTAGCGGGCAAACCTTATTGTTCGTTTCCGTCTATTCGAAGAGTCTCCAAATCCCTTCCCAATATTAGCCCTCAGTGGCGGCAGGGCCCTTCAATTTCGTCGTCGCCGCTGCGAGACTTTGCGCCTATTCATAGTACGAATCGACCTTGACTTCGTAGGATCGCGTACAAAGCAAGTCGGGCCCATAGTCTCAAAGACGCAGCTACATGAAGAGTATGAGCAGGCCAACAATAACTTGGAATAGTATTCGACCCCCCATAGGAACGTCATGGGCATAGGTCATATGCCTCAAACCTCATTCCTGGCCCTTTCTACTCTTCTCACGATGCGCTCGGCATTCTCAACACGGCTTTCGACGCCCGCCACGAAGTTCGAGTAGCTCATAACATTATGCTCGTACCACCGGCGCACAACAACCTCGCTGCGGGCTCTCAGCTCCGCAATCTCGGCCGCCTGCGCTATTTGTGTCGCCTCGATTCCCTTCATCTTTGGTAATAAGGCAGCTAGAGTAGCCGTGTGCGCCGGGTCTGGAATCGGCGTGTCGGATATCGCCGTGAGCGCGGAAGCTGTAGCCGGGAATGAGGACGCGGCAGCGAGAACAATAGCGCGTACGGCTTCAGGCGGGAGATCGGAGGGTGGTTGGGATGGCGGTGGTGGCTGGAAGAGACTTGGCTGAGATTTATCTAGGGGTACCTAGTTAGTTGAATCGCTCATAGCGTTTGTGTAAAGAAAGGAAAACAAAACGTACAGAGTTTAAGAAGTTCGGCATAAACGCGCATTCGTTGAAGAAGAGTCGCAAACCGGTGCTCTAGTTCTTGCATGCTCCTTATAGCTGATGCTTTGGGTTGCTGAACCGTATGGCCATATAGTAAATGCTCGATACGCAAGAGTCGCGTCTCGAGGAGAGATATCGTAGAGAGAGTCGTATTGTCTAGAGTCGATTCCATGGCGTCCATAATGAGCGTTTGTTAACTGATTGAAAACTAGCGAGTCGGTGACGAACGTCATAAGTGACGCAAATCCTAAAAGAACCTCTATCGCGGTAAAGGATAGAAGGGATTTAATGGTAATTGGTAATTGTAGAACAATAGCTAAACAGGTATGTAGATAGGTAGCTCTCTTTGAGGTATTCTATCAAAGATTGATAAGGATAAGGCTGAGCCAATCTAGGCTAAGTTCCCCGGTCTTTTGGGAAGCTTCGGGATCCCGGTTCGGAAAGCTAGCCGTTAATAGCCTAACCAGGAATACGTGATTTAATTGATTGGCCAGAAATAGACGTCAGCAGACGCAATCCACAGATGGGGAGATTGCAGGTGGTCTTGACGACAACTGGCAGTCACAGTTGAATCTACCTGATTCTAGTGTTTGACGTGTAATTATGTATCACTTTCCACCCTCACATCATCATACGAATATAGCCAAGTAAAGCAACGTCAATAAGCATATATCCTATTCATCAACCTCTAAGCGCGTGGAAACAATCGAGGATACTGGGGCTCTAAAACAAGTCGCGTGTGTACGAAAGCGGTCAGCGAGGAAGAAACCAGTCTTGTCTTACTCGAGCAGCGAGGGAAGATTGAGACACACAGATCTTCAGCGCAGCTAATTGCTGCTGAGGAGGATAGCGATAGGAATTATAGAGTCCTTCTTGGACTATGCCGAATTATTCGACCATTTCTGGAGAGAGCTCCGCCTCCGCTAGCGATATGACAAGGTGCGTAGCCTTGCCAGCCAGCCGCTGTGATTCCTGTATCATTAATACTAGCGGTTAACACTAATATCATTCTACAGACAAAAACGGGCTCGCGGCCGTCCAAAAGACACTGGAGGAGGACAGGCCACTATGATTAGCAGTGTTATTAACCTTCTTAATACTAGTAAGTCATATCCTGCTATCATGTAGTCAGTTCATGTCTAACGTAAGTGGCGTTATAGTTATCGGCGCCGGCACACTAGCGATGCCCTCGGCCCTGTCGCACTTCGGAATGATACCTGGAGTCATCGTGATCCTATGGTCAGGATTTACATCCGCCTTCGGCCTATACCTTCAATCCCGATGTGCACGATATCTCGACCGTGGTACCTCGTCGTTCTTCGCCCTATCCCAAATGACATATCCCAACGCCGCTGTTATTTTCGATGCTGCGATTGCCATAAAGTGTTTTGGGGTTAGTGTATCATATATCATAATTATCGGCGACTTAATGCCAGGCGTGGTGGTAGGCTTTGACAGCAGAGCGGCCGGAATCCCATATTTGATGGATCGTAACTTTTGGATCACCGTCTTTATGCTCGTTATAATTCCTCTAAGCTTCTTGAGGCGCCTAGATTCTCTGAAGTACACCAGCATTATTGCCCTGGTGTCGATAGGGTATTTAATCGTGCTAGTTGTCTATCACTTCGCTTCGGATGTTCTTGCACCCAGAGATAAAATCCGGTTTGTCTCGTGGGGAGGGCCCGTGGAAGCTCTCGCCAGCTTACCAGTGGTTGTTTATGCATACACCTGTCACCAAAATATGTTTTCCATCCTCAACGAGATCTCAAATAATTCCCCCGGCAGGTATGCTTCCCTAGCACTAAAAACTCGTGAAACCACACTAATAAAGACCATATAGCATAATGGGTATTATCTTTTCCAGCATTGGTTCTGCAGCTGGTGTCTATATACTAGTCGCTATTACTGGTTACTTGACCTTTGGCAACGATGTTACGGGCAATATTGTCTCCATGTGTATGTCATCCAATACTGCCTTCTCTCTAATTCGCAATCAAGCTAACGAACTTAATCTAGATCCCGCATCGGTTGCCTCTACTATCGCCAAGGCGGCTATTGTCGTTCTTGTAACATTTTCTATCCCGTTACAAATACATCCGTGCCGAGCATCTGTAGATGCCGTTCTTAAATGGCGACCCAAAGATGTGTCTCGCCCTCAAGGGCGGACAAATTCTCCCGGCGGCAGACCGCTTCTCCCAAACGCTGCTCAATCACGATCAGATCATGGACCGACCGCGCCTATGTCAGACGTGCGCTTTGCCGTTTTGAGCACCATTATTATAGTGTTAGCTTATATCGTTTCCCTAACCGTAGTCTCCTTGGAGCGAATGTTAGCGTATGTCGGTTCCACGGGGAGCACGAGCATTAGCTTCATCCTTCCAGGTCTATTTTACTACAAAATCTCGGACCCGAATTCGATCCACCAGCAACGCCTAACTAAGGATGACGATGTGCTGTCTCCCCCTAGCTCCGATTCCGAAGAGGGAGACGGGGACGAAGGGCTTCTAGGGGCAAGCGTAGACAGCATCCACAGCGTAGCAAGCGGCTCGAGTGCTAAGGGTAAGAATACGAAGTCGCCGTGGCGCTGGCGGAGGAAGTGGAGGTGGGATATGGAGCATATCAACCCCGAGTTCTTAAGAGTAGCGGCGCTTGCTTTGTCTATCTACGGCGGATGCGTTATGGTTATATGTCTGGGGATGAACTTGGTCGGTACCGTCGCAGCGCATTAACTTGGGAGATTCATCCCGTCCAGGACTTTTATGGATCTTGGGATCGATCCAAGACCCTCAGCTAGTATCGCGCATGTTTGAGGGTTCAGCGGTTCTTACTTTATTGTTGCATCTGTAGGAGTTTGGGGTATAGCTGCTTCATTGTACATATATATTTTATTGGAAACTTGCTTGCGGCTGCACATCTTTAAGTACATACCGTTATAAATCCTAACAATCGTAGGTAAGCCACGGAATAGCTTGCTACTCTTAATTCATAGAGAATGTGGTTGTTCCTCTCCTTTGATAGTTATTAAGTACCTAGCTAGGTTCTAACTACGGTACCCAAGTGTTGTAGCTTTTGCTGCTGCTAAGAATAGAAGGTCGACGCGCCATTACGTGCATGAGGCCCCTATTTAATACTTCAGGGTAGACATTCACAGGCAGCACGAACAATGCGATCTCCACTTATAAGGCGTGGCGGGGCCCGGCAGGATATGTATTGCCCCACCAAAAAAAGTAAAAAGTTGAACTGATTATCAAGCAGGCGTCGACTTCCTTCTGCATATTACACATTTACCAGGTACCTACAATCTACAAGCCGGTTTATAAGCTTTAACTTCTTGTCCGCTATCAATATTCTCCCCCCTCCGTAAATTTCGGCAATCTACTACTTCAAATTACTGGAATACCCAAGCGCGAAACCTACCTATCTACCCCTCATCATCATGTCTGCCCCTCATAAAGACGATGGAGACGATGCGCCCGAGATGCTCGACGCAGAAGATGCGCTCGAGGAGATCCAAGATGTTGAAGGCGATATAGCTATGGACTCGGACGACGACGAGCCAGAAGAGATCACTTTACAAAACGACAGTATAGCCTACTTCGACGCTCACAAGGACTCAGTCTTCGCCATCGCTCAACACCCCACCCAACCCTCGCTCATCGCAACCGGTGGTAGTGAAGGCGAAGGGGATGATGCGCCGGGAAAAGGCTACGTTTTCGATACAAGTCCAGTTGTTGGCCGTCCTGTCCTTCCGCCTAGCTACAACGCCGATCCATCATCCCAACAACAAAAAAGCACCGAGTTAAAACCGCTCTTCACAATCGAGGGTCACAGCGACTCGATTAATACGCTTGCATTCACGCTACCTAACGGGCAATTCTTGGTTTCGGGAGGTTTAGATGGTAGATTACGCACATACGAGCTCTCCGTAGACGCGCGCAATAAACCGTCTTTTGCATTCCTCGCCGAGTCCCAGGAGGTGCCCGAGGTGAATTGGTTGGCGCCGTGCCCGTCGCCGAAGTACCCTAACACCATTGCGCTAGGTGCTTCGGATGGCTCCGTCTGGGTGTACACAATCGATCCCTCCGATTCTGCGAACCCTATGCAGATTGTCCAGAGCTACTTCTTACACACCGCATCGTGCACGGCCGGCTCCTGGTCGCCCGACGGCACATTCCTAGCTACAGTATCGGAGGACAGCTCATTGTGTGTTTGGGACGTGTGGGGCGAGGCGGCTGCCAAGAATCTGGTCAACGATAACGGCCAGACGGTGGTATCACTCACGGGCCAAGACCAACGCTTTGGCGTCGAGGGTGGTCTGTATGCAGTTGCTGTAGACCCCAAATCCACATTCGTCGCGGTCGGTGGCGCGGGCGGCTCGATCAAGATAGTAGGACTGCCACGAGTAGGCGCAGACAGCCAGCCCGCGTCGAGCAAGCAGAGTAAAACCAAAGCTAAAGGCGGGGAGGCGGGGAGCGCGCAAGGTGGTACAATTTTAGCTGATCTGCAAACGCAGTCAGATGGAATTGAGACGCTCAGCTTCTCTTCGAAGCAACCACTACTAGCAGCGGGTAGTGTGGACGGTAGCATAGCGGTATACGACACATCGCGACGGTTCGCACTGCGGCGGCATATAAAAGAGGCGCACGAGGAGTTCAGCGTGGTGAAGGTTGAGTTTGTAGCGGGACTCGGCGACGGATGGTTGCTGACGAGCTGCGGTATGGACGGCGTAGTTCGCCGGTGGGACGTCCGAGGCGCGGCTAGCTCGGCAGTAACAAGTCTAGTCAAAGAGTGGAGGGGTCACAGGGGAGACGGCGAGGGTGGAGGAGTACTCGGGTTCGTGCAGGGTACGACCGGAGAGAGGATTGTTACGGCGGGCGATGACGGTGTCGTGTTGGTATTTGAAGCTTAGGGATTTAGAGGTACTTCATGATAATGCTAGAATTCATACCCGGCCGTAGCATAATAAATAAGGCTTTGGCTAAGATTTATATCCGCTTCTTTGTGAATAATTATCTTGTATCGCTTATTATGGAATAGCTACCTAGGTAGTTGATCACTTACGAGTATAGTACTATGATATCTTTGTATAATGTCCCTATTCAAATAATATAATACATAGATGGGTGATTAATATCGCATACATGAAAAACAGGTCGCCGGTACTGCTCATGTTTTTGAATTTGCTTCTCTAACTTATTTCGGGGCAACCCATGTAACAACGGTGACGCGTAAGTGTAATTAACTCATATGAACATAGGTATCTTTCATCTGGCTCTTGTACTATAGCCGCGTTATTTGCGAAATTGAGCTATGGTCACAATAAGCAATGGCTTACGTACCTGTCTGTATATGGTATAATTAGACCATTTAAGAATCAAGCTTGGAACAAGCTAAACTCGATTTCGGATCGAAGCGGATTGGGTTGATGTTATTGCGAATCGATGTCTGTTAACTTCGTACCTTATAATTCACCCTACCTCAGGTAGTCACCTTGGGTACCCAAAAATGACAATTAGTTCCTCAATCCATTAGGGATCTCCGGAGTTTTAGACTTCATAGCTAAGCTTTCCAATTAACTAGTTAATATTTACACGTGCCTTAGGTATCCAATGTGATAGAAAAAGTGGCCTGAATATACGAGGATATATCGTGAACCCATTCGTGTAGATCCACCAGAAAATATCATCACGGCCGAAAACTGCTGGGCATAAATCTAATAGGTATACCGTGATCCCAATCCAAGACTCCGAACGCCTTCTCCCGTTTAAATAAACATAAAAAGTTCCGTCATAATAATATTTACTTCTCGTCCATTATCACAAACCACATACCACTTAACAACCCACCAAGAGCAAGGGTCGTCAGTATTCCCGCTCCGGCCCTATCCGCGGCCGTAATGGCCCTCGGCTGCGCGATCTTGTCGGAATCGGAGCTGCCGGCATTCACATTGCCCTGGGACGAGCCTCCGGTCGCCGACGTGTAAGGCGCTTGCGCGAGGGGGGCCAGAGGCGCCATGACCGCCTGCAGCGCATTCATCTGCTCGCCGACCCCGGTGATACCGTCGAAGGTGTCTTCTTGCAGCCAGCTGAACCCGCACGCCGTCCCCGCCGGTCCCTTGTAATCCGTCGATGTTCCGGAGCATTGCTTGGCGGCGGCTTGGGCCGACGAGTTGAGCAGGGGCGTGATCGTGTCCGACGTGAAAGGGGCGATGATCGTGGTTAGAGCCATCCAGCGGCTTAGGTGTCCTTTGAAAGCCTGCTGGTCCGTATTGCACTTCGCGGACGTCTTCTCGCAGCTGGGCTCCCACATAATTCCGTCCTCGAAAAATATACTCGCCACGGACTTGACTTGTCCCTCTAGGCGTGTCTTCCACGGCTCGGTGCCGTTGGTGTGGTTATACATGGCAGCGGTACCGTCTAACGTATAGAAACATCGTGTCAGCTTTGCAATACTACAATTCTAGAATATTCACTGTTGTTTTTTTTGGTTGGTCGAAATGATAATAGGGTCGTCACACTTACTGCTGAGCGTTAGCTACTGTATACTCCACGAAAGTGGTGTTGAAAGCATTCCTAGAAAGAAAGGGGGTTCGAAGATAACCAAGCGAGATATTTTCATAGGTACATACCATAGATATAATCCCGCGTTGTAAGTAAATTGGGCCGCGTTGATCTCCGTGCAGTTGTCGTCGCCTGCGTTCCCGGCGCCGTCTAGCACGTTGTAGTTATCGTTGATGAAACCCACCGATTGCTCCCATTCGAAAATCTTACTCGCCCACGAGGCGTAAGTCTCGTTGCCGGTGTATTTAGCCAGGCGCGCAGCGATGTTGAAGAAGCACCCGTTGGAAACGGAGTTCTTGTAGTTGTAGCCGTTGTTGAACGTGTATATTTGCCACCGCATTCCGCCACCGCACGTGGTGGTCTCCCACCGACTGACGTATTCGTTGTATACGGCCTGGACTAATGCTAGCCACTGCGGCTGGTCCGGATCTGGGTTTGTGAAGTTCATCTCGGCGGCCGTCATTGCTGCCATGGCCCAAAACCCTTGATCGTCGTTGCCCTCGGATTTCGTCTGGTTCGAAGGCATGAAGTCTGCGTCATCTCCTACCTGATGCTGGAGAGCCTGGAATGTGATGTCGTTATACGTCTCGTCGCCCGTGAAAGCTGCATAGTCTATCAGCGCTCCAAACATAGCGCCCGCCTCCCACCCTGTTAACTCTGTTAGTTAAGAGCCGAATAACTCGGTGACATGAACTACGCGCACAATAGTAGGGATCAGGTAAGTTTCCAGGGACATCGCCCGTATTATTTCCTATGAAAGGCCAATTAGTACAATCGTTTTTGTGCGATCCGGTGATCCGGCTCACCTGTATAATATTTGACGAGGCCATAAGCAATCGTACTAGCGGCCGACTTGATAGAAGCTTTTCAGTGTTAGTTGTGGACATGGTACAGTTTACACCAGAGCGTCTTACAATCACTTGTCCAGTCTACATCGATAGCGACCACTAAATTGAGAAGCAACCCTAGAGCGCCAACTAGAATCGACAAGGAATACATGACGGCCTCGCTTTGGAAGAAATAGAATCCAAAGTGTATGAGTTGTGACCAGTTGGTTTTTGGAGTAGACACGAGGGAGCGATTAAGTAAACGGACCTTTCTGAAGGGCCGATGTATCAGAAACTTAAGTGATCGGCCAGTCACATCCACCATATACTAATATACTATGCACAGCTCTTCGTTGACTTGTGGACCTAGCAGATCCCGATATTCATATCTACGCAGTTACAGCTACGTTACGAGAGAACCCACACCTTCGTGTTTGTCGACGCGGCTTCTGTGGGCCTAAGACCGGTCTAATAAGTATTAGATATAAATTCAGTGGACCACCCAACTACCTCATAAGAAATAGCACTCATTACAAGAGTCCCTCCGCTTCTTCTAGCCCGAGAAACAATTTCATGTTCATTGCTGCGCCATTTCTAATGGCCTAGGGAATGTCAGACGTTGTATACGTACCCCCCGGTGGTCACGCTGAGCAGCGATATCGAATAGAAGTGGTCGGTTCCATACTACGAGTTTCGAAGCGAATCGCAGTCTGGCGTGGGGGCCCCCGCTGTGACGCCATCTGGTACGCGTCAACTATCATGAGGTGCCTCGAAGTGTAAGCAAGCTTTCTGCGTCTAATCTTAGACGGTTAATTACCGGAGGCTAGGCTTGGTTGGACGGATCGTCAGGGGAATCGGAGAACAAGCTTTTTCTATCTGCCGTCAGGCGAGACCCATCCCCAGGGTCGTTTTGTGGGTTTTCTGTGGTTTTTCGTATCGGGCCGGAGCCTCTCTCGGTGATACAGCGTCAAAGTATACATAAGAAGGTCAATAGGAACAGAGAAATTAATAAAAAAAAAAGGAGGAAAAAATATTCACAAGATCGGAGGGATTTTCAGTCGCGTATAATCTCACCGTTGCTCATTACCAAACGCGACTTTCCACGCCTCAGAAAACCTGAGGCTCTTTGATATGCTTGTTTCATTAAGGCGACGTGGGCGATCCGCTAACATTACGACCAGCAAAATGCGCACAATTGGAAATCCATATTTGTTCACAACCCTTGTAGCCCCTCTTTTCACAGCCTTTCTTATCTCCATAAAACCATCACATACGTAGATATATTCAACTTGTTATCTTTAATTCCGCGCGAGGGATACCTACCCCTAAGCTATGTAACTATTACTTTTGCCATCGTCGTAACCTCACCCTAACAACGTACAATACTTCGATTGAGAAATGGTATCTTAGAGGGCGAATTGTACAGGAGATTCAGGATAAAGTCCGAAATGAAATCGAGAGGCATTTCAAAGTGAAGATGGCGGGGAAGCCCACGATCGTCGGAGGTGTTATGAAATGAAACCAAACACCAAACAGCATTGTTGTTCCGCAAGAAACACTATCCTAACTACCTACGGAAGCCTGCAACTATACGTACTGAAATCGTTCTTTGTTATGGATGCCTCATCTAGAATCCTGACAAGAGGCTATATGAATAGATCTAGGTTGGTACACGTGGTTATGATCTTTACTAGACCGTTTAAAGCCACTGTACTAGTGAGGGTATTTCTTATTAAGCAAACTTATGGTCATGGAGATTCGTGAGAGAGATTCAGAGAATTCTTAGCAACTGCTCCTTGACAAAACTTACAGTATTACATAATGAGCTAAGCTACTATATAAGGCGATCTCTCAACTGTATTAGACCTCGAACTTATTCTGCTCAAATGGTTGATCAAAAGCAGTCTAGCCTTTTCAGCTGATGTACCAGACTCCGATCTTCCCGTGTTCAACGAGTGGACCGTGCTGCTTGATGCGTTTTTACATAAAATTCTATATTACGATATATACTTTTGTTGTCACCAACTCCTCTAAGAGACGAGGATAACGATAAACTACACGAGCTTTTGCCTTGCTTTCTCTCTGGTATATAAGGATTTCATTTATATGAAGCTATATTAATACAAGGGAATGGGCAAAAGGGTCAAAGACTACGTGTCATGAGAGACAGCCTTCAAAGGTGCCTATTAACGTACCACATTATTGAATGTGCAAAATTCTTGTCGCTATTAACCTGGTTTTACTCAACCCCAGAGTCTACATGGTTCAATGGAAGGGGCTCCGTAGTCCCGGTTATAGGTTCGGTAACCCCCAACGCCATCTACGATCGGATCTCGATGCTTAGACCTGCATAGTATATGCTCAGATGGGATGATCCCGCTAATGGGGATGACTCACTCTGATAGCTCGGATGTGTTAGGTTGCATGTTGCTTAAAAGTTGATAGGCCGGGGCATTACAGCTTTACCCCATGTGAACGACGTAATATGGTGGTGTACTAGAGCTTTTCCAAAACCGGGCGACTTTACCCTACCCACCATATCGACTATTTATGGTATGCTTAAAGCTAGTGATACTTGGCGTGAATAATATACGGCTTATAGAGTGATTTGTTATGGATTCCGCACCTGATGGTCACATTGTGGCGTCCAGCTATCCTCTTAATGGGTGCCGATACAAGGATTGATTTGCATCCACTAAAGAATGACTCCAGAAGACCACCTTAACATCCAAAAACCAAGAAAAGTTAAAGCAACCGTATTATAGAACGAGATAATATTAATATATATATCATTTGGAAACTAAATATAAGTAAAAGAGTTTCTATGCCCTCAAGTGTCAGCAAAACACGGCGGGATGAGCCTTTTAGGTCATGTATGCCCAATCGGAATTGATGGTAAACTATTTAAACATATCAAACTATTTGGATTCTAAAAGGTGTTCCATCGTATCTTGCTAGCACTTGAGAACATGTCAAAGCGTATATATCTCAATACCTAAAGCGCTTAAAAATGATATAACTACCTCGTATATACTTTTAACCACCATCTTTCGCATTTTTAAGACACGACAAGATCTTTGGGGTTGTATGCGTGGGGGGCAAAGCAGGAGTTGATCAAAAGTAAAAAGAGTCTATACATGTTTAAATAACGGTTGCTTAACTTACATTCACGCTGATATACGTTGTAATAATGTACTTTGCTTGACGTAACCCGACATATATTTGATTCTTTTTCATGTATAACAGTTTTCATCTTTTATATAACCCCCTAACTTACCTCTGAGTCATCTATATTCAAATGCTTGTAGCAGCTCAGAGTGTTCCTACTACTGTTTGCGGCTATTATATACGACCTATATTACCGTATCACACTATACTTTCTACAACGTAAGTCGCTACCTCTATCGCGTATTTGGACTTTCCCGGCCATATCTATTTTCTCCTTGGAAAATTCTTCCGTGTCAACACTGACGGTATCCGCTTTCCAGAATGCCCCCCAAGAAGACAGATAATAAAGTCCAACATTTGACACCTCGAGATACTGAGGTCATCGACACTATTTTACAAGCTTTCCCTCCTCAATCGAAACCCAAAATAGATTGGACTGCTATCGCACAAAAGCTAGGGTTGAAAAATGAACCGACAGCTAAGGAGACCTTCCGTGTTCTCTGCAGAAAGAGAAATTGGTTCAACGCGATTGACTCCCAGTCTGAAGCTGGGCCTAAATCTTCCTTGAACCCGCAAAAGGACGACGCTACTAAGGACGAGACTCACGAGAGGGCTTCTAATATTAAGAAATACAATACAAGACGTCGCACTAAGAAGGAACCCCAAGCAGAGCTCAAACCCAGTACTACCAAGCTCACTGAGACTGCCGAGAGTCAGGAGGAGACATTTTCAGATGACGAGTCTGACTTCGGCTGCGCCTAAGGTAATGTTTGGGATACATTCATCATGGGCCTCGAGGTTAAATCTATGCCCTGCGGAGAGATTTATGACTGGAAGGGCGATACATACATGAGTAGAGGCATAGCTCGATGATCTCAAATGCTAGGTGGATTTGGGAACCCGTACACTCATTTCAACATTTCAGATCAGTGTCGAGTATTAATACTATAAGTACCTGGTTTAAATAGTTATTTGATATTTAGCTAGGTGACTTCATAGGAGGTATTATTGGGCCTTATCATAGCCGACATCTTTATTAATTATCTCGTATGAATCGTAGTGCGACTTGGTACTAGAAATGGGTAAGACGTAGCTGGCGATACATTTGATTAATTTGAATTCGACAATCCGTGCAAAGCAGTCAGATGATATTGTGCATCGTTAATTGAGTTTAAGAGCTAATATATTATGAGTTTGGTTACTTCCCCTTTCCCCAACTTGACCTGTGACAAAGTTAAAGATAATCAACTATGATAGTATACGTACCTTCTTAACGTAAAGGTGTTGAAAGTATAATAATCTACCCTTCGCACTAAAAGGTCATGAGGTAACCTATAGGTCAGGCAGTGATAGTCAGGTACGGAAGTTGAGGCAATATATGTGGAGAGATGGAGTGAGTTAGTTTCAACTTTATAATTGACCCTGGGTTATTGTGGATTACCTAGGTAGGTCTAGGTAGGTCTAGGTAGTCATGCGGTGACGCAGTTACGTCGATAGCTTCCAATCAAGTATCAAAGTCATAAGGGGAACCCGCGGGTAGAAGTGCTTGGCTAACAATCATACACTGCAATCATACGATGAAAACCTTGAGTGCGCTCACTACGTAATTGGAACGGTCACAGGATGCATTCATAAATCCCTGACCAATAATAAATGTACCATGACGGATGTTACATCTCTTTGGATAACTGAAAGGTCGCATACTCTCCCCGCATCTCAATTCTGAAGTCATCAAAATACTCCCAACCCTATAGAGATCACTACTCATATTTCATAAATCGTCACCTGAAGTCTGATCTCTCTTCCCCTATAATATCTTGCTTTAAATTTTACATTATTCAAACGAGCCTCGTGACATTCAGCCAAGATGTCTGGCGGCGAAAAAATCAGCCAAAGCCCCACGAGTAAGGGGAACGTTAGTAACCAGCCAAACCGTGGCCAACAGAACGCCACTGGACGCAACGACAGCGGGCAGAGAAGCAGCAGCAGTAACATGGTCAGCTTTGACCCAGATGATGACATTATGTTCCAAATCGACGACATAGAGCTGGACGATGGGGACAGCGAAGTCAATAAGTAGACTGGACTCCAAATAGGTACGATGAAGCCCTATAGTTTGGTGTTGGAGGAATCATTTACGCGATATGACTGAAGGAGAAAAATAGAAAATATAGAATTGAGTGTTCCAATGGGAAGTAGTATACATGCGCGTTTGGTAATGGTGTCGGGTGGCGTGTTGTCTGGGAAAATGTAAACCGTTAAGTCAAGGCTAGGAGTTAGGTTGGGCTTGGTTGATCAAAAGGCTGCGGCTAGTTAAGAAGGGTTTTAAAAAGAGAGACACACTAGTATGGGACCAATTTAAAGGAAAACGTGCGGTTTCAACTGCTGTATTTGGTCGTGTTAGAAATTACTAGTTCACATAACTAAAAGTTAGGTTGTGAAGTTATGATTACCCCTATTTTGGGCAATGTCAAGAAACCCAACCAGGTTTACAACCTAAGATTCATATGGTAAAAGGTTAGAGCAGTGAGATACGAATAATATTAGATTAGAATGGGGTTGGGTTTCCTTTTCCGGCTATTCAAAAGATGTTAATATGGCTTTGTATGTTGCGTTGGCTTAGTCGCCGACAATATCCACCCCATAAGGACTTCTCCTACAACACTACCTATCCAAGGTATGCTAAGTAACAAATAGCTGTACCGTTAGTTATATTAGCTTTCTCTGCTTATTGGATACTTTTCACGAATGAAAAGAGTCGAGTTCTTTGCTTCCTGATATAGCCGTTTCGAGAACTGAAGGTTCAAAAGACATCGAAATAATCATATATGAAATGGATAAACAATTTACACGCTGTAGAAGGAGATTTCAAATAGTATTTGCAAATAGAAATGGATTATGTATGCGTATACTACAGCTGGATACTCAACAGACGAGCAGAGATAATTATACATTTCCTTTTCGGAAAAGAAACAAATACCAATGGCACATTAGCACCGCCTAATGGGCTGGTGGAATGACACTGGGACACGTTGCAAGTAGTAGTAAACTATTGGTATAGATTTATGGAAACCGTTCTCGTAAGGTCTATGGTCGACAGTTATTCCAATCAAACCAATACATGGATCCACCATATTCCCAATTCTCCGTATGGCTCAGTACTTATAATCTCAGGCAGTGCTGCTACATAGCCTCAGCAAATCCATTAGGCTGCCGCTGTTCCCGCCTACTTATCTTCATTCTTTTACTCTTATTCCCCTCGGGCTCTGTAGGCATCTATACGAGTATTGTTCCATGCGATATGAAGCGCGCTTAGCACTTCCTACACCATGGATATCGCTAGCAGCGCTATCGGACTCTTGAACTTTGCGATCGAATGCTTTAATAATATTCAGCTGGCACGGGAGTTTGAACAAGAATTCTCGACGTACCAGTTGAAACTTGACGTCCTCCAGGTCCGTCTTTCACGATGGGGAGAGGTTCTTAGAAGCACCAACCCCAGCAATAGCGGATCCCAGGCTGGGGACAGTCGAACTGCCCGGAAAAAAGAGCCCGACGACGATGCGGACCCAGCTACGAAAGCACATCGTATCCTCAGCGAGATCCAAGACACCATCTTGAGCGCTCAACGTCACGCAAGACGGATAGAGACCCGACTTGGGGTGGCCGATAAGAAGCTACTCGACCCCGAGGTATACGTCCCGGCCGACCTCAAGAAGATACGGATAAGGTTCCGCGAGTGTGTCCGTAGGTGGAAAGCAAAGGCGGGGAAAGTTGTCGAAGCGACCAAATGGGCTTTTTACCAGAGGGCTAGCTTTGAAAAGTTCGTCACGGATATGTCCGCACTAGTCAGCGATCTCGAGAACCTGTTCCCCGAAGACGCCAGGCAAAAGCTTTCCGACCTCAGCAAGGAAGAATGCGACGGCATCAGCAAGTCCAACCTAGAGGAGCTCAAAGACATCGTTGAAGAGTGCGACCCGTGGCTAGGAACTGCAGTAGACGAGATGCTCCAGAGTAGACTCAGCGCGGGTACCAACATCACTCAGTCACACAATACCGGTATGGTGACGGGGATACATCGCGGCGATGTCAATGGTGTCAGCAACGGGAATGGTAACAAAACCCGGAACTACTGGGGTAGAACTTGATACTTCTGTGTCTACCGAAGATTTGCAGAGACTTTTGGTCTGCGAATCATTGCGTTAGCTTCAGCAGGATGTATCCGTCCTGCAGAGAATAGGTTGATGGTAATATAATACAAGTTTCCATGGTACTCCAACATCATCGCTTTCTGTCAGATAGTATAAATCATTATTTGCCTGCATATACGATGCAGCCCTACTAAATGCGGAGGATAAGAATCCTACGGGTATCCATCCAACCCTACTTGTGGGGGCCAGTATTCCTATTCCAATATATTCAAACTATCCTCGTAAAGCATATGCATATATTCTCAGGAGTAGATGTCGCAGTTATCTCAGTATTAAATCTTCAACACCAAGGTATAGAAGATACCTGAATGCTGCTTTGAGCCCAATCTTTCGGTGAGTCTGACGCATCTACAATTACTTGGGCAGCAACGGGTCCATTTCCAACCCCAAATGTACGCGTGGCACAGTGAGATACACGATAATCTAACACTGTAAAAATCCTACGGTCGAGGGATTCTTTTTTACACTTACACATTTCGAACCCTGCCTTGCCTCACAGCCTCACCTTGTTATGCTGTCCTAAAAGAAATTTTCCTAGCCTTACTTTCTCAAATACGAACCTAGGTTGTCATGGCATTTTCTTACATGGAGTTGCATGGGCATTGATAGGCTCTTGATAGATCGCTACGACACTACCGCAGGATCTTCAGCTGTACAGGCTACCGGGATAGTGGTTCCTAATTGGTACTGTTCTAGACGCACCTCAGAATATATTTGCTTCGATTTGCCATTTTGATAAAGGTGCAGTTTTTATTGCTTATCAAGTTGCCATGGCAGAACTATTCAGGGGTTACTTACTGGTAACTCCAAGACACTATACGTAGTATCGAGCTTTCGTTCGCTCCTTTGGCCTTGGGCCATCAAGATAGAGAGCCTTGAGCTTGTACGAGACATTAATATACCTCTTAATCCCTTTCTATATTAACTCTTAAGCTATTTTCCAATGTAATAATCTGTCCTACACCAAGTGTTACCTAACACAGTTACAATGTCCAGAATTCATATCGAGCAGCGACATATCAACGGCTTAGCAGATGGCATCCATATTGGCGATAAGAATTTCAACTATATCTGTAAGCATATATATCGCCCAGTTCGTTATGTCTTGAGCGTATTATTTACCCGCGGGTCACAGATTTGAACGGTGCCGGTTCCCAGTTGACCTTGAAGCAATTTTCTAAGCAAACTCATGAAAAGGTGACGACAGATTGGAAGAATACTGGGACATGCGAGTGGCTGCGGAGAAAGCCCGAATTCCAAAAATGGGCTCAATTGGATAACTCGAATTCATTTCTATGGATGCATGGTTTCCGTAGGTTTCTAGGAATGTATATTAACAGTACGGCTTTAAAACTAATAGGGGTATAGAGGGATGTGGAAAAACTACGCTGATGTAGGCATATCAAAGTTTATCACCCACTTATGGACAAGGGGTGACCATCTCTTACGTCTAGGTCTCGTGCAATCGAGGGAATCCGTGAAGAATGGCTTACTGGGGCAAACCCCGAGGCAATCCATCTTCTGTATTTCTACATTGGTTACGGCGACGATGAGCAGAACCAGCAGCTTTACAAGACCATGCTGATGACATTTTGCGAGCAAGTTCTTGACGGAGACGATGCACGATCATCCGATGTGTACGGCACCCGCCCCTGCGATGAGATTCAACATAAGCTCAACCGCCTCCTTGCTACAGCTCAACGTGATGTGTTTATCGTTATTGATGCCCTAGATCAACTCCCCCAAGAAGACCGACGAAAGCTGCTGAGAGGACTAAATGATCTCGTCCAAGAACGCAAGAAAGAGAAAAATGAATTTCGACTTGCTGTAATCATCAGCTCGCGGGATTGCACTGGCTTCGACAAGTTACGTGAACATCACATACTACAGATTCAGATTAAGCCTAGCGACAACGCTGACGACATTCAAAAGTACTTAAAGATGAAACTTGACTCGGATCTTTTTGAGGATCGGCCTGACCTCCGCGAGAGAGCCCTTTATGAGTTAGTCGACAAGGCGGATGGAATGTTAGTATCACCATTCGCTTCTTTATACCTTGGGTAGTGTATAGCTCACGGTATTTCTCAACTATCAAGGTTCCTATGGGCCAAGCTACAAGCAGAGAATATCTGCAGAATAAATTACGAGCAAGATGTCCTATATGTCCTAGAAACCCTCATTCTACCTGGGGATATGCCTAAGATGTACGAAAGGTACGCCACGGGATTCGAGGCCTTAAAGTTTCAACCCATCGAGAAGCAGATCGCTGTAAGAACCATAGCGCTGTTGGCACAAACGACTGGATCAATCCAAAAGGAGATCCTATTCGTGGCTCTCGCTCTCGATACCGACAGCGGAAAACCGGATTTAGATCTGTACAGACTTTTACGCGACGAGCCGGCTAGGATTGTTCGCGATTGCAAACACTTGGTCGATATTAACGAGCACCTCGGAGTCTTTCGGTTCTGCCATATGTCTATCTTCGAGTTCTTTAGAGCCTACAAGCCAGCCGTTAACCATCGTCGAGTTGTGCAGCTCTGCTTAGCCCATCTATGTCTGTCGGACTTCTCAAAGGGGTCTTATGATGATGCGGAATGGTTTAATTACGGCAGTCTTCGTCCTGTCCTCCAGAGACACCCATTCCTGGAGTTCGCTTCCTGTAACTGGGCTGCCAGTATGAGGAAGAGCATAGAAATAAATGCAGGCACGAATATTCAGGAGAGTCATAGAGAAATCTTGCGGCTTCTAGAGAGGCTTTTTGCAGAGTCTTCCACTGTGGAAACATGGGGTAATTTGCGGTTGTCCTTTCAAATATTCTCACTGAACCATGGGAGGTCAATAACATCTGGAATCTTTCCTGAGCACATAGTTAGCTACTTTGCGCTCCACGAATTTTTCGATACTTTCAGGGAGAAGGGTTGGCTTAACCCAACAAAATGCGACCATGAAGGTTTAACAGCCATGCATTGGGCTATTCGAAACGAAGCTAAACAGGACGAGAGGAAGAAGGACACTGCCCTTGTTGTCCAGAAGCTTATTGAGCTAGGGGGTGACATGAATGCACGCGATAACGAGGGCCGTACACCGCTCTATTATGCCTCACATTATGGAAATGTCCACGTGGTAACGATACTTCTCGAAAGAGGTGCCGAATTGAATACTCAAAGTAACAGCAACGAAACGCCCTTAATTGCTGCTTGCAGGAAGCATCACGAGGAAGTTATTTCGAAACTCCTGTCCGCAGGTGCTGACGTCAAAATCCAGTGTCCTGATGGCACTGCTTTACAAGCCATTGCCTTAATTGGTTGTGATTCCTGTGCCGAATTAATTATTGATCGATATGGAGAAGAACCCATCGTCGAAGGAAAAGGCCCTTTCAGTACGTCTCTTCACGCTGCAGCATTTCACGGTCATGCCAGGATTGTGCAACTTCTCTGCGTAAAGGGGTTAGATATTCATGCCACGGACGAGACATACGGGAGTGTCCTCACAGCAGCGGCGTCTGGGTGCAACCCGATCATGGATCCAAAGCCTTTCTACGACATAATCAATAGGATGATCAATCGTGGTGCGGATATCAACGATCCCCATGGAATGTGGGGGCCAGCTCTCCGCCCAGCAGCTTTCTTCGGACACGTAGAACTTGTTCGGTTACTCTTGGAGAAAGGAGCTGAGGTCCGTCTCGCTAACGGTCCAATGGGTACTGCATATGAAGCCGCAGATGAAAGAGGCCATCAGGAGATCAAAGACCTTCTATTGGAATACGACCCAAACGCTGCAACTTATGGCGGTCAGGGCCTTACCCAGGTCTCACTTCCAACTCTTGGTCGCCTTCTCTGGGAGGTATTTAGCATGGCTTTAAAAGCTGGGAATATGACACTTATCAACCGATTAGTTGGACAATACGAGATGTTTGTTGGCGAGGAGATTGAAAAGGGCCGAACGACTCACCTTGAAGGGATGATTATCCTTGCTAAGTACGTTTTTATCGACGTGATAAAAATGATTACATTGACAAATACCGAGGCAGAAGTACGATCCAAAAGATGGTTATCAAAGGTACAAGAAAAGGGCGAAAATAAAGCAAAGATAGAAAAAAGAGAGAAGAAATTACTACATAGAGTTAAGACGCTACTTCAGCGTCTTTTTTCTTGCCCTTGCTGCTGTGGTCTGCTAGGAAAGCCAAAACCTACATCCGAACAAATCCCCCCTGAAACTGGGAAGAATCAATCCCTACCGAAAACAATTTCTGGGCGACTTCAGTCAACAACTTCCATTCCTACCTCTATGAAGCAGAGGCAATCTCCGCACATAGGGGTCCTAGGCGGACGACTATCTTCGCTCTCAGAGAGTTTTCCTACTTCAGGATCTCCTTTCTCGCGACGACAACCGCTCCTATCCGCAGAAGATACTTTGGAAGGATATTTTCCCGATGTAGTGGACAGATTCACACAGACGGGAGTGAATGTATTGGAACAAGCTATTTTGATCGGAAATGTCCAAGTGATAAAGCTAATCGCCGATACGTGGGTTGATGTACTAAACCACCTACTCTCACACGCCGGGTTTGGGGAACCTTTACTCGAAAAAGTACTGCAGAACCGAACCATCGAGTTAAAAAGACACCTTATCAATCCTGAGTTGGAGTTAACGGAAAGATTCAAGAGAGCTGAGGGACTCGCCCGTGTCGGTATAGAACTATTACTTACATGCACCGGACGTGGAACATATTACAAGGTTCATATTAATAAAGGTTTGGAATACGTATATTCTTCTGATCTAATAAACGATATTAGTTTTGAGATCCCTAAAAAAAGAGAAAGAAAAAGAAGATTTCTTTAAAGGATAGCTTTGTAGGGTAGTTATAACCTAGTGTAGCCTTGTGAAAACCACATAATTTCGGATCAATGTATAATCTGTGTAACATTAGCTTCCCTTCTCTTAAAGCTCGTTTTTAAACAAGATTGAAACTATTTAAAATTTTATTTATAATTTTTTAAATAATTATAAATTCCTTCTTTTAAATAATTTATAATAATAAAAGAATTTATTAATTTAATAGTGAATAATTTATAATTTTTTAAATAATTATAAATTTAACATTATTTAAAAATATTAATTATTATAATTTTTTAAATAATTATAAAAATTAAAAAAGGTTTATTTAAAAAAGATACCGTTTATTTATTATAAAATTTATATTAATAAAGACTTAAAATACGTATATTCTTTTGATTTAATAAACGGTATTAATTTTAAAATTTTTAAAAAAAAAGAAAAAAAAAAAAGATTTTTTTAAAAAATAACTTTATAAAATAATTATAATTTAATATAACCTTATAAAAGCCATATAACCTTAAATTAATATATAATTTATATAATATTAACTTTTTTTTTTTTAAAGTTTATTTTTAAATAAAGTTAAAATTATTCGGAATTTTATTTATAGTTTTTTAAATAATTATAAATTTTTTCTTTTAAGTAATTTATAATAATAAAAGAGTTTATTGGTTTAATAATAAATAATTTACAATTTTTTAAATAATTATAAATTTAATATCGTTTAAAAATATTAATTATTATAATCTTTTAAATAATTATAAAAATTAAAAAAGATTTATTTAAAAGGGATATTATTTATTTATTATAAGGTTTATATTAATAAGGGTTTAAAATACGTATATTTTTTTAATTTAATAAACAGTATTAGTTTTAAGGTCTTTAAAAAAAGAGAAAAAAGAAGAAGATTCCTTTAAAAGATAACTTTGTGGGGTAGTTATAGCCTAGTGTAGCCCTGTGGGAGCCACGTGACCTCGGATCAATGTATAATCCGTGTGACAGAGCAGCTTTCAAGAATTTATCATTTAGTCTTTCAAAGCTCTGGGTCTCGGCTGTTAATGGCGTTGAAGACCTTGGAGAACAAGGGCAGACGCCCGTGAGAGAGATAATCAGAATCTTTTCAACGAGGTTCTCAGCTGCTGTCCGATCAAGGGATAGGATTAACGCTGAGATATGCGGCCAAGCTGGTCTAGAGTTCGTGATAGCGGCGGCCTTAAGTCCGAAGAGGAGTTTGATGGATAAGCTTAACGAGGAGTGGGCGAGACAATGGAACATAGCAGTTGAAGCTGAGATGGACGACCTAGTTAACGAAATACTCAACCAAAGATGGGAGGAATATCAGAAATATATCACGGCCAAGAGGCGAGATAAACCTCTCGGACTAGCGATTGCGGCCATGGGGACTCTAGGGGCAGCTATTCAGAAGGGATTCATCGTAGTGACGCAAGCGCTTCTGGACATCATCAATTTAGGCTTTCGCTGGACTACCTCGCTCGAGTCATTGGAAGAGCAGGGAAGGCAGTCGTCACACGTCTTTAACGGTTCCCAACAGAGCGATCTAAACGACTTTGACGTCGGAAGAGTTTTTGACGCTGCTATCAACTTGTTTGCAACAGCCGAGGGAACTAATCCCAACCGCTTGCACACTTTCGCTCTAACGATTCTAAACGCTATAGAATCTGCTTCTAATGAATTTCAAGAGGCTCTAAAAGAATTGGTTCTTCAACGTATTCAGACCGCCCGAAAAGGGGTCCATGCCCCTGAACTCAGCCAGTATCTTATTGAGGTATCTACAACAATTGTTTACCTTCTTAATACTGCATGGAGTATCAAGGGCGACGGCATGTGTAAGACAATTTTATTACTGAAGAATTTAACCCGGGCGCTGCCGAAACTAACGGAAAAGAGCGAGCTTGCTCGATATGAGCACGCTATCCGGTTTCTTAAGCTACAGGAAGAAGAGACCGAAGTATAGATATCTTCAAGTAAAACGAATTCATTGCCATATTCCGGCGCTAATGTGGAGTGTGATAAAAATGGTTCCTTAAGGGAGGCGCACAAAGGGCTTCAGAGAGTCTATTAGAGGTTTCAACTACGCCAATAAATCCTTTCAACGAGAGAGGAGCAAGCGGAATGTTCGTGATCTAGGGATCACATAGTAACTATTCCTTCGTAATCTCACGATGGTAGACTAAATTACACTCCTATATTATCAACAACACATTCGCCCCCACCGAGTGAAGTGCGAGAAAAAAAAGCCTGCCAAACATCGCCGAGGCTGTCTAAATAGAGTTGCACCCCCCATTTGCCCGCGTAGGAGTCTTAATCAAGAATATCATAAGTTCTAGACTCTCTTTTTAATACTTCACTCAAGAGGCCACACTGTCTATATGGAGAGTTATTATTAGACATACCCTTCAAGAAGCGTGGCAAACACAGGGATACCAACCGTACAGTTGCACTACGATAAAGAGGTAGCATATAATTAAGATCAAGCTTCAATAATTATAGTAGTTTAGATACAGCCTAACGGTTAAGTTAGTCGTATGCAACGAGCAAAGAATAAAGGCTAAATTCAAATACGTATCCTAGCCCAATAATAAATTGGGAGCTTGGAGGAAAATTTCACGTCGTCGGCATCCCCAATTCTCTCTCACGTAGATAGATCTCTGCCAACTCCAAGGCGAAAATATTACGAGCTCGATTTATAAGAAAAAAAAACTCGAACCAAACAGACACTCACTATGCGTGGACGCGTTGCTCTCTGCCTATCCCTCGCGGGGCAAGCTCTCGCAGCCCCTGCCAACATTCGACGGGCCGAGTGCACCGAATTATCGACGACAACGCCCAACTGGGAACTATCAAACGCCGCTTCTTCAGACTGGCCCGGCGGCCAGAGCGGTCGAGTCGAGCTCTTCGCCCGCCACGTTCCCACGGGCACTTTGGCCGACTGCGACGTGGAATACCGCCTAAGCGCCGACGGGGAGATCATCGACTACGATCCCACCTCCACCCACGAATGCCTCAACTTCGGCCCGAGCACATTAAACACCACCGTCCGACTCGACATGGAAACTCTAGTTCTGAACATCCAGAGCAGCTGGACTTGCGAAGGCGACGAGAAGACGTATTCGGCTTCCGGCGAGGTCGCTCTGAATAGGGACACGTCTCCCGGGGCGTGCCTGGTCGAGCCGTCGCAGGTCGGCGAGTCTACGACGTGTCCCATAGCTGATGTAGAGGTCGAGGGGAAGCTTGCTGAAGCGTGAGGGTCTGGTATAGTTGTGTCGAGTAGTTGATGTCTACCTGATATGGGCGTTCTGAGGATAAAACTACTCTAGAAGAAGATTCTGGGATGCGATTTCAAGGGTTCAACACTCACTGAAGCATCAATTCGTATGATAAAATCAATTGATGACATATGATATTTCGTTACTTTGATTTGAGCGTTTATTGTGACGGTTTGGTAAAGCTTTCGAAAATATAAAGACCATCACGCGGAAGTAGGGAAAGGGGGTCAAAGTGCAACGAGCGCCGATGAAAACGCAATGAAATGTTCAAATATAAATAGGTACTTAATAATTGTGACAAAAGTATTATCGACCTCCATGATTGATTCATGAGATGGTCAACCAGCCATAAATACATCACCAAATCGGCATCTTGCTAAGCATGGGTTGTATGTTGTATGAATCGTGATCAGTCATCTCGAGTGAAAGAGAAAAGGCTAGGAGCACTATTACCACCACCCTCCTTTTTGGACTATACCAGTGATTCCCGGTATCCGGTGGGAGACCGGATGCCGGAACGAATCTTGGCTAACTGTTCCACAGCATCTTCCGAGGATGTGAGGCCTGATTATGCACGGGAATATTAAACAAGCCGGGACTGAGCCTCTTAGATAAAGTAGCCATGTAAATCTAGGGCTAGATTCTAATATTTATTAGTTAGGTACCTAGGTACCTAGTAATACATTCTCTTATGTCACTCGTCCTTTATACAAACCCTTATCCATCCAATATCTCCAAGAACGCAGCGGCACTCCCAGTACGCTCATGATCATATCCAGCATAATGCCTTAGTTCCCTAATCGCCAGCCTAGCATATTTTCTCGCCATACCCACATCGCCCATACCAGAGTAGACCTCCGCAACGATAGTATAAAAGTCGCCGACCTGAGCCTCCAGCGACTCTTTCTCGCACAAGTCCAGTATCTCGTCGACTCTCCTGCTAACAGCCTCATGGTTCCGTGTCTCCGGTAGATCTAGCTCTGCTAGTAGTTCTTGTAGGCGACTTCGATGGCGGTCGGAAGCTGCTGAGGCTTCTGGGGAGGTGCACAGCGAGCACGTGCAGTTGAAGCCCCATTCCTTGATGAGAGTTTGGCGTTGCTCTGATAGGAGGTTCAACGGTAGATCTAGATGTCTTCAAGTTAGATGCTGCTTCGGGTTTATGCTAAAAATACTTACAGCTAAACGTTAGTTCCTCGCCAGGCTCGATATCCCTATACGCCACAACTTCCATTCCTAGTGTAGTTGATGAGAACCGATTGTACATGCTAAGAAAATTGTTAACGATAGTGCTCTTAGGGTATCTTATTTAGGGGAAGAGGGCTTACTTTGGTTTACAGGCATGGTTTAATCTCTGTCAGTGATGCCGGTCAGTAATGCTCTAATGAGGTTCATGTCTTCTTGCTTACCGACACGTCCAGGTATAAACCCGAATGGTCCGCATCATTTAGCAGCACACCAAACGCATTTGTGTTGATAATATCCTCAACAATGTAGCCTCCTTTAGAATGAGCCAACTTCAGCATCTGCATTCCCTCCTTTTGGGGTAGTTGAACAGTAGCTCGATGAAGCAATCTCATCACGTCTTGGGTTTTCCAAGGCCTATAATCCATTATCCGAAGGATAACCGGATATCTCAGCAGCACGACCTCGTCCTTACGAATCGTACGGTTCGCAATAACCCCCATGCCCTTGTCCTCTAGATACCTGAACTCGTAGGGAGGCGGATCGGACACGACGAGTGGATGGCCTCTCGCCCAGTTTTCCCATAATGGGTCCGGGTCTCCGAGAATACCAGCGCCTCCAGCAGCAATCTCAGGTGTGGTGACAAGACTGATTCCTACCTCTCCTCTAAGGTTGATATAAGTGAACACGCACAACTTAGAAGCCACTGGATCCTCAGGCTCCACACATACTGGAGGAAATGTCCAGGGTAGCCACGAGCGTCTTTTAAATGCGGTCTCATCGTCAACAAGGAGAGGGCACGTGGAATCCGTTTCTCGGGGGTTTAACGGACCCGCAGGATTAGAATCGCATTCTCCAGGAGGATTGAAGTTGTAGTTCTTAAGCCACTCCGGTATATCGCTTGGCTGAGGCTCGGCGACAATATTCCTCAACCAAAGGGCCAAAGTCAGCATATAATACCTCATAGCTACGTCTTAAAAGCAGTGGTGTTAGCGATAAGGTTGGCAGGTATTAAGATCGCTCGAATCGAGCAGCATAAGCGAACAACACATCATTTTCACGAGTAGATATTCTTTGTAAGCAGTCATGACATCTGATGTTAACAGCTTGCTACATCAAAACATCTCACGGCGTCTCTGAATAAAGTGAGAGAGTGAAGGTAGCCAAGGCGAAAGACAAATTAGCCGGAATGGCAAAGTGTAGATCACCAAGTTCGCAAGGTGCGGCGATTTTAGATACGGGAACGATCGCATATTTTCGACGGGTCTGATTATATAAATCCTTGGCGGCGTGATATTGAATTGTGATGTCTTACTAGTTTAAGTGCTTCGTAAGTCGCGGATGGGAAAGAAGTTGCATCGTCGACAGCGTAGTTTCGTTATTATCTTACTCTTAATACGTATTGCAACACTGAACTATACGTGTCGAACACCGTCGGTTCTACATAGGAGCTACAGCAACGTCGGGTTAAGGTGTAAAATAGGTCGTAGCTAGGTACCTGTCAATGGTCATATAGACATGATCTCGGTATCCCGTACATCTTGGTCAATAAAAAAAATATTTCTCAACCAATTTCTAGAAGGAGGTTGCAAAAAGTCAAAATGCATCAGCCGCGAATCGAACGCGGGGCCCATCGATGGCAACGATGGATTTTACCACTAAACCACTGATGCTGTAGCGGAGCTTCTTTGTTCCGATGATGGTTAGATGTTTGTAACTAGATTTTATATATGTGGGCTTCATGTGCTAATAGCAAGGATTAGTGTACATATAAGAAATGCCTCCATGAAGCGGCCTGCTTAATTTTTGAATGCGAACTATTTACGAAAACAAGTTCACTAGAATACATATCATATTCCGTAACAAACTTGTTTTCAGGTCACGTATTCAGATAGTTCAAGAAGCTATTCGTATTCCAGGTACGTCTAAGGGGTAATACATACGGTAGGCGGTGAAGAAAGAATACTTTGCTAAAGAACCCCACGTTGGAATTCTGCCGTTCGAAGTGGGGTGGTGAGACTCTACGGGGACTAGAATCGCGACTTCAACATTATTTATATTATATCTATCAAGCCTGGATCTTGCTAGTCTCGGAACCTTTTTCTTTTTATTCTAGAAAGGAAACCCGTCTAGACTTGCGACCTTATACTTAGAATTTAGGCGTTGTCCATTGATGAACGAGCTCCGGACTTACGATTATAGACTATACCTATTCATAAACTAGATCCTTAGGATCTAAAGCTGTCAAGATGGTGAACATAACGGAAAAGATTAAGGAGTTAGTCTATCATGAGATTAACAGCGTTTAGTCCTCCATATACTTACTTTATATAGGATCGAGGATGAGATGAAAAGGACGCAGAGTAAGGGCACATTCCCATGTGTGTCGCAGAGTCTATATTCTAACTTATTAATCGGTACATAGAAAACAAGGCAACGGGTAAGACTACTACTCACGACCCTATATTGAAGTATATGCTAATACTAGTTACCAGAATACCACCTTGGACTTCTAAAAGGGTACAGTTCCGCGCACTAAGGTCATCAAGGGAGATAATCTAACTATGCGCTTCTTCAGCAAACTCGCACGTCTAAGAGCGCAGCTCCTCGAGCCCGGTCCAGGAGCAGGCGGAGGAGGTGGCGCGGGCTTCGACGTCAGCAAGAGCGGCGACGCGCGAATAGCGCTGGTCGGGTTCCCGTCCGTCGGTAAATCGACGTTCTTATCGAAGGTGACTAAAACGAAATCCGAAGTTGCCTCGTACGCCTTCACAACCCTTACAGCTATCCCCGGTGTTCTCGAGTACGGCGGCGCGGAAATCCAACTGCTCGATCTGCCGGGAATCATCGAGGGCGCCGCCGAAGGCAAGGGTCGAGGACGGCAAGTCATCTCGGCTGCCAAAACGAGCGATCTCATCCTCATGGTCCTCGACGCGACGAAGAGGGCGGAGCAAAGGGCCCTGCTAGAGGCTGAGCTGGAAGCCGTCGGGATTAGATTAAATAGGGAGCCACCGTAAGCTAACGGACCACGAGGCCCCAGGCCAAAATCTTTGTACAACTCTGTTCTTAGAACTAGAGTGCAAGCTTTTGGCCTCGGCGTCCCTACCCCTATTTGGCAGTACGGAATATTGATCAAAAACAGGAACATATACCTGAAAGCCAAGAAAGCCGGCGGCATGAAGATCAACTTCCAGTCGCCCCCGAAGCACCTGGACGAAAAGATGGTGTACAACATCTTGCGAGACTACAAGATGCTAAACTGCGAGGTCCTAGTTCGCGACGACGAGGCGACGGTCGACGACCTAATCGACGTCATCATGAAGGACCATCGCAAGTACATCAAATGCCTTTACGTCTACAACAAGATAGACAGCGTCTCCCTCGATTTCCTGGACAAGTTGGCGCGCGAGCCGCAGACCGTCGTCATGAGTTGCGAGTTGGACTTGGGCATTCAGGACGTGGTAGATCGGTGCTGGAAGGAATTGCGCTTGATTAGAATCTACACGAAACGGAAAGGTATCGACCCCGACTTCAGCGAAGCGCTAATTGTGCGCAGCAACGCCACTATCGAAGACGTTTGCGATCGAATTCACCGGACCTTAAAGGATACGTACAAATATGCTTTGGTATGGGGCGCAAGTGCTAGACATATCCCGCAGAGGGTTGGGCTAGGACATGTGGTAGCTGACGAGGACGTGGTATACATAGTCAGTGGTTATAAGGCATAGTATAATAGCATAATCAATCGCGCCACGGGAATTATACGTAAAGCATAAGAAAAATAAGGCAGTGGTTTATTCATGAATCATTGATGATGTCCGCCCATCAAAGAATGGGTATCGTTGTTCACTCCCTTCCTAGAATTACCCCTGAATACCCTGTAGTACCCTTCCACCAACGCCGTGGTGAGGTCTCTGTACCACCCTAAAGCAAAGCCGTTTTATTACAAGAGGGATCCGTAACGCCGCCGTCCAGTAAACCGAGGGGAACCAGGTCGCTAGCTGGCAGCTAGATTCCGGATTGGGGCCCAGCATGGGATAGGACGGTCTTGGAGCCGCCGAAGATATCCTTGCCATCGAACTTCTTAGCGGACGTTTGGGCGAAGAGAGACTTCGGCTTGGCCCTACGTAGAAGGAAGTAATAATTAGTGCACCGGATATCGCCGAGGAGACAAGATATGACAAGGATTGTAAAACTTACTTGCCGACTGCTCGGCCCTTGAAGGCGCTGAGCTTGGCGGTGCAGGGGCTCATGATGTTGTCCGACGGAGAGACGTATTCCGGTTGTCTGCCATTGGTGGTATCCGAGTTAGCAAGGTGGCGGTACTGAGGGTTCATAGCACAAGAGGTAGCCGCGTCGACGCTGGTGACAGTGACGGTTACGGAGGTGGAGGTGGCTGTGTTGGTAACGTTGGCTCCGTACTTCTCTTCCTCCATCTTGGAATGCAGGACCTGGCGATGGTATTCCAAGGTCTGGGCGCCGCTGGTAGGCTTGCCGTTATCCATGGCGGCCGCGTCCTGGGTCTGGACCGAGGCGTTGATGTCCTTGGTAGCTAGAGGAGCACCCATTATGTCGAGATCGAGTTGTTTGTTTAAGGTTTGTTGTAGAGGTTTCGGATTGCAAGATTGCAAAGTGTAAAGTGCGAAGACGTAGGCAAGGAGTCGGAACACCGAAGATATTCGTTGAAGCTAATCAATGAGGCTATAGAGGTAGCAAGATTGAGTAGCGCGTGTCGTACTTGTAATCGTGACCGTTAAGAGGTGTCGGTTGCAATTGTTTGAGGGTGAGTTCTGGAAATGTAGAAAGATTTGTGTAATCCAGGAATGCGACAAAGTCTTTTATGAAAGGACGTACATGTCAATGACGAAGAAGTTCGGTGGGGTGTGATCTAGAAAAAGTTCAACTGTGGACCTGCCGGGAAGAAAATAAAGAGCGTCGGCCCAGCAACAGCTGGGATCCCTGGTCACTGCTCTTAGCTGCCGGGTACCTTTCCGTCATGGTGGTTGCAGCTTTGTGACTAGGTAGGTACAATGTACGTACACTCTAACACTGTTGAAATTCTTTAATGTTTCCATGCAAATGTGGAGCTGACTCACTGTAAACATTCTCCACAACCACCACAACTTACATGCATCAAACATCATCGCATCAACAACTCTCCGCATCGAATTATCTGCACTTCGTCATCCTGGCAACGAAACATTCCAACAGCTGTACTAAAGTCAAGGTTTAACAATATGACTTTTATGACTCATTCACTTAATTTCCTACTCAATAATGGCCTACCCAAGAAGTCCTTACAATAACAAATCGGCCAAGGTCCAACCAAATAATATGGTCCGGGCATGGCAACCCTGATTGCTACTTCCCAGGATGCAACTCGTAAACATACCTCAAGGACCCCGAATTAATGCGAGCGCTCAACTCCAACATCTGATCTAAAAACAACAGACAACAACGCGTCTAACAAATGACTTCTTCCTAACAAGTGACCCCCAACACTATGTCGCTATTCAAAATGGAAACTTGAGGCTTTTTGGATATCTTCCAACCTTGGTAATATTGTCAACTGCTATTGCCAACAACTACAACGAAAGCAAATTCAACAATCTTCCAGTCTTGCCCTATGTCTTGACCATGAACTTGCCCCTTCATTAGGGATCCGTCACGACTTCCCTAAGTGGGTAGCTGAGAACGCGGCGCCTAGCTAAAAAGAAGAACGAGGCGTCTGATATAGAGACCCTCTGCCTCATAGAGGGCGTAGATACCGAGTTTTGGTTTGTCTCCAATGGGTGCTCTGCCTAGAACAGCTTCTCGAGTCTTTCGACGAATTTACAGAGCTTATCAGAGTACGTGTTTACTTTAGAGCATATCCGCAAGCCTATATTCAAGCTACCTTACTAACATGATTTTTAGGGACTGCAAGCGACGTATGACTTGCAAACCTCTTGGGTCAGGATCAAGTGGTTGGCCTCCGGTGAAGAAGCCACGGCTTGATTGCCAGTTAGTGTTTGACAACAGGTTCCGATCAACACGGTTAGAATCAGATTTCTGCGCATAAATACTCTGGAGTATCCTCTGGATGTCAACGGCAGAGAGATCGTAGGCTCGAACAACCCCCGCTCACATTCCAATGGTATGGAAGGCCTCCCACACCACAAGAAGAAGAGAGAATCCGAAGGACACTGACACGGGAAATCGGAATGGGTGGACAAAGTAATAAACCATAGCTGTGTATTGATTGATGACGCAACGAGGACGTTTCTTTTTTTTTTTTTCTCTATCGACGGGCAATTGATAGACATTGAGATAAGTTGTCATCGCTAGTACGTACATAGCTTAGATGACTTGAGAAGTCTTAATCTCTTCCTTTACTACTACAAGTTCTTGATGATACAGAGTCAGGTACCTTAGTAGTAGAAAATAATATTCTGAACCAAAAGTATGGCTACAAGTCTTCTTTGCTGTGGCACGTGACTCCCTTAACAAGTGCCTAGGTACTCAAGTCAAGTCAAGTCAGGTCAAGCCAAACAGTGCTCGAAATCCATCTAGGAATGGGTTGAACTATTTGATAAAACGAACT